AAAGAATTATTCTCATGCAGAAGACTGCACAACGGGCAGGTCACCTGGCCTAGAAAAGAAGGACTTATTTCAAGTATACCCCTGTTCAAATTTCCGGAATATCTTTTCCTTTCTGATTTGATCTGGGTTTGGAGTAACTTCCATCACTTGAGCTAAAAATTAAAAATGTCTGATTTCCTGCTCCCTGAGGCAGTGAGTGAGCTACAAACACACAGGTCCCAGAGAGAAGCTGTATTTACAAGGAGAAAAGAGATTGCCTTACATAAACAAAAGCTCTTAATTGATTGGTTTTGTGGGTTGTTTACTTCTTTATTCTCTTCAAGAGATATACAGAGGTCCTATTATTTTAAACAGAAAACCTGAGAAAGAAAGAAAAAATACTTTTATAGAGAAAAGCATCCTACTCTTCTATTTTGTTTTTGCAGGGGTATTTAGCTTGTCTAGGAGAGGTAAGCTGTTTGCTATTTTCCTTTTTGTTTACCAATTTTCAACATAAAAGTTGATTTACAGGCATCCTCCAACAGTAACAAAACAAATAATAAAAACCTAGTTTTTATTAAGTATCTTTATGATCTCATGCATGTTGACACACTTGCTACTGTTCCGGTCCATTTCAGTTACACTAATTGATGCCCACGGCGCTGCATCCTTTTGGCCTGTGGAGGCTGCTTCAGATTGACTCCTGTATCTCTCAGATAAAACTCCAGTGGCCTTAGATAGTTTCCTTGCTTTCTGGTACAAGATGTTTTTGCCTTTCTTACATATTTTTTTTGCCCTAGCCCTGGATTCAAGGAGCGCTGGTTCTTTTAGAAAATGGTGTTTGCAGACCACAGTCTGCACTCTTAAGGTGTGCACTGTTCCTGGGTCGGTCATTGCTTCCAGGTCTTTTCAGTGGACAGAAGCACACATGTACATATGTGTATATAAATACACTTACATGGACCTACATATTTGTGTTTGCACTCATATACATATGTGTATGTATGTAAAAATAAAACACATTATATATTTCTGTTGTTCCTGCAAGTTCCTATTCAGGGCTTCAGATGCTCCTTGATTTAGAATGGGATTATGTCCTAGTAAACCTGCCATAAGCCCAGGAAAAGATCAAAATTCAAAGCACAGTTTCTACAGAATGCCCATTTTTTTTTCCCATCACTGCAAGGCAAGATACCAATTAAAACATCCTAAATTGGGGACCATCTGTATTGGTTGCTTTTATTCTATTTTTCTGGTCCCGGAGATTGAGCCCAAGGCCTCTGCACTGAGCTACATCCCCAACCCCCATTTTTTTTTTTTCCTTGAGACTGGATCTCACTGAGTTGCTCAGACTGGGCTTAAACTTGCAGTCCTCCTGCCTCAGCCTTCCAGAGTGCCGAGATTACAGGTGTGTTCTACCATTCCTAGATTATGTTAGGTTTTCATGTACTCTTTTCGGTGTTACCTATCTATCTCCTTCCCGCCATGTCAGGAGTGCCAGTTCTCAACAATGCTAGAATGTATTTCATAATTACGTGTTTATTTTACCCCACAATGCATCCAGACATTACAGTGATACATCAGTATATTACTGAAAACAGCAGATTTCATCTCACAGCTGTTTTTGTTCTTAAGATGTGTCCCACCAGGAATCTACCCTCACATAAATGAATTGTAAAATCACTTGGAATAGGTCCTCTGTGTGGTTATACCAACAACTAATATACTTATTCTTTCATTGATTTCATTTTACTTTTTGGGTTAGAGGTTACATTTAAAATTTAAATATTATTTTATAATGACAAAATATTTTCACCATTTCAAAGTCAAATCTACAAAGTATAGTCAAAGTATAGCCTGTTTCCCTGTTCCTTTAAAACCTTTTCCCTCCTTTATGATAGGTAACTGATTTTTAAAACTTTCTGGCTTGTCCTTCCATTGTTTGGGTTGTTTTTTTTCCAGTACATTCTGGGTGAGTGTTCTCTTCTCTGAGCTACTTCCCACCCCCCTTCCTTGTGATTCCACCACCGCAGCCTCCCTGAGTGCTGGGATCGGAAGTGGTCTCTGCTACACCTGGGAGTTCACAGTTTCTAAATAGGAGATGCATGTTGCTGCCTCCTCTTTTAAATAAGCGAGAGCATGCTGTACGGACTGCATCCTGGAGATCTCCTTGGGGGTCACATCTGCTTCTGGCATGTCATGGTAGAGGACTGCACCTCTGTGCATGGACGTTTGCAGTTTCTCACAGTTACATATGGTGCTGCCATGGTCAGATGTCAGATGTCTTTTTGCATTTTTGCCAGTGTCAGGAATACCTGGTAGAGGGATTTGTGGTCAGAGGGTAGAATACTTATGAAATGTCATCAGATATTGCCAGATTTCCTTCCTGGCGCTTGTACCATTTTATGTCCCCACCAACCACACGTGAGAGGGCCTGATTCTTCGAAGCCTTACCGATGGCGCATGCAGTCCAACCTTTGGATTTTTGCCATTCTAATCAGTGAGAAGTGGTATCTCCACTTAATTTTAATCTGGATTTCTCTATTGCAAATGAAGTAGGATCTTTTTGAAAAGTGTAGTCTTGCTGGTCTTAAGTGTGGTGCTCAGGCATTGTATTATTAAGAAGCTTTGGCATGAGCAGAGCCAAGAACCGCTAATGTACACCTAGTACGGAGCTGGACGTGAGACAGACCTCTTAGGTGTTAAGCACAAGCTCACGGTGTGAGTTGAGCACTTAGGAGGAAATGCATGGCAACAAAGATGCCCAGGCCCGGAGCGAGGCAAACTTGGTTCCAGCCCTGCTCCCACATTGGCCAGCACTTGACCTTGTGAAATAAATTCTGAGCTTCTGTTTGCTTATTTGTAAATGAGATTGGAACAGTTATATTTCTTACCTTTATAGGGTTGATGTGAGATTAAAGTAGTTGAATGCATCGCACAGTGTTTGACACAGAATAAGGGCTAGGGAGAAATAAGTATTACTATAATTATTATTTGACTGAATGAGGAGAATTACTGGGGCTCCAGAAGAGACTCTTTTATGGCTTGCAGTGGCATTGCTGTGGCCCTGACCTCCACTCTTAGGATTCTGGAGAGAGAGGAGAGAAGAGGAAGGGGCTTAGGTGTGGAGAGGGCCTGCAACTGACGGAGGCCAGGCTTCTGCAACGGCCCGGCCTGTGCAGTTGCCACAGTGCACACCAGGGAGGTGCGTGCGAGGGAGAGGGCAGCGAAGTGTGAATCTGAGCTGGTAGCTGACTGCCCTGCAGCTGGTGCAGGCTCCGCCCCCAGTTGCCCTCCTGACCTTGGCCCTACAGGAAATACTGAGGGAGAGACAGTATGACCTTGGGTATGTTCATTCTGCAGCTTTCTCTGCTCCTCACAGCCCCTGGACCAAGTTTGCATGTCAAGGGTCCTTTTGTCCCCTGCTGTCTGACACTGTTTTCTTAACATGCAGGGAGAGCACAGTCAGTGGCATTCACGGAGACATTGCAGCCTTTAAGCCTGAAGCCTGAACCACACCTCCCCGTCATGAGGAGGAACTCCGGGAATTCTGCCCTAACAGTGTCTTCCTTGTATTATTAATCTTTCTGTAAAGCTCAGTTGAGCTTTTTGTTATTGTTTGTCTGTATTGTTCTATTTTTTTTTGCCCTTTTTTTTCTTTATTTCTGCTCTTGTAATGATCAGTCCCTCTGTTCTCATTTCTTTAGGTTGGTTTTTTTCTCTTTAGATGTTTGACTGGAACCTTAAGCTCATTGAATTCTATTTTTTTAATTTTCTACTAAGTCCATTTAAAACATTTATTAGTGCTCTCTGTCTTTCAGTTGTAAATGTTTTATCATTTTGGTTTGAATTCCTCTGTAGCTATGAATGACCTTTGCGTGGTTTGTGCTTATTTGTTTGAGGTCTTGGGGATTAAACCCCAAGGCCTTGGCGCTGAGCTACATCCCCAGCCCTTTTGTTATTTTGAGACAGCTTTCAGAAAGTTGCTAAGTTGCCCAGGCTGAGCTTGAATTTATGATCCTCCTGCCCCAGCCTCCCAGAGTGCTGGAGTTATAGGCCTGCACCACCACATCCAGCTGCTCTGCATGTTTTATAAATTTTCAAAGGGATTGGCTTTTTTTTTTGCTGTAATTTGTATTTTTGATGTCTAATTTCATTGCATTGTAATCAAGGTATATAACTTGTGGAATATTATTTTTGGAGGAAATTCGTGGCAACCTGATTTATAACCTAAATTGTGCATTGCCAGTTTTTAATCACTGCTTCTCATGTTTGGGGAGAAAAATGAAGATTTTGTTTGCTGGGTGCTGAATTCTTAAAATAGCAATTAGCTTGAGTTGCTTAAATGCTCTGTTCAGATCCTTTCAGCTCCAGTGCCTGGCAAAGTTATCATGCAAGCAGCTGTGCTTGCCATGGTCCAAGACACAAAAATATCCATTGAGGGCTGATTGGTTTTGTGTGGCTCATAAAACAAACCTAGTCTAAGGAAGCCATCATGGCCCTTCCAGTTTTTTCACACAAAGTTGATTCTTAGGAGTTGAATTCTTTCAGTCCCAGCTTAATTAGCATATAAAACTGAGGCTCTGGCTTTTGCGATCATGGATATTTATGCTGTGTAATCATTTGAGGGTGGAACTGGTAAATATTCGTATGAAGAACAGAAAGTAGAGAACTGTAATCCATCTTCTAGTGTTCAGCATTAGTTGAGGTCCTTTTGCCCTTGGTCACATGGTTAGAAGAAACAACTCCATCAGTTATGTGGACAGAATTCAACCTTCGTGTTGGCCAGAGAGGGTAGGAGTAAAGTGTCACCAAGATAATGGACACAGAGTGCTTTGGAAACTGAAGAGCTCTTCAGCCATCAAAGGTGCAGGTTGAAGGCAACTTGTGACAAAGTGCCAAGTGGAAGTGGCCACTGTGTGTCCTATCCCCCTTTATTCTCCAGGAGGAGCTTGGATGGGGAGAGGTCCAGAGAAATGTCTGTAGTCTCCTGAAATCCTTCCTTGTCCTTCTCTTCTCAGTGCAGAACCCAGAAACTGCAGCCATGACCACTCACGTGACCCTGGAAGATGCCCTGTCTAACGTGGACCTGCTGGAGGAGCTGCCGCTCCCTGACCAGCAGCCATGCATCGAGCCTCCACCATCCTCCATCATGTACCAGGTGCTGGAGACAGCAGAGCGCACTGGGGAGCACAGGAGTCGAGGGATCCTCGAGATCTGGGCCTCTAGGCTGGGGTGGGGGGCCGCAGCTCAAAGGTGAAGGGTTGAGAGCTGATGGGGTACCTTGTCCCCTCAGGGAGCCCAGTTGAAGAAGTAGATGAGCTGGTAAATGTCCACCAGGATGGTTTACTCCCCCCGCCCCAGGAAGGGCTCATTGATCCGTTCTGACCCCAGATACCCTCCCAGCTGTTCTTGCTATGGCACCAACCTTGTTGTGGCAGCTCTGACCTTCCAAATTAAATATTGCAGTTGAGAAACCCCTAGAGCCTGCCTGGGTAATTACTCTTCCTTCCTGTATGTGAGAGGAGCGTTAGGACTCTGCGTGGCAGCTACGGCTCCGGGAAGTGGTCACAGTTGTTAGCTTTTGCCTGAGAGCAGATCTCATGATAAACACCTCGGATTACACAAAACCGTGACCCTGGCTGGTGTAGAGGGCAGGCGGGCACTGACGCAGCTCGAGCCTGGGCATCTGGGGCTGCCAGACCAGATGCTGCAGTCTGAAAGGAGATGCTCACTGGAAATTGGTGCTGTATCTGACCTTTTGAGAGCCCTTGGATTGCTAAATGTGACTAAATACAAATATGTATATTTTACTTACATTTACCAAATTATTTAGCACATGCTTGAAGCTTCTGTTCATAAATTTGATTTATTCACATCTTCTAACCCAGATTACATTTTTAATTATATAATTTTTTTTAACTTCAGACAATACAGAAAAATACCGTATAACGAAAGTATCCCTTAACCATGGCCCCTTCTCTGTATATACACACATGCCTTTTTACCAAATATATATATATATATTTTACCAAAAAAAAATATATTTTTTCTTTTTTACCAAAAAGGATTCCTACTATATGTATTGCTCTATGACCTGCCTTTTTCTTGAAATTTATTACCAATATTTTTCTATGACAATGCTATAGTAATTCCACGTTATATTTAATCACCTCATGGTACTTGTAAGACCATTGTATGGACATACTCTTATTTAGTCAGCTTTTTGCTGTTGATGGACATTTGGGTGGTTTCCAGTGTTTTCAGTCATAAAAATGCTGCAAGGATGGCCTTTGTACATGCATGTCTGCACCCTCACATGCGTATTTCTGAATGGCTGGATAAAGCGATGCGCATTGTAACTTTGAGCAGCTGTGGACTTGTGGCTTCAAGCATTGACTTCTGGGGTGCAGCTGAGTGTACCTGATTGGTGCGGGCCCCTGTCCTCAGCCTGCTCCTGCCCAGTGTGATTAAGATGAGGGCTGACGTTGCTATATGTTTGCACTGAGAGCATGTGGTGTTTGTTGGCAGGGATTTGCTTCCTGGACACCCAGCTACCCTGGACCTGTTTTGCAACAACCAGTGTTCTCTCATTCCATAGGCTAACTTTGACACGAACTTCGAGGACAGGAATGCGTTTGTCACGGGCATTGCACGGTACATCGAGCAGGCGACCGTCCACTCCAGCATGGTGAGTGTGGCACACATGTGCAGATGTGGTCCCTCTGGGACAGGAGGGGCTGCGGCATCTTCTCACACGAGGGCATGAATTCCAGTACCCTGGAGCCCCTGTCTCTGCAGGCCCAGCTCGTGAGCCCAGTGTGCAGCCCTGCCCTCCCACCTCTCTGTGCCTTGGGGCAGCTGCACCCCATTAACTTCCAGCTTTGCAAATCCTGCTCAGTGTTAGGCCTACCTTAATCCCCACTCCTCACTTCTCCGAGCTTCAATGGCTTTTGAGGTTAACATGGGATTGGATCCTGCCTTGTCTTATACTTCATAGATTACCGAGTTCTGTATATGGAATTTTTATCCCTTAACAAAGCAAAATGTTCCGCATAGAAGAGACACAGTGGCCTTGACTTTGGAATGACAGTTACTGACCCACCGTTATCATGGCCTAAACTGCTTTGCAGGTGGAGCCAGTTACTTCTTTCGTAGGACCTGACTTCAGAGCCAGGGACCCTGCCCTTCCCTCTGGGGCTTCATCGTAGGCTCTGTCTGTGGCGCCGTGTTCCCTTGTCAGTGCGTCGTGTGTATCTTGTGACTTTCTCTTAGCAAACCCAACTCACTCAGCCAGTCACTGGTGTGTGCCTGGACCCGGGCAGGACAGTCAACGCGGAGGAGGTGTTCAAAGATAACAGGGCAAGTCCCGACTCCCAAAGAGTTAAGTGGGAAATAGATGTGCTCATCACTTGCTAAGCACCTCTTCTGTGCACATAATATTTTAAGTTCGTTGTCTTATTTAATCCTCACATAAATCTGTGAGAGACTTCTGTGATAATGCCCATTTTACAGATGGGGACAACCGAAGCCCTAAAAAGTGAAGAAACTTACTCAGGGTCGCCAAGCCGACAAGTGACAAATCTAAACCCAGGGCCATCTGGCAGCACAACCCACGCTCTGGACTATTCTGTGAGCCAAGTAAACATGCACAAAGAGTCGATGTCATGGTAAAAGTTTCAAGTTTTGTGTTTCTGAAGGGGCTTTGAGAGGGCCAGAGAAAGTTTGATGAAGGAAGTGCTGACCCATAGGAGAGTAATAAAGTATGTCCTGCTCTTTAAAATGTATGTGGGACATTTTCATATGTGATACCTTTGGAGCCTCATAATAGCCCTGTGACTTGCAAAGGGATCATTCTGTCTATTTTAGAGATGAGGAAACCTAGACCTGGAGAAGTTGACAACCAAGCTGCCTAGGATCCTACAAGTAGTAAGTCAGCGCACGGGACCTGAAATTTAGCACCGATTCCCAGTCCTGACCTCTTTTTTCTGCACTCTGCTCTCAGTCAGGGTGGAGGTGGGGAGGGGACCCCAAGGGGAAGAGCCAGCATGAGGAAAGGCCCAGAATCTTCACTGACTGCCTGAGTTTCAGCCGAAAGGCACAAGTAGGGGACTTGTCTCTGGAAGATTAGAGAAAGGTCGGAACATGGAGGTGTATTAGTGAGACGCTGTACCAAAATGCCACAGTCTGGGGAGTTTAAACAGGTATTCCTTTTCTCTCAGTTCTAGACGGCGGGAGGTCCCAGATCAAGGTGTCAGTGGGTGAGCTTTCCAATGCCTCCGCCCTGGGTTTGCAGACACCTGCTGCTGGCTGCTTCCCTGAACGGTCTTTCCTCTGTGTGTCCACGTCTGGTCTCTCTGTGAGCCTGTTACCTCTTCCCACAGGGACACCAGTGAAATTGGATTGGGCCCAGCACAGTGACCACATTTGAACTTGTCCACCTCACAAAGGTCCCAGCTCTAAACACAGTCACAGCCTCAGTACTGGGTTTAGGGCTTCAGTAGAGGAGTCAGGTGTTGGGGGAAGAGAGGACACAATTCAGCCTGTAAGCAAGGGCTTTCATTCATTTAATAAAAGATCAGAAGCAGTGTAAAGTTTTCATCCATGGGACAAGGTGAGCGGAATTCCGCTGGGGGAGTTTCGCTTGTTAGTTATGCACAGAATGAGCTGGAAGGAGGCCATGGAGATCATTGAAATGGTCAGTCCTGGAGGCGATGAAGGCTGAGGGAGGGCCCGGGGTTGGGGGCCGGCCGTAAGGACAGGGGTGTGAGGGACCCTGGAGACACCCCACCTGGTTTGACACTCACTCCACCGTCCTGCCCTCTTATTCCAGGCTCATTATGCAGCAACTCTGGCTCAGAGTCCCTAAGGCAGAGTCCGCGTCCTCCTTGTTCAAGACACAGGCAGAGCCTGGGCCCTGGGAATGCCCAGTAAAACGTGTGGGACGAGCGAGTTGAAACTGCTGTGGGAGCCCTGTGCTGAAAATAGACTCATGCTCTTCATATTATTGTCACTTCCCCTTTTTGACATGTGTTCTGAAGCAGACAGCAGCAGGAGACCCACAGGTTGACCTGGGTTCTTTCTGATCGAAAGCACAATATGTTACTGATTTTTAAAGTTTTCTAAAGTAAGAATTGAAACTGACTTGTCAGTGCCATTTGCTCTGGAAAAAACAAACTGTTGTAAGTCATAAACTCCAAATTAAATCTGATCTTCACCTAAAAAAGTGTTATGAAACATAAACTATTCAGATGTAAAATTAAATCAATAAAACTTCATTTTATATAGATAAAAATATTTGCAAAGAAAGGTGGCCTAATATTCTTTTTATTGTATTTCTGAAGTATATCTTCTATAGCATAAACTGTACAGTTCAGCAGTTTTACCATATTCACGATGTTAAACAACCATCACAACTGTTTAATTTCTGTCATCCCCAAAAGGTACCCCAGACCTTTTAGAAGTCACTCCCAATTCCTCTCTCCCTCCTTCTCCTGGCAACCACTAATGCACTTTCTGTTTCTATGAATTTCTCTGTTTTGAAAATTTCAACTACATGAATCATGCAGTGAGTGACCTTTTGTGTGTGGCTTCTTTCACTTAATATGGCATTTTCAAAGTTCATCCATGTTGTAGACACATGCGTCAGCACCTCATTACCTTTCTTAGATAAATACTATTCCATGGTGTGGATGTACCACATTTTATTCGTCCATCCACCAGCTGATGGACATTTGGATTATTTCCACTTTGGGGCTATTGTGAATAATGCTGCTGTGACATTTGTGTTACACATAAATCTTGAATCCACACAAGTTTCTGTATGGGCATACAGTTTCAGTTCTCTCAGGTATATCTCTAGGAGTAGAATTGCTGGGTCAAATGGCAACTCCCTTGCTACCGTTTTGTGCCACTGCCAGGCTGGTTTTCTAACTCCTGTTAGAGACCACCTCGAATAGATTGTCGTGTGTGTGTTACACTTAGGTCTCATAGGATTCTCGGAGATTCTCATCGTCGTCACTTAACAGATGACTAAGTGGGGAATTTTAGAGTGAGTGATGCACTCTAGACTGAAGGGCTCATTGGTGAAGAAGCTGGGGTTTCAGCTCGGATGTTTGGGCCTTGAGCTTAGGGCTTGTTCCACAGTGGCACTTGCTGTGAATGAGGGCGAGGGATCCCTGTGCTTCTCAGGTTGATTTTTCACTGTGTCATTTGTTTTTCCGTCATTTTGTTTTATTATTTTTAAAAAACTGACATTACTTACTTTCCTGCTTATGACATAGTAATATAGACTCTTAGAATAAAAATGTAAACATTATGCTCCAATACTGTAATTATAGTATATTATGTATTATATGTTACAGTACTATTATTGTACTACTGTAGTATACAAATAAAGTAATACAAAATATTCCAGTCCCATGAGGAGCTTGCTTTTTATAACCTGGTACGTATCCCATCAATATTTTTTAATACATCATAATATATATTCATAATTATTGCTGCTTATTTCAGTTTTTAACTTATCTGCTGCACATATGGTGTAGCTAATTGCTTTTTTTCTTACACTGTATCTGGAATATCTTTTGCTTTGGGAACATACAGATTTGCCTCATGCTTTCTAAAGCGGCTATCTGGCTTCTTCAAAAAAAATGGCGTGGTTTTAGAGCCCTTGGGCCTCTCAGAAGGATAATTTAGGTCAGCTCTTCTCACACTCCAGGTGCATGTGATTTTCCTGGGGATTTTGTGGAAATGCAGATTCTTATTCAGTAGGCCCAGGGAGGGCCCAGGAGCCTGCCAGTGTTTCTACTCAGCACCCCCAGCCGTGCGAATGCTGAGTCCACACTGAATAGTGAGGGTAAAGGGCTGCTGAGATACCTGCTGGCTCTGGGCATGGTTTCTCCCTGCTGAGGCTGTTCTGCTCTTTCAGAATGAGATGCTGGAAGAGGGACATGAGTATGCCGTCATGCTGTACACCTGGCGCAGCTGCTCCCGGGCCATTCCCCAGGTGAGACGTCCTTGCTGTGTTTCTCTCCCCTCTAGCTCATGTTACCACTTCCTACCCCACCCCCAAAGCAGTGAGCTGAGCCTCCCCAGTGGCAGGGAGTAAGTCAAGGCCTCTGATCCAAGGAAGAATGTGGAGGACATTCAGAGGGCTTCCCATAAGACCGATGACAGCACCTCGCCTGCCTCGAAAGTGCAAGGTCCTGAGTTTGATCCCCGGTACAAAAAAAAATGTACTTCCTAGTATCCAATAGAAACAGTATTTTATTTCAGATGCTGTATATATGAACTATCTGTTCCTTGCAGAAGTGCATAAAGTAAAAAACAAGACCTCACCCCACACGCAAGCCTGCCTTCCACCGTAGGATAATCACTGGGAGCACTTGGCTGTCCATTTTTCTGGATCTTTTTCCTGCCATAAGTATTATTTCATAAATCATCTCATTTATAAAAGCATGTGGTTTCTATTTTCTATTGTTCTGCCATTTGCTTTTTCTTCTTAATTCTTTATTACTGACTTCTTTAAGTTGAAACAAGTATTTTTATTACCATCATTATCATATAACCGATGGGTTCCATTGTGACAAAATCAACAAACCATAGGTGTGCAAAGTAAACAGAAGTGATTCTTCCCACTTCCTTCTAACCCTAGTCCCCAAGGGTGTCTGCTATTAACAGCACCCTTCAGAGTTCCTGTGCTGGTATTATGTACAGACACTTACACACAGTTTTGTTTTGCTGAACAAAAACGGGATCACATTACGCTTACTGTTCTGTAACTTTATTCACCTGTTAGTTGCTGGTGAAAATTCACGTAGACCTATCTCATTCCTTCTATCAGTTCATCATGATGTACGATTGCATCACTTTATTTAACCATCCACGGATGGATATTACGCAGATGCTACCATTTTGTGAATTTCTACACTTGATCTTAGCCAAAAGGCCGAGAAGCAATGAATTTCTAAGCAATTATAAAATTTATCCTTGTGCCTGCCTTTGCTCGTTCCTTACATCCCACCAGCATTTTGGCGGTCTTGGAGTGTGTGCTGTGGGAAAATCTGCTGTGTGATTCTGTTGTCTTGCTGGTCAGAAACCACTGGCCTCTTCATGGCACCTTTTCCTCAGCCAACACTGGCTTGGGGATGGTTAGGGGAACTTGGCTACATTCAGAGCATTGGACGGAGTATTTCTCTCTGCTTAGAATTCCAGGCGCAATAGAACAGGACTAGGGGAAAGGGTGGCTGAGGAAGGACCCCTGCAGATCCACGTGGGTACACCTCATGCCCACAGCACAGAGCATAGAGGGAGGAGGGCTCTGGTCTTTTCTGATTATTATTCAGTCCCTAAGTGGTACCTCTGCCTGCTGCCAGACTGGGCAGATTGAGCTGCCCCAGCCTCCTCTCACTCAGGTGGCCAGGCAGTTATCATCCAGAATGAAGCACACATGAGAGTAAGAGAGGCCTGGCTAAAAAAGCAGCAGGTATGAACCAGGACATCCTGAGCAAACCAGGACAACTGTGAACATCTCCATGCCCACAGGTGAAATGCAACGAGCAGCCCAACCGAGTGGAGATCTATGAGAAGACTGTGGAGGTGCTGGAGCCTGAGGTCACCAAGCTCATGAAGTTCATGTACTTCCAGGTGAGCCGGCGTGGATGGGTCCACATCGGGAGACTTGAAAAGACCTCCACCCTGCCTGGCCCTGGGCTCTGGACTTTTGGGTTGTGTTATTTATTCAACCAGCAATTATTTTTTGAGAGCTGCCCACACACCCCTGGGTGAGCAAGACAGACAGGTGCAAGTTAAGATCTTGCCACTTTCTGAAGCCGTTCTGGAATTCTTTCCTGAGTGTCTTTATGAGGTGCCATAAAGTATGTGGTGAATGTTGCTACCAAGTGTCGTGCAGTGGAAAGGCAGGCTTGTAGAAACATTACGGTGTGTCCTCGGACACCTTATTCATCGGTCTGGCATCGTCCAACCTCTGGCTCTTCCTCAAAGTCAAAATGACCATGAAAGAAAAAAAATAAAAAGACCATGAAAGATAACTTTTCGCATCGACTCAGGACATTGAAGCAACCATGATGATTCAACTAAAGACACAGGAAAGAGGATTTCTAGAGCTGCTTCAGTTAGTGGCAGGAGTGGTGGGCTAAGTGTAGGTGAAATGAAGAGGATTTTGAGTGGAATTAATGGCAATGGGTCTTTTACTGTAATAAATTTTTAAAATGTAAGCATTCACCACATTTTTCAATCGGGGTACATCCTAGTGAGCATGTTAGTATGTTTTGGGCATAAGGAGCGATTGGCTGTAAAAAATGCACAATAAATTTTCAGGGCATAGCAGGTGCTGCAAGTAAAATAAAGTTTACACCATGGCTGGGTTGTAGAGTGTCTGCGAATGGGTGCTGCTTCAGGGACAGCCCCTCAGGGTGTGGCTGTGGGCTGAGATTTGGGTGTGAGAGAGGCTGGCATGTGATGGTCAGGAAGAAATGGGCTTCAGGGAGAAAGCACTGCAAGGCCAAGCAAGGCTCTGAGGCCTGGAGGGCTCTGATATGTTGAAGAAGTAGAAGGGAGCTGGAGAGGCTGCAGAGCAGTGGCTGTGAGGGAGTGGCGGAAGGGGAAATGAGAAGGGGGCAGGGACCCCTTTAAATAGGGCCCTCCGGGGCTGTGAGATTTCATGCCAGTGCCATGGGAAGCTCCTGACCGTTTCTGGTGGCGTGATATAATTTGAGGTTTCATGGCCTCTGAGTGCTGTGTTGGAAACACATAAGCACTAGGGGACAGAAAGAGGCCGAGAGGGGGCAGCTGGGGGACCAGTCGAGAGCTGGAAGAGCGATCATTATTCAAAGGAGGAAAGAAGAGAGGGCCAAGGGTTCCTGTGCGTGCCAGGTAAGAAAGTGAGCTGGCTGGACAGAAGTCACAGGAGAAGCACATCATAAACAGGTCATAGTTGCGGTGACTTCGAAAGTTTCGGAGGACCACAGGGTGAGCAGCTCAGGGCCAGTCTGTAGCCCAGGCTGAGGATTGTGCCACACAGGACATCTCCTCCGCTTGTCCCCCTTGGAGCTGAGCTTCCTGTACAGGCTCTTGGGTGCTACCATCCACCCCGCACCCAGCACAGGGCTGGTGTCTGGTAGCCGGGGCCAGGACTGGGGTTGGAGCCACCATGCAGCCCTGGATCAGGATATGCGCCGAGTCAGACCAGGGCTCTGCCACTCACTCACTGTGCCTGCCAGCTGTTCCGCCTCCCTGACACCTTCCAGTGTTTCTCTGGGGCTGATGCCTGCCTCACAGGTCGGAGGCAAGGGCACAGGTCTGCATGTGAACAGCTAAGTTGGCCACTCCAGGGTGGGCTCAGAGGCTCAGAGCTGCTGAGTTAGCATCACAGACCTGCCTTCCTGGGCCTCAGCTGTCTGTGGGAAGCAGATCCAGGGAAGGGGCAATGGCAGAGGCTGGTGAAGAGCTAATCAGACCAAGCCCTTCCCCAAGGATGGCTGTGGACATTAAAGTTGCATAAAATTAAAAGTTCAGCTCCTCAGTCCCATAAGGCACATTTTAAGTGCCTGCTAGCCCTGTGATAAGCAGCCGTCCTATTGGACAGTGATGACCAGTGACCTTTTTACCACTGCAGAGTGCTTAATTGGATCTGACTCTGGAAGGAGCAAGTGTGGCCTGGCTTGGGCTTTGCAAGAGAGAAAGCCTGGCTGTGGGCGGGCGTCTCGGCCGTGGGAACCACGGAGAGGAGCTCACAGCTGAGCAGCCCTTTCTCTTTCTCTCCTTGCCCCTCCTGCATCCCTCCTGAATTCCCTCTCCTCTTTCTCTTGCTCACTCTCCCTGGATTACTGCAGTTGCCTCTTTTATCTTGTTGAACTACACCCCCCACCCCACCCCTCACACAACTGGTTTATTGAGATATAACTTACTTTCCATCCATTTCACCCATTTAACATGAGCAGTTCAGCAATTTTCACTGTGTTGGTAGAGTTGTGCAATCATCACTATGGTCCATTTTAGGACATCTTCTTCACCCCTGAAAGGAACTCTCTGACCTTCACCTGATAATACCTCCCAAACCCTTCTGCCCTTAGGCAACCACTCATCTTGTTCTGGCGCTGTGCATTTGCCTGTTCTGGATGCTCCCTGTAAATGAAATCATACAGTTTGTGGCCTTTTTTGTCCAGCTTTTTTAGGTAGCGTAATGTTTTGAGGGCCACCCCTATTGTAGCGCATGTCAGGATTTCATTCTTTTTTATGACTGAGTACCATGTCATTATGTCAATGCTACGTTTTATTTGCATATTGGGTTTTTTCCACCTTTTTTGTTTAGTTGGTTGATTTTTTGAGACAGCGTCTCGCACGTAGTTCAGGTTGGCCTTGAACTCACTGTGTAGCCCAGGCTGGCCCTGAACTCATGGTGATCCTCCTGCCTCAGCCTCCTGAATGCTGGGGTTACAGAATATGTGTCACCACACCCAGCAGTTCTTTCCCCACTTTGGGCCTATTAGGAACAAAACAGGAACACTGAGTATGAGTTTTTGTGTGGACGTAGGTCTTCATTTCTCCTTCCAGGAGTGGAATTACTGGGTCATTTGTTAACTTCCCTAACTGAAGCAGCCTCCTAACTCATCACCTGCCCCGTCCCCCGGCTCTGATCTTGCGTCAGCAGCCACTGTGACCCTTGGGAGTTATACTGCAGACCTGCTGACCTGCTCCAGGGCCTCCACGTCTCCCCAGCGTTCAGAGCTCTCGCCCTCACAGGATTCCACGGGAGTCGTGGCTGCAGCCCTTCTGACCCTACTCCAGCTGCCTCCCTGCACTCAGGCAGACTCGGGCACTCTGGCTTCCTCCCTGTCTCAGATGTGCCCCAGGACCTTTGCTCTGGTCGTTCACTTCCCTAAGTTATACCTGTGTCCGCCCCCCCTTTCAAATTCTTTTCCTGAAAGTCACTTTGTCATGTTTTCTTCTGGGATCTTTGTCCCTAGAGAGAGTACTCCTCCGAGCCTTCCCAGCGCCCAATCCTAATTCTTCTCCCTAGCTCCCTGTACGACATCCCCACAGAGAGAAGTTTTCTTCTGTCTTCTCTCCGTAAGGGCACATTGGCGTGAGCCCTTAGAGCATTTGGGGTGTGCTTGCTCCGTTCTGCTCCCTGCTCTACTGTGTGCCTAGAGTGGTACCTGGCACATAGTAGGTGCCCAATAAAAAGTTGGTGAGTGGACCTCTTTCTCTGATGTCCCTCACATTGTTTCCTGTCCCTCCTTACTGTGTGGCACCTGACCCTGGTGATGGGGCAGGGGCCACAATTGGGAAAAAGACAAAGTACTTCATAGCAAATGTGTCCTGAATGTTCATTGGCTTTGCTCACTTGAGGCAGGTTCCAAGCTCACCTCTCAGAGTCAGCTCTGGATTTAAGTGCTTCTCTGAGAAAGGCCACCTGATAGATTTGCCCTCCCAGCAGGGCCTGGCTCTGCCCAGAGCCCCAGGGCAGCCTTGACCTGTCCCCCAGGGCCACCTGGCCTCACTTGCCGCCCTCTTCCTGCAGCGTAAGGCCATCGAGAGGTTCTGCAGTGAGGTGAAGCGGCTGTGCCATGCCGAGCGGCGGAAGGACTTCGTCTCAGAGGCCTACCTCCTGACGCTGGGCAAGTTCATCAACATGTTCGCCGTCTTGGACGAGCTGAAGAATATGAAGTGCAGTGTCAAGAACGACCACTCTGCCTACAAGAGGTCAGCCCATCCACGCCAGCCAGTGCAGGGAGGAAGGCCCAGAGCCCACCTCACAGGCTTGCTCCCTGCTCGCAGTCCAGCAGGGCTGGGCCTGGGTCGGTGTGGTTTAGGAAATGAGGAGCAGAGCTGGGTCTTTAGAGAACTCGATGTTTTCTGCAGATGAAATCAAGTCCCTGTTTCCCTCCACTCTGGAGCAGCAAGGTTTTCTGTTCCTCTGTGCGCTATGGGACCGGGAAGGTGATCACAGCTTGGTTACATCAGTTGTTTCCTTCAGGCTGCATGCACAAAGGAAGGAAGGAATAGGAAAAGCCCAGGCATGCCTGCATCCGGGTGTTCGGTCCTGAGTCTCCCTGCTGGACTTCTCTTCCCCTGGGCTTATGTTTCAGGCAGTTCCCTGTCCTGTGGTGGCCTCCACCAGCCTCCACAGCAGCTCCAGCTTTTAAGAAGGGAAAGAATGAGGGCCGGGGATTTAGCTCAGTGGTTTTGCCGCCTGCTGCGCAAGCTCGAGGGCCTGAGTTCGATCCCTGGTACCAAAAAAAAAAAAAAAAAAAGAAGGGAAAGAGTGCTACTCCTTCCAAATGCACCGGGCCGGCCTGGGGTCAGTGCTCAGTTTTGGAGCTGGGGGTCCAGTGTCAGCTTAGAAGAATGGTCAGAGACTGGGAAGGCACATTCATCTCCAGAGATCAGGGTGCAGCCACCCAAGAGTAGGGAAGACAGTAACAGCAGCAGGTCCTGTCATGTGCTGGCTGAGGCTCAGTTGAGCTCTGTGTGGACAGGCTCTGGACCTGCCTCAGGAGCAGGATTTCAGTATCGGTGTCACTGGCAAAGAGGGACCCAGGCGGGAGCAGGGACTCTGTTGTCACGGATCATCGTGACACAGGCTGTGCTGGTGCCAGGTGAGGCTGGGACCTCTGGGCACCTGTGCGTTGCCCCCTTGGGGCCTCATGGGGTCCCTGTGCCTGTCACCCCCTTCGTCTGCAATCCTACTGGGTTGGTTAGACTCCTGATTTCCATGCAGTGCTTTGCTTTGGAACTCTGAGGGTTTCCTGTGAAGAGAGAATATACACAGGTGCCAAGTGCCCGCCTGGGTCTTCTCTGGAACTCATTGTGCAGCTCCTGTGGAGGTCACAGTGAGGCCAGAGGAGGCTCCTCCACCCGGTGCACCATGCCTGCCTGGCTGATGAATGCTGGTTCCCATTAAGCTTTCTGAGTTTTCAGAGATTTGGGGTGGGTTCCTGCCTTTTAATTTCAGCACCCCGCCATGGGGGTATAAATAGCACCCCCATACAACTCCAAAACATGCTCCCTGAGAGTCTCCCGTGACAGTCAGCGCTCACTAACCTCGGGGACGGGAACTCTTAGGGCCAGCTGGGAGCAGGAGTCCATGCAGCCTGGTTTGGATTCACTGTGCCTGGACATTCCCCGCTGATGCCCTCTCTGCATTGCAGGGCAGCCCAGTTCCTCCGGAAGATGGCAGACCCCCAGTCCATCCAGGAGTCACAGAACCTTTCCATGTTCCTGGCCAACCACAACCGGATCACCCAGGTGAGGGTGGACTCCTGGCAGCTCTGCCTGGCATCCTGGGGGAAGAGGCAGGGCCCTGAGGATGGACGGACCTTGAGCCTAAACACATAAGCTCTGTCCACACCGTCCCTCTCCACTGCCCTTCCCAAGAGGGACATGAGGCTCCCTCCTGGCCTCGGAGGCCCTTGCACCCTCTCAGGTTGGGCTTCTGGAAGCCTCTCAGCCATGCTTGTGGCCCAGCATCTTGTATAGACAGAGAGCTGGACTAGCACATTATCCATTGTGGCTCCTTGGGCAGAATCAAAGCCTCAGTTTCCCCATCTGTAAAATGGGCCTGTTATTTTGATATTATGAGAATCCGTCTCATGGGACTATTTTCAGAAATAACCTTTAGCAAATGGAATGTGCAGGTGGTCAGGGCATAAAAAGCCACAGCTGTGATCACCCCCACTGCTTTGGTGGGGCACGCTCACTCAGCTGTCACTCTCATGTTCTGCCCAACATAGCTCTGCTCCTTTCACTGTCCTTTGAGTCATCCTAAACAGACGCCAGCGAATGTCAGCAGGAGCCAGGCCAGTGCCAAGAGTTCATCAGAGAGGGCTGTGTGCCTCTCCTGAGGGTTTTCAGCCCCGATCCTCACCAAGACCCAGGGTCGCCAAGCCCCTTGCTGCCCTGGTCACTGCAGAAGGCTGCCCAGCATCCAGGGACCCTGTAGGGAGCCTGGCAGTGCCTCCTCCGTGCACCCTGCAGGGTCTTGCCTTGTCGCTTTGGAGAGCAGGACTGGGGTGGGTACCTCAGACCTTTCTCTGTGGGAGATTTCTGTGCTTCAGTGTCCTGCTAGGAGGAAGGCAGCTGCCAGCCCAGTTGTCCTCCCTTAGGTGGCCCTTCTCTGCCGTCATCCACACCCCCAAAATGAGGCTTGAAATCATTACTGGCTGATTGCTGTAAAGCTGAGCTGCTTGCTTCTCAGCTCGGCTCCAGACAGCACTTTCTTACCATCAGAGTTGCCAGGGATCAGAATGCAGAGCTCCAGAGCTCCTGCCCCGGGAGGTGTGCAAGAGCGCTGACCAAGCCATTGTGCTGGGGGTGTTGGCAGGAGCTCAGGAAGCAGGTGCTGGCTGGGGCACAGCTCTGCCCCGCCTGGGCCTGGTGGTGGCCTGTCCGTGGGGACTGCGTGCCTGGACACTAAGCCAGCTGTGGGCGTCCTGGGTGGGGCAGGGGAGGATGCAGCAGGATGCGTGCTTGGCCTAACTAGAGGGCGGTGCGCCTGTCTAGTGTCTCCACCAGCAACTGGAAGTGATCCCAGGCTATGAGGAGCTGCTGGCTGACATCGTCAACATCTGCGTGGATTACTACGAGAACAAGATGTACTTGACCCCCAGTGAGAAACACATGCTCCTCAAGGTACAGCTCCCCACAGCCCCACACACAGGGCCGGGCCTGCCCTCCTGTCTCCTTCCTTTTAGAATCATTTTTAAATAATTGTACTTCTTTTTCTTACTCGAACAGTGATGCAGATCTTACTGCAGATAATGGTTTGTAATCTCCTTTCCTTTAATGTGCCGTGTTCTTCTTTAAGATGTCACTAAGATTATTTTAAAATACAGTTTTAAATGGCTGCCAAGTATTCAATTGTATGAAGACGTTTTTATTTCTCATAGCCCCTGTGGTTGGATAATTCTTTGCTAAACTGTGTTAAAACCCCTTACACCACAGCCTTTGTGCATATCTTTTGTCAGGCTGAGCTTCCTGGTAGAGAAATTGCTGACTCAAAGGAAGGAAGAGTCTTCAGACTTTTGCCCTGTCTTACCAAAATGGTCATTATTATTTCCGTAGTCATATTTATTAATGGGGAAATCTGGAACATACAGAAAAAACATAAAAAATTAAATCTTTCATAATCTTTCCATCCAGAGATAACACTTTCAGCATCTTGTAGTAAGTCTTTCTCATTTTCTTCTATGCTGTCTATATTTTCAATACATGAACTATATGTGAGCATGTAGAATTTTTTCCCGTTTCATTAAATATTTTTGGAATATTGTATGGTTGTTAAATAGCACCATATAGATGAGTCTTCGTTTCTTCAACCTTTATTCTATCTTTGGATTCTCAGATTGTTCTAAGTTCTCACTGGCATGAACAACCTTCTTTAGATTCTTTCTACACACTGCAGTGTCTTCCTTTTTGATTCTTTCTTCCCAAAAGCCTCATCTCTCAGAGGTTTTCTCTTTCTTCTCCTCTCTGTCATGTCACTCTTACTATTCTAAGAATCCTTTCTCTGGGATGCTGTTCCTGTCTTTACAGTTCTAGCACCTTAAGTTTGTAGGATGTATCATTCCATATTTCATTACTATAACAAAATACCAGAGATGAGCTATTTATAAAGAACAGAAGGTTTTGGCCAGGGAGTTAGCTCAATGGTTTTGCCGCCTGCTGTGCAAGCACAAGGACCAGAGTTCAATCCCTGGTACCAAAAAAAAAGAACAGAAGGGTTTTTTTGCTGGCAGTCCAAACAGCAAGGTGCAGTCTCTGGCAAGGGTCCCTTTGGATATACCACATCATGGCAAGAACATGTTTGTGTTTCTATGGTCTCTCTCCCTCTCCTTACAAAGTCACCAGGGTGCAGTTGGGGTCTCCACCATAATGGCCTAATCCGATCATCTTCCAAAGGCCCCACCTCTAAACACCCTCTTAATACCATTACCAAATGATTCAGGGATTAAACTCTCCCCGAGTTCAGGGGGGAGACCTTTTCACTGCGCAGAGCAGTGTGGCTTCATGACTTGTCAGGCCTTGTCAGGCTTCTCTGGCCACCATAAAGCTAGAAAGGTTACCAGGTTCAGACACCCCCTCCGCCAGCACCATGGTTACTGTAGCTGTGCTGCAGCCAGTCTGCTAAGCAGGCTTTCACGCTGCCTTCAAATTCGCCAAACCTCCTATTTCCTTACCTGTCTTGAATCCCTCCGTACCATTTCCCAGCCTACTTCCCTCTGAATTCTCCACCCTCCTTAGTCTGGCCACCTCTAGTTTTGCTCTTTCATGGCTCACCTGCAGTTTGTGATCATGAATTCTGATGCCACTGAGGGGCACCATCCACCTGTCACTGGAAGAATCTGTTGCTGGTCCTGTCACACTCAGGGCACTCATCGTCTTCCAGGGTTAGGTGTTGGTTGAGAAATAGAGGCACAGCGAGGAGTGACTTTCCCACGTCTCCGAAACGGTCATGTCCCTTCAGCTGTGCATGTGACACAGGAGCAAAACTAACTAGGATTCAGGGCGCTATTGGATGGACTGAAATATCAAGAATTTTGACTCCTCTATAGGGGATTTTCAGGCAACAATCTGCTTTTATCAACAAAGTCACCTATAGCTCCTCAGGAACATTTACGTTATTGTCTCCTTAGGGAAAGATGTGGTTACTTGTGTATTAGTCCACTTTCTGACAATTTCCCAGTGCCTGTCACGTGCTGCATTCACCCCAGGGACATGACAAGGTCCTTCTGTCATGACAGACCTAAATGTGCACATTTTGCCTACAGATCTGGATTATATCCTTTTTAGATAACTATCTCTGAAAGTCGGCTAGCTGACTGATCTCTCTGTGTCTCTGATTCCTCATCTATCAAATAAGCTGTCATGACTTGACTCATAATAGTGTTGTGATAATTAGGAGTTATTATTAACCATGATACTTATTAAAGTCCTCAACATAGACTCTGGCGCACATAAGGGCCAAGAAACAATTGTCATAATATGCTACGTTTCAGGTTAAAATTAGACTCATCTTTCTTGTCTTAATTTGAAGACGTAAGAGTTTTGGTGCATTCGTGTGTGTGTGTGCGTGTGTGCGTGCGTGTGTGTGTGTGTGTATTTTCACATCATGGACCTACTTTTTTTTTAAACTTCTGGTGGGTGTGATGAGTTTCAGAGCGCTGTCCCTTCTCATTCCAGGTGATGGGCTTTGGCCTCTACCTGATGGATGGAAATGTCAGTAACATTTACAAACTGGATGCCAAGAAGAGAATCAACCTTAGCAAAATTGATAAATTCTTTAAGGTCAGCAACTGGAGCTGGGACTGGGCAGGGACCAGGGTTACCAGTGCCAAAAAGCATTTTGGGGGAAAAGCATGAAATTAGCCAGAAACGGTGGGGCTTGTTGAACAGTAGCTCTACAGACCTCACGAAGAGCAGGAGGATAAGATGACAGGGCCTCCAGCTGCCCTGGAGGAGGAAGTTATGCTACAGAAGGATGCAACCTGGAAATTGTACCTGCTTCTGTGCCTTAGGGCTTGGCTGGGATTTGCCAGAGGCCTTGTGATTCTTTTGGCCTGCTCCTTTTCCTTGCTCCTGAAATCCCTTGACAGCTAAAGAAACAGGTACATCCTGTATGAATGCCTGCTTTCATTTGCACATAAACCAGACCTCAGGGAAATAGGAGGGTTAAAGGCTGCACTTAGAACGGATCCATGCTTTCCAGTCACAGCCGGAGGCCTCCTCAGCCTGGCCTCAGCTCTGGGCAGAGCGCCTCTCAGCATCCGTCAGACACTCCATCCGTTGCTGTGCCTCTGAGCTTCTGGCCCCAAACCTTTAAAAACACAAACTGGCAGTTGAGTCATAACTTCTGGAAGGGCATTTCATACTCGTCATTGAACTCATGTTCTTGGTTTATTGTAATGTTGGGCCTGCAGGCACAAAGCCAGGCCTGGAGGATTAGACCCAGGAATGCGCAGTTTAATGTCAGTAGCAAAACCCCTTGAATGGGCAAAGTGCAGGACACTGGCCTGGGCCTGGGTCACACTAAGTCTTCCAGGTTACAGGGAGCATAAGTCACCAAGAGGTCTTATGGCTTGGCTTGGATTCTTTCTGAAGAGGAAATTTTAACTTTTCACTAGAGTGTCCCCAAATAAGGACAGTGCTCACCTTAGAACAGTGATGGCGAACCTTTTGGAGCTTTCAGTGATACCAACAGCCCACTGTGGCACTCCTGCCATAGGTTCGCCACCGCTGCCTTAGAAGATTCTCAAAAAATCTGCCTCGCTTGAGCAGGAATGAGGTGGGGTGGTGTGGCCAGATACAACCTCTCCACACATAGGCCGGGTTCACATCTGGCTCTGGCTCTGCCTCTGGGTAATGCAGTAAACTCCCTGGAACTGAGTTCCCCAGTCTGAGAACCGTGAATGCTGGGAGCATCTTCTCCAAGGACTCCATGGGATTAGATAGATGCGCCAAGCCTTGGCATATAATCCTGGCTCCTTGCCTCTGGCTGGGCTGACTGAAAAGTCACAGGGCCTCCTTAGCGTCAGTTTCTTCATTTGTGAACCTTGAGCGGTGATGGCTGATCTCGCAGGTTACTGTGGGGGTCAAGCTGATGTTGTAAAGCCTTTGGCACCATGTCTCGTGCACCGGAGCAGACAGCAGACACAGCCGCCCCTCCACTTGCCCTGGCCGTTGGTTGGGAGCTGCTGCACTCTGATGTCAGGTGCACGGGCTCAGTTACTGCCGTGCATGGATCCTCTCACAGAGGCCACAGCCAGCAGCAGCGCTCAGACACAGGCTCCTCGAGCAGAGTCTGGAGCAAAAGATGTCTGAGCTGGAGGAAGTTAGAGCAGAAAAGACCTGGCACGGAGAGGCCAGCCATGTATGTGTTCCTCTGCCTTCATTCGTTTAACTGGCTGTGTGACCTCGGACAAATTACTTCACCTCTCTGGGCTCGGTTGCTTGGAACACAGAGTTCGCTGGAGGCAGGGGAGGACCGGTGTGCTGGCTGGGGCTCCTTTCAATTCCAGGGGCCTAAAACCTTAACACCATCGGAAGTGCAAACATGGGGCCGGCCCCAGGTGCACACGGAGGCCTGCCGGTGAAGGCAGCTACCCCAGCCTTTGTGGCCTGCGTCTCATGCGCTGTTTGCTTCCTTTACAGCAGCTGCAGGTGGTGCCTCTTTTCGGCGACATGCAGATAGAGCTGGCCAGATACATTAAGACCAGTGCTCACTATGAAGAGAACAAGTCCAAGTGAGTGCCTGCCGTAATGTCTCTTGGCTCCCGCAGGACGCCCAGCCTGGGCAGGGGGCCGAGGGGCCACTTCAGCCCCTCCCCCCTCCCCAGAGCCCTGGGCCGCCGGTTCCCTAGACACTGGCACCGCCATCACCACCAATGGAGGGGACCCACGGAGGGTGCTCTCAGCCCTTTTGTATCCGCCCTTTGCTGCCAGGTTCAAAAGGGCTCAGAGCCTCACCTTGTCCCTTGTCCACTCTGCAACAACCTGCACATCCCCTCAAGGGGACAGGGGAGACCTCTTCCTCCCAGAGAAGTGGGGAGGCATGTCCGGCCCCCGGTGGTCAGGGGGAGACAGATGGTGGTGTCCTACATCACCTCATTCGCTGCTCAGGATTTGTGACCACGCAGTAAGTACCTGGTTAAGTGAACGTCTTGGATGGTTCTAGCAGTACAGGGGGTTGACAGGCTCCCCGTAGGTCCTTTTATAAACCAGGATTCTAGGAACTCTGTGCCAGGGCTTGGTGTCAGTGTCTCCCAGAGTTTGGGGAGGTGCTGGGTCCAGCTTTGTCCATACCTTTGACTCCCGAGGCTGTATAGAGGACCCTTCTGTGTGTATCTTGCCCCAAGATGAGCGTGACCAAAGCCTTTCCACGTGGACTGGGGATCCTTAAAGAGCCCAATAGGCTGGATGTGGTGGTGCACACCTCTAATCATAGCCACTCAGGAAGCTGAGGCTGGAGGATCACAAGTTCAAGTCCAGCCTGGACAGCTTAGCATGACCCTGACTCAAAATTTGTAAAAGGACCAGGGATGTAGCTCACTGGTAGAGCACTTTCCTAGCATGCAAAGGGCCCTGGGTTCAATCCCTAGTATCCAAAATAGAAAAGGAAGAAAGCCATCAGTGTCCTTTAGCTCCACCTGCTTGGTCCCCAAGGAAAGCTGCCATCGGGGAGGCTGTCCCAGAGGGGACAGGATGAGGAGGCTGAACCCATTCCCACCCCTGTCCTGTGTGAGTGCTGTACCCCCCGCAGCTGTGGAGGTGGAAGCCTGCCGTGTGACCAGGCAGGGAATGAAAAGTCTGAGTGACAGTGTCCCGGTCACCCCAGAAGTAGCTCCTAGTAAAGGGATAAAGGAAGAGCAAACTCCAAGCATGAGCAAGGTTGTCAACATTCCGACTGCCTTATAAAAACCACTTCAAGGCCTGTTTTGTTTTGTTTTGCGCTGGCAGTTGAACCCAGAGTGTTGGCATTGAGCTACATCTCCAGTCCTTTTAATTTATTATTTATTTTAAGATAGCCTCGCTAAGTCGCCCAGGCTGGCCTCAAACTTGCAATCCTCCTACCTCAGTCTCCTGAGTAGCTGGGATTATGGGTGTGTGCAACCTTGCCCAGCTAGGGCTCCGTTTGAACTATTAGATTCTCCTCCGAGCCTTTCTCTGCCTGATCAGGGCTCGTGCTTAGGCTGTCTGCCGGGTCATAAGCACCAGACGGGAGAGGGGAAGAGAAAGGAGGATTTTCATTCATTCCCTTATCAGTTCCCAGTGGTTTCCCTAATGATGTCTTTCAAAAAAGGGTTGAGTAGAAGGAGGAGAGGGAGGAAGGAAGAGAATAGTGGGAGAGGAAAGGGAAAGGAGAGAGGTAAGGTAGAGGGAGCTGTATCTCAAAGTGGGCTTTCTCATCCTGGGTGCATCCACAACACCAGGTCACCATTGAAGAAGAGACACAAGCCCGTTTTGTCTTCCCCATCCTGGCCAAAAGGGCCCTCTGCAGCCCCAACAGTGTCGATGCTTATAGAGTCCGTGGACAGGTCTGGGGAGGTTGCCCACCTTATTTTTTTCTTGCCTCAGACTCCAGCCTTTTCTGTACCTAGAGAGCTGTGGTCCCCAACCTCAGCCCTCCAATGTAACTGATAAGTATTTTCGAGCAGGCACGAGAGTCCTGTGGTGGAATCTCAGAGGAGGCTGGCCCCAAGGCCGAGGAAGGACTGCTGCACTCAACCTGTGGTCCCACAGCCGTGTCCTTAGGCGGCTTTGGTGCTGAGGTGGCAGGAATACGTTTTGGTTCCACCCAGGGGAGCCAGCCATGTGGGCTGAGGACCACGAACGACTAGTGCATGGAAGGAACCTGTTCCAGCCAGGTGCCTGGGGCCAGGACCCAGCCTGACCTGTGACCTTCTCTGCAGGTGGACGTGCACACAGAGCAGCATCAGCCCCCAGTACAACATCTGCGAGCAGATGGTTCAGATCCGGGACGACCACATCCGCTTCATCTCCGAGCTTGCTCGCTACAGCAACAGTGAGGTGAGTGGCCCAGCTGCCACAGCCAGGAGCATCTGGGAGGATGGAACGCACCAGATAAAGGAGAGTGACTGGGCAGGAGCACAGTCGGAGGCAGAGGGTGGCATCGCTCAGAATGTGGTGTTAGAGCCAGACAGAACCTGTGACCGTCATAAGGTTAAATTTCTCGACAAGAAGCACAAGTTATGGTCTGGGTGCATTTCACCTAACCTTATCGAGTCTGGTTCTGCCACTGTCCTTTGCAAATTACTCAACATCTTTGTGCCTCAGTCTCCTCATCTGCAAAATGAGTGTTAATACCCCAGCCTGGGGAGGGAATGGGGTCAGGGTAAGCAGAGACGATGGTTCATGGCTGTAGGGGTGCAGTTGGGGAGGAGGAAGAGCTTTTACTGTTCCATTGCACACTGGGTAACTACGGTTGACAGCAGTTAGCAGGTATTTCCAAGTAGCTGGTAGAGAAACTTTGAATCGTTCCAGACACAAAGAAGTGATCAGTGTTCGAGCAGTTGGATATGTCAATTACCCTGATGTGATCATTAGACGTTGTAGACATGGTTTGAAAAATTACATTGTGTCCCGTAAGTATGCATAATCTGTGTATCAATTAAAAGTGAAATGGGGATATTCTATCCTGAAAGGTTTGTTAAGAAAATTAATTAGGTGCATGGAGCCGGCCGGGTCTGGAAGACAGTCAGGGCCCTGGAGTTGTTAATTCTGCCCTACAGGACCCAAGCTGTCTCCGCTGATGGCAGCAGAACAAATTCCCAACCCTCACGTTCCTAACAATTTCTCAAATTATGCAGGAATGAATGATTGTTATAAAAAGTCACAGATGCAGTTAGGGAGAGAAGAGGGTAGCTATAATCTCCTGTGATCTCAGTAGTGATGTGTCATTGCACTTTTCTGTTTTGAGCATGGATACATGGTCAATGCCCAAAACTCCAAAGAAAAGGTAACAAAAGGAGGGACAATCTGGTAAAATCCTACTGTCCCAGAACAGTCACGATTAGTACTTGGGGACATGTGTCCTGTGTCTCCTCCCGTAGCTGCCTTTAATAAATGCAAATGCGTCCTGGTCCCCTGGAGGGCTCTGCGCAGCCCCACATTTGCTTTCTGGCTCCACCGTGTGGCCAGCAGCAATAATGATCATCTGGAAATCCATGGCTCATAGAGCACTGTACTTGAATTGGGCACAGTCTTCACAGAGGCAGGCAGTGTGGCCATTAAGCTAGTGGCTCCCACGGAGAAGATCATTTCTTACCAAATGTGCCAGTCTGCCAGACTGAGCCACAGGAACCATTGCCCTTGGGTGCTGTGGTCCTTAAGTCCTAGTCAAGTTTTATTGTGGTCGCAGAGTATGTCTGGCCAAAGGTGCTGTTTTAGTATTGCATAGGGACTGTGACAGGGACAAGAACGCACGTATTCAGGGTAGGTGCAGTTTTTCTTTCTGGGTGTTTCCCGTCCTTCACTCTGGATCACTGGACGTGGACACTTTCTATACAGAGGCTGACTGCTCTCACTGTATTCCTGTGTAGACCCAGCCAGTGCTCAGTATTTGCAGTAATTATGTTCTGCGGAGTGGCTATGAACTCTCAATGAGCACGTCTCTAACCATCTCCAAAGGGAAGTACAGAGTTGTGTGAGCCTGTGGCTACAATATTTTCATCAACCAGAGAATACAAAACTGTGTTTTGTCTGTGCTTCTATTTAAAGACACCTTATGGGATATACTGTGTAATGTTGATTCATCAGCATTAACTGAGGGCCTATCGTGTTATAACTTACTCTTGAACAAATTTTACCTGAAACATATTTTTTTCCTGGAAACATATTTTTTCCACAAGGTGTTACAGCTTCCCTGCAGGTAGGACCACCCCCTAAGCAGTCTGCTTTCTCCCTGCAGCTTTTTCCATCAGCCCTGGGCTTAGGGGCCATTTTCACTTGTGATATCACCAGTGACAAGCACAAAAGTATGGAGAGCATGGTGCTGAGTAGACTGTGAAAAGGACTTTTGTTTACAGTATGAGAGCTAGAACCAAAGGCCAAGAGTCTTTTTGTCCAGCCTCAGCTGGAAACAGGCACATGTTTACAAATGACTGGGAAATCTCAAGTGTTGATTTTGGGGTTGCGAGTAGATTTTGGCAAGCAGATGAGTTCACAGATACAAAGTCTGCCAGCAGCCAGGACCGGCTGTACATAAGTGTATACTTGCCTGCGGGTAGCATGTCTGTGCATGTACAGACCCATTTTGTGAGATATATAATGCAGACAGACAGAGCTTTGGACCAGAGCTTTTTAATCAGCGAGTCATGACAAATAAATAAATAATGAAATCAATTTAGTGATTTGTGACTAACATAGGAAATAGAATAGAAACTTAGAGGGAATCTGATGTATCGAGAGTGAGATTGAAAGCCAGGTGCATGGGTGTATCCCCAACTTCAGCTACTCAGGAGGCTGAGGCAAAGGGTTACACATTCAAGGCTAACCCACGCAACTTAGCAAGAGCCTGTCTCCAAACGAAAGATAAAAAGGGCCAGGGATATAACTCAGTGGTAGAGTACACGCCTCTGGGTTCAATTTCCAGAACCGAACACAAACACACAAAAAGAGTAAGATTGCTGTGTGAAAATCATTGTTCCTGGCATGCATATACATATTTAGTATCTCAGTGTAAGGGTGTATTCTTGAGTCACTGCAGTCTGCACTGTATTCTTACTGTGAATGCAGTCAGAAGAGTTCGAAGGCCTGGCCTCCAGGCACAGTGTGGTTGTGAGAGGGTCTGTGGCACTGCACGTCCTAAATGGGGACCCGGGGCCAGTGACAAGCCACGTGGCCTTCAGCAAGACACTCGTCTGAGGCCCATTCACCTGTTAAGGGAATGCAGTGCCTGCACTCCCCTGGAGAGTTCTCGGAGGGAATCAGTGAAGTAGCGTGGTAAGTGCCAGGCACATGGACGGTGAGTGTGATGGTCACTGTCCCCCAGGTGGTGACGGGGTCCGGACTGGACAGCCAGAAGTCGGATGAGGAGTACCGTGAGCTGTTTGACCTGGCACTTCGGGGCCTGCAGCTCCTGTCCAAGTGGAGTGCCCATGTCATGGAGGTGGTGAGTGTCCTCAGGCCGAAGGCCCATGCTGGCCACTGTTCACTAAGAATCTGTCTGCTCAGCCTTTCCTCAGCACTGTTTTTAACAGCTTTACGGAGATACAATTCACACATCACACTATTTAAGAGTGTTGCATCATTGAGTTTTTGTACATTCATGGAGTTGTACAACCACATTCCAATTTAGGACACTTTTATCATTTCAAAATGAAACTGTGTGTATCATTCACCATGCCTGCAGCCCTGAGCAATCTACTTTCTATGTATATAGGTTTTTCTACTCTGGATGTGCCATATAAACAGACTCATACTGTATATAGACTGTTGTACTTGGGTTCTTTATTTCATATGTTTTCAAGGTTATCCCATGCCATAGCGTCAATAAGTACATTTCCCTTTGCATGGCCGAATAATATTCTTCTGCATGGATGTACCACATTCTGTTTAGCCCTCCATCAGCTGATGAGCATTTGGATTGTTCCCACTCTCCCCAGTATTCTTGGAAGCTGGTTCACCCCACAGACAAGTTCTGCAACAAGGACTGTCCTGGCACGGCAGAGGAGTATGAGCGAGCTACACGCTACAACTACACCAGCGAAGAGAAGTTTGCCTTCGTGGAGGTAGGTGCAGTCTCCCTTCTGGTGTCTCCCACCCCATGCAAGACTCCTGCTTCCTGTGGTTCTGGAAGTGGACCTGGCTATGCTTAGAGTGTTGGTAGTCTTAATGTACACAGCTTTCCCTGTCCCTTTCTACCACCCAAATTCATCGCTGCCAAAATTTCTTATTAAAAAATGATTAGAGGGTCCTGTGTTCCTCAAAATGCCAAAGGGAAATGTTTGCTTCACTACCAAAAAGATCAAAAGAAACAAAAAACACACAGCTAAAAGAGATAGGAAAAATACCCAGGCGAATAAGTGACCAGAGAACTGTAGATTGGAACTAAAACAAGATAGAGTGTTCAGCAGTGAGGGCAGCAGAGATTGAAAAGATCGGTGATGCCTGCTGCAGTGGAGGCGTGGGAAGTAGCAGTCCCTGGTGTTGCTGGTGGCCAGTCTACACCTGACGGGCCTGTGAAGGCGATATGGTTGTGCATATTCACATTTTTAATATCTATACCCGTTGGCTCAGAAGTTGTTCTTTAGGGAATATATCCCAGGGAAACAGCAACTGTCAGATGTGTGTGTGGATACTTATCACAGTATTGTTTATAATACCAAGACAGGTGCAACAGCATAAATGTCTCCATATGGGACCAGGTGAGTGAGTTAAAATTTAGTGACATCATTGAGTTCTGTGCAGCCACTAAAAGGATGTCTGTATGTAAAAAGCTATGCACAGTATATTGTTAGATTTCTTTTTAAAAGGGAAAGAATACCATTTAAAATAATCCCGTTTGTACTAAAATTAACCATTTCTTAGTTTTTCAGTTTGTAGCATTATACTTTTGTATATTTTCTCAGAACATAAGGGCATAAGCATTTATACATGCCAAACCCACAGTAGTCATTTCTGGAGGGAAGATTCTTCCGTCCTGCTTTATAACCTTCCGAATGGTGTTCTGTGTGTTTGATTACCCGGTGATATTTCTGCTGGGTGAGAAGCTCTTTTGTTCTACGTTGTGAGCATGGCTCCATCTGGCATGAGCGTTCGAAGCCAAGCAGAGGCTGATCTGGGAGTCAGAGTCCTGTATCACAGCCCACGGCCTGGTGGTCACTTTTTCATGAGCCTCCGCTTCCCCAACTGTAAAATGGAACTCGCCTCCCCTTCCTCACATTGCAGTTACTGTTCAGAATCAGACAACGCCGTCCAATAAGATAACGGTTGTGGATGAGCTTTGAAAGCTTAAAGGATCATGTAAACGTGAGAGGTTAGAGATGTTCCTCAGGAGCTCTGCGGAGTATACTCTTGGAGATTGAGGGTCAGTGGTTTAATTTCAGACAGGGAAAACACGTCTCTGTAGCCGACATTATCCTGTGTGGCTCCCTGACCACACAGCTCTTCCATTGCTAACATGAATCTTCAAAAAAGTTTCCCAGTCTCCATCACTAAGGAGAAAGAAAGTCTTCCTCAAACCTCTTTGAAATGACCCTAAGAGTCAGCAGCCATGATGAACTGGCCATGCGCAGCCATGTGAATTGGCCATGCCCCTTTCCTTAATAACAGGAACATGTTTATGCTGCAGGCAGTTTAGAAAACGTCCCTTCAACGCGCCTCACAGCCTTAGAACTTCATCTAGACGCCACCAGAACACTTTGCTGGATTTCCTTCTAATTTGCTATGCATAGCAGGTTTTGCCAAATTTATTTTATTAGTAGATCATGTTAAAAACTTTTAAAAGAAAAAGTAGTTGTACATGATACTTAAAAATAAAACAAGCAAAACAGCAACCTGTACCACCCCTCTCCACCCTGAATCCCTAAATAGGAAACAAATCTTTGACCTCATTATGCTGTTTCTTCCGGTGTTTATCTCCATAGATCTGATAATGGGCCTCTGAGGCTATTTCTTGGTTTTTCAATTTAGAGCATTTTCTATTTGTTTCCTATGTTGGGACATACGGATGTAGTTCTCTTATCTTAAGCTCACACCCCCTGCATACTCATAATCATAATTTCATTCTTTTTCATAAAAATCAATTACCTTAAATTATGAGGACCAAGAAGCTACTGTTCAGCAGTGAGTCCCATGGTCCATTATGATTACATTTATACTCTTGTTCAATTGTAGTTGTATTGAAAGTTAGCAGAGTCTGTGTGCGAGTGTGTGTGTGAGTGTATATGTGTATGAACCCAGAGCCTTGACACTGAGCTCCATCACCAGCCTTTTTTATTTTTTATCTTTATTTTGAGACAGTCTCACTTAAGCTTCCCAGGCTGGGCTCAAACATATAATTGTCCTTCTTCAGGCTCCCAGAGTGCTGGGATTACAAGTGCCTGTCTCTGTGCCTGGCTAACAACGCCTTCTGTTTTGTTTATTTTCCATGAACTTACTGAAAAGGCATCCCCAAATGTATAACATCAACAAAGTATGAAACTCTTTAAAAATTAATCATTATTTTTTGAATTTTATTATTCTTTTTTCCTTCAAACCTTTCCTCCTGAAGGCCTCTCCTTGCCACTGATTTATCCTGCTGCTTGACTACTGATTTGAGACATCTTCTTCTCATTATCTTGTGAATTATGTTAATCTCCTATGTGGGATCTCAAGTCTGCCTCTTTCTTCTGATGGAGTATGTCCTCCAGTAGCTTCTAAGAAAGGATTACGGTAGGGAAAAAAATAGAGAATGTGAATGTCTGCAATTATTTTTATTCCAGCCTCACTTATAGTTGGTTAGAAACAGAATTCTAAACTGTAAATATTTTTCCAAACATTTGAAAGTGTTCCTTTCTTGGCATCTAGCTTCTCATGTTGCTATTGAATGGTTGAATTCTAGTCCTTTCCCTGATTCTGTGTTTTTTTCCGTCTGTAGAATTTTTTAAATGACAGCTTTAGTGAAATCTAAGTCACATATTATAAAATTCACCCTTTTAAAGTATACAATTCAGTCATTTGTAGCCTACTCTTAGAATTGTGTGGCCATTACCATTGTCCAATTTTAGAATATTTTTGTCACATCTGAAAGAAACCTGTACCCAGTGCCAATCGCTTCCTATTACAGCCCCCTCCCAGCAAGCACTAATCTACTTTCTGCCCCTGTGCATGTTCCTGTTCCAGAGATATTATATAAATAGAATTGTCTACAATGTGTGGTCCTTTGTGATCGGCTTCTTTGACTTACGCTGATTTCACGCTTAGTCTGTGCTATCACATGTATCTGTGTTCTGTTCCGTTAGAGTTGAATAACGTTCCATTATATTGATATTCCCAATGTATGTGCTCAGCAGTTAAATGAACATTTAGATTGTTTGAACTTTTTGGTTATCATCATGAACACTGCTGATATGAACATTCATATACAAGTTTCTGTGTAAGTAGATGTTTTCCTTTCTTTTGGGTATATATCTAGGAGAGGAATTGCTAGGTATGTGGAAACTGCATTAAAACTTTGAGGGACTGTCAGATTGTTTTCCAAAGAAGTATTTTTTTGTAGTTCCATCCATAGTATCTGAGGTTGTCACTTTCCTCACTTTGTTGCCATCACTTGTTAACTGCTTTTTTGATTTAGCCATCCTAGGGAGTGTACAGTGGTATCTCATGGTGGTTTTGATTTGCCTATCCCTTTCTTGTCCCTTCTTTTCTCCCCCTGCCTCATTCCCCTTCTCATTTGAACATTTTCTTCCCATTTCCCAATATCTGTTATACATTTTGGTCCTTATTTACACTTTTGGTTTCTCACACCAGAGATACAATGTGGTATTTAAACATGTGGGTCTGATTTATTTCACTTAAGAGTATGGTCTCAGTGCATCCATTTAACTAGAAATGTCTCAAGCCTATCCTTCTTTATGGCAGAGTAGTACTCTGTTGTATTAAAAAACCACATCTTGTTTATTTGTCGGTTGATAGGCCTTTGGGCTGTTTCCAAGATTTAGCTATTACAAATTGTGCCACTATAAACATGGTTATGCATGTATCACTGGTATGATGCTTTTAATTCTTTCGGGAAGATACCAAGAAGGGGAATAGCTGGGTCAAACGGAACCTCTAGTTTTAGTTTTTTGAGGAATTTCCACACTGATTTCCACAGTGGTTGCACCAGTCTACACTCCCACCAACAAGGGAGAAGGGTTCCTTTTTCCCCACAGCCCCACCAGCAGGATTTCTTGGTAACAGCCATTCTTCCTGGAGTGAGATGGAATCTTACTTGTTTTAATTTGTATCTCTTGAATCATCAGTAATGTTGAACATTTTTTCATATATTTATTTTCCATTTATATGTCTTCATCTGAGACATGTCTATTCATTTCAGATGCTCATTTTTGGATTGGGTCTTTAAATTTAGGGGGTCTTATTTTTTGGATTCTTTATTCTAGATATTAGTCCTTTGAGAAACAGCTGACAAAATTTTTCTCTCACACTGGGTTTTCTCTTCACTCTTTTGGTGGTTTCTTTTGCTGTGAAAAAGGTTTTTTTTATTCATTTTTGTTCATTGGTACATTTTAGGTATATGATATGATGACGTTAATCATTGGAAATTTGCACCTTTACATAATCTCTCTTGGTTCTTCTTTTTCCCCATTCCCCTGCCCCCCCTTCAACCCTTCCACCCCTCCCTATTTATAAAAACTTTGTTTCTGTTTTTTCTTTTTCTTTTTTATTTATTCCTTTCCCTACCCCTCCCAATTCCTCTTCTCCTTGGACCTTTTCTTCCTATTTTTATAGCTAAATGGATGCACATTGAGGAAAAGTTTTTTTAATAAGGTGAGATCTGAGTTGTTGATTCTTCATGATATTTCCTGTGTGTTCATAAAGAGTTCCACCTATTCTATCTTCTGGAAGATTTAATGTTTCTATTTAAATATTTAGATCTTTCATCAATTTTTATTTTAGTTTAGTGCATGTTAAAATATACAGGTCTAGTTGTAATCATCAGCATGTGGAAGCCAGTTTTTCCAGCACCATTTATTGAAGAGGCTTTCTTCCAGTGAAGGTGTTTGGCTCCTTTGTCAAAAATAAGGTGGCTGATAATGTTTGGAGTTGTTTCTGCATCTCCTATTTTTTTTGTTGTTGTTGTTCCAAGGATCGAACTCAGGACCTTGCGCTTGTGAGGCAGGCGGCAGCACCGATGAGCTAGATCCCTGGCTGCATCTTCTAATCCATTCAATTGATCGTAGAGTCTTTTTTTTTTTTTGCCAGTACCATGCTGGTTTTCTCACAGTAGCTTTATAGTATAATTTCAAGTCAGGGAGTGTGGTGCTCTCTGCTTTGCCTTTGTCGTCCAGAATTGTCTTTTGCTATCTAGATGTTTGGTGGTTCCAAATGAATTTTAGACTTGTTTTCTGTAATTCAGTGAGATATACTGCTGGTATTTTGATCGGGATTGACTAAATCTGTATAAGAATTTTGGAGGTATGGCCATTTTTTTTTTGGACCGGGGATCTAACTCAGAACCTCGAACTTGCCAGGCAGGCAACTGTGCTGCTGAGCTAAATCCCCAGCTCTTCAATCTCCTTTTCCGGAGCACGTTAGTTTTCAATGTAAAGGTCTTTTACTTCTTTTTTTGTTTGTTTGTTTGTTTGTTTGCAGAGATGAAAAGCAGCTTTATTAACACAGTATATTACATTTGAGGCTCGTATTTGCTAATAGTTTTCTCAATCTTTACATTTTTCTACCATGTAAAACCTAGCCTTCCCTTAGTCTTCGGTGAATTATATTTTGATCCCTGAGAACTGTAAAAAGGGAGCTGGACTCCAGTAAAATCGTTTGCTTGATAGCTGGGTCTTAATCCATCTCTGTCCACAAAAGCTGGTCCACGGCCACCTCCGGGTCCTTCCTGTACAGCTTTTACAAGAGGGTAAATATATGTACTTGTTGATTCAGATTCCAGTTCAGTCACTTCTCTGGCATAATCCTGAAATTCTTTCTCCTTTTCAGCTGCAGGAGTTTTGGTGTGTCTGCAGTATTGTAATTCTGCTTCTTTTGCTTGTTGTGCGTTAAATTTATTTTTGGCCATTTGTTGAATATGGGCATCTTGAACTTCTCGGTGTTCTGTACAGCTTTGTGTTTTTTCTCCTTTTTCTGCTCCCTGAAAATTTGATCTGCTTTCATGACAGCCAGCAATTGTTGTTTAGATTCTATTTTCCTTTGTCTTTTTTGTTCCACTTTATTTTTCATCATAATGGCTCTATGTTCTGCAACTGCTTTTAAATCTGCTTTTTTTCACACTTTTTCTTTATTCTCCCATTCAGCCTTGGCTTCTGCAATATCTTTAGCAATAATCAAATCTTCATTATCAAGTTTCTCTTTTATTAGTTCGCTCAGGAAATTATTTTTTCTCTCCGTTCCTCCATTAGCCTGTGTGTTTCAGCTTCTTTTTCTCTCCCTTTTGTGCCAGATGCTTTTTTGCTTTCATAAATATTCGAATCTTTTCATCTTCCTCCTCTTGCTGCTGCTGTTTGACAGCTTTGATGATGTTTTATTCAGACATGTGTTCTGTTTTAGATGCTCCTCACCAAGAGCCATTCTTTCTCTGTGTTGTTTTTCAGCTTTTTCTTGCTCTTCTTTAAAAGCTTTTTCAATTGGTCTTTTACTTCTTTAGATTGATTCATTCAGGTATGTCATTTTTTTGGATACTATTTTGAAAGGTGGTGTTTCTCTAATTTCTTCTATGAATTTGTTGTTTCTGCACAGGAATGCTATTGATTTTTGACTATTGACTTTGTATCCAGCTACACTACTGAATTTAGTTATTGAATCTGTAAGTCTTTTGGTGGAGTTTTTGGAGTATTCTATGTTCAGTATCATCTGCAAATAATGCTAATTTAGCTTCTTCCTTTCCTATTCTTATTCCCTTATTTCTTTCTCTTTTCTAATTGCTCTACTAATGTTTCCAGAACTATCTTGAACAAGAGTGGTAACAGTGGACAACCTTGTCTTGTTCCTGATTTTAGAGTGAAAGCTTTCAGTTTTTCTCCATTTAGTGTGATGTTGGCTGTTGGTTTTTTATAGATGGCTTTTATCAGATTGAGATAAAGTGCATCTATTCCAATTTTCTGTAGGGTTTTTATCATGAATGGGTGTTGGACTTTGCCAAACGCTTTTTCTGCATCTATTGAAATGATCATATGGTTTTTGTCCTTGGCTCTGTTAATATCATGTATTACATTTATTGATTTGTGAATATTACACCGTCCCTGCATCCCTGGGATGAATCCATCTTGGTCATGGTGTATAAGCTTCTTGATGATTTGTTACATTGTGTTTGCCAGTATCTTATTGAAGATTTTTGTTTCTGTATTTAGTAGAGAGATTGGCCTGTAGTTCTCTTTTTTTGGTTGGATGCTTCTCTAGTTTTGTTATCAAGGTAATGCTTGCTTCCAGGAATGAATTTGAGAGTACTACTTCTCTTTCAATTTTATTAAAAAGTTTGAGAAGTAGCGACATTAGGTCTTCTCTAAATTTCTTGTAGAATTCAGCAGTGAATCTGTCAGGGCCTGCCTGGGCTTTTCTTTGTTTGTAGGTTTTTAATTACATCTTCAATTTCATTGGCTGATACTAGTTTATTTAGAATTTTATATGTTCGTGATTCAGCTTTGATAATTCATCTGTATCAAGGAATCTGTTCGTTTCTTCTGCATATTCCATGTTGCTACAGTACAGTTGCATTCATCATTGGGATCTTGTACCTCTACATGATGTGTCTTGGTTCTTATTTTTTCCCCATTCCCCTGCCCTCCCTCCACCCCCTCCACCCTTCCCTCTTTACAAAGACTTTGTTTCCATTTTTTTCCTTCTCTCATATTTTTTTCTTTTCCCTTCTTTACGCTACCCCTCCCACTTCCCCTACTCCTTTAGACCTTTTCTTCCTATTTCACAATATCAGTTATACATTTTGCTTTAAAAGTTTTAATAAAAATGTTTTTAATTGACACATAGTAGTTGATGAGGTATGGTGTGACATTTCAGTACAGCTGTACAGCATGTAATGATCAATCAGAGGAATTGGAATTCCATCACCTCAGATGTTTCTTTGTGTTAGAAACATTCAGAATCCTCTCCAGCATATGTTTTGAAATATGCAGTTAATTGTGAACCATAGTTCCTGCTGTGCCATTGAACATTAGAAGTTGTTCCTCCGGTCCAACTGTACTCTGTACCCATTTACCCTCCTCTCTTCCATTACCCCTTTCCCCATACCATTCCCATGCTCTGGGACACTACTGTCTCCAGTACTTCTTTGAATTCAACTTTTTAGTTTTCTGTAGTGGTACTTACCTTTCTGTGTGTGACTTAATTCACTCAACAAAATGTTTTCCAGTTCTCCATCTATTGCCGCAAATAATGGAATTTCTGTTTTTTGGTGGAGTAATCCACTATCTATATGTAATGCATTTTCTTCATTCATCCACTCATCGATAGGTTCTAGATTAGCATGGCTGTTGTGAATACGCTGCAGTACACATGTGAATGCAGGTGTTTCTTCGGCACCCTGATTTCATTTCCTTTGAGTATATGCACAGAAGTGGGATTGCAGGACCATAGACAGTCCTGCTTCCGGTTTCCTGAGGGACTTCCATACTGTTTTCCATAGTGGCTGAACCAGCAGTGAATGAGACTCCGCTGTCGTGGGACTTTGTTCTTGAAGGAATCTGAGAACGGATCTGTGTGCACGGGGTGCACTGCTCTTTGTTGTGTTTTGTTTCTTGCATTGCTGGGGATTGAACCCAGGGCCTTCACCAGCTACTTCCCCAACTCTATGGTTATTTTTTGTTTTGAGACAGGGTCTCACTAAGTCACCAAGTTTCCCAGGCGAGGCTCAAACTTCCTCCCACCTGGATCTCAGGTGTGTGTCACATGCCTGGCTTCAGTGTTGCTTACACCGAACATCTAGTCACGAACCTGCACTCTGAACAGCCTTGGCCTGGTGCTCCTGTGGTGTGGTGACAGGTGGAGGGTCAGCTGGCACACGGAGGCGCGGTGAGCCTGACCCCAGGTCTCTGTCTGGCTAGGTGATTGCCATGATCAAGGGCCTGCAGGTGCTCATGGGCAGGATGGAGAGCGTCTTCAACCAAGCCATCCGGAATACCATCTACGCAGCCCTGCAGGACTTTGCCCAGGTGACCCTACGTGAGCCCCTGAGGCAGGCAGTGCGCAAGAAGAAGAACGTCCTCATCAGGTGGGATTCAAGTTGGTTTTTTCAGGGACACATCAGAAATAGGGGATGCTAGGTGCAGGCTAGAGAGGAAGTTCTTGGCTCAGTCTGCTTCCTGGTTAACCTCTAAACACAGAGAAACCTTTCCAGCAAGTTCCAATAGGCCTTCTTAAGAGACTGAACATCTGAGATGATTAAGTCTCCATCTCGGAGTCTAAAGTCAGACTCACTGTGTGATTAATAGCTTTGTGAAGGTGGTCAAATTATTTCTCCAAATCTCAGTCTTACTCATTTGTGAAATGGGGATGATCTACCTACTTTGTAGCCATTTGTCGTCATGGGTGTGGGAGAAGAAAATGAGATAATCCACGTGATGTAGACTGTGTATTTGGCAGCATGGTGTAAGCCGGCAACAGGTATAAACTATTAAAACTTTCAATAGACCAAGATTTAATTGGATTAATGAGACTCATCCATAGCTCAAAAGGGACAATCACCTCTTGCCTCCCCCGAGTCCTGTCCCTTTGTATGGCCTGGATCTGAGCTTTAAAACATGAAATGGGCATGAGAATGATGCAGGATACTTACTGACATGCAGATTCCTGCCTGGCCCTGGACTCTGTTAACTCAGTGTCTCTAGATGAGAGCAGAAATGAGTGTGTGTCACAGGAAGCCCAGGGATTCTGATGTGGGAGGTCCTGGGACACAGTGGGCCCTGAAAACACAGGCTTGTGAGCTCCTTCTAGGGTCAAGAGCTGGCCTGAGTCTCGGCTCTTCCCTCCACAGTGTCCTGCAGGCCATTCGGAAGACCATCTGTGACTGGGAGGGGGGCCGGGAGCCCCCCAATGACCCGTGCCTGAGAGGGGAGAAGGACCCCAAAGGTGGCTTTGACATCAAGGTGCCCCGGCGTGCCGTGGGTCCATCCAGCACACAGGTAAGCAGCCCCAGGCTCAGGCCCGCTGCTCTGACGCAGGCCATCTGGGCCATGGAAGGTCATTGTGGCTGGACCTCAGGGCAGCAGGTCGGGGGTCATTGGTCTCAAGGGACACAGGGTGGGACAGCTGCTCTGGTCTTCAGATACCTTGTTGTGATATAGGAAGGAAGATCACTGGCCTAAGATTCAGGAGACCTGGATTCTCGTCCTCGACACCTGTGTGACCTCGGGCATGTTACGCCATCTCTCTGTGCCTCAGTTGTCTAATCTGACCAACGGGTGATATTATGTTGACCTACTCCAGTATCTCCTAGCCCTGTGAAATCAGATTCCAAAGAGCAAGAGCAGTTTAAGGTGGAATCTGTATGCCTTGACCCTGTTGCTCTTTAATAAGCTCTGTCCCCCTCCTGCAGTGGCTCTGTAGCATAGAAATCGATGAGTTCTGCCCAGGCCTTGCTGTGTGATCTTGGGTAGCACCTTGAACTCTGACCCTGATTATCTTCTTAGAAAAATGAAACCTTTGAGCTCATGTTACCGACAAAGCACTGCTTTTCTTCTTCCCACATCTCCCCAAAACCACAAGTATAGAATGCCCATGACCCCATAGAGAGAGTCTAGTAATCAGAAATACTCAGTTGCCAACTGGAGTTTCTGCACATTCGAAAGTAGCCTGTGGCTTCTGTAAAGCCATCATAAAATTACAAGTGAAAAAGAAAAAGTAAATAAACTGAGCAGTGGAGGTAAATTCTTGCCACCTACTAAGGTTAAAGAGTTCCTGGTCTGCTTTTTGCTGTATTGAAAAAAGAGAGATCTTATTGCAGGTTTTAGTGTCTCTCGACTCCAGAAGCCCCAGTCTAGGAGATCCACCCCACAGACCCATGAGCCTCTCTGCCCCGAGGCCTCTGAGCTTGGTCGTCTGACCCCTTCTGATCCCTCCCCTCTGTGTGTGTCCTCGTCTGACGGGCTGGGCCGGGACTGGGCTTGGGCATGTCCCTTGCCGGTGGCTCGATGTCCCATGGATGCTTCTGCCCACAGTTCTGTGTAGTATGGAGGGTCAGAGCCCTGGCGGGGCTGGATGGGGCCTCCGGGTGCTTCTGTGTGTCCTAAGATGAGTGGAGAAGAAATGGGACCAGAGGCACTGGGTAGGGGCAGCACTGCTGTGGGTCATAGTGAGAGGGGAGGGTCGAGAACAGTTCAGCCCGAGCCACCAGGCATGAAGGTCATATGGACATCCTCAGTGCATCCCCAGGCATCCAGAACCAGAAGGGCCCTTAGAGGTAAACTAGTTCCAATCCCCTCCCCTAATTCACAGATGGGGAAACTGAGGTCCAGAAAGCGGAAGTGACTTGTCCAAGTCATCAGGTGAGTCCCAGTTGGAGGTGGGACAAGCACCCAGGTCTCCTGACTCCCACCCCAGGACTCTGTCGTGGCCTTCAGAGCACCGCGGACATGGGCACCTCCCAGAGTCTTTCCGCGGAATTCCGTGCTCTGCTCAAGTAGGTGGGGAAGGAGGTGCCCTCTGTAGATGAAACCAGTTTTCCAGGAGTTAGAACTAGTGACTCAGCCACAGCAGAGAAGACCCGGGGCATCCTTTGAAGACACCAAAGGCTGGCATTAGAAAGTGCTTCTCGGTGCGTGGGGCCAGTGAGACTCTGCCGCCGCCAGGGCTGCAGGCGGTGGACAGCGGCTTGTCCCTCCCTGTAAGAGAAGGCCCGCAGGGTGGTGGCTACGTGGTTCTGCTGCGGCCAGGCCCTCTCAGTGCCGGGCAGTGGTGGGAGACCCCGGGCCAGGTCCAGAGGCAGCGAGAAGAGCAGAGGAGCGTGGTTGTTGGGAGGTTGGACCGTCTCAGAGGAGGCCCTAGCAGTCGCGACGCTTTCCCACCGTATACAATACCTCTCGCTTTTCTCTCTCTCTCTTCTCTCTCTCCCTCTTCCCTGTCTCTCCTGCCCTCCCATTCCCTCTTCCTTCTCTCCTACCTATGTCTTAGGCCTGCCAGTGGTCCCCGAGGGCTTTGTTTCACCCCACTGGTGGCACACAGGGCCGAAGAGGCTGCCGATCCCTGGTATCACTCCGCCTGGCTGGGTTGGTCTGGGTACCCTTCTCCAGGAGGCCCCGGGCATGGACTAGCCCGGCTCCTGCAGGCCCCTGCAGCCCTAACATGCAGAGGGATGACGTGGAAAGGTCTAGATTAGCAGAGAGAACAACCCTACCGCTCTTGCGCCCTTTGCATGTAGGGCACTCTGTAAGCAGGAGTAACTGGTAGCCTCCTGTGTAAGTAGCTGTGTTAACCTGTGGTCCTCCCAGATTCTTGGCTAGGCTGTGCATGCAGCCCGGGCCACCAGAGGGTGCCGTCACTCATGGATTCACAAGGCTGAAGATCAGAAACTTAAGGTGGTTGGGGGAACTTACAGTATTCTGATCTTATCCCATTGCACAGTTCCTCAGAATGTTAGAGCTGAAAGGGCCTGGTATGAGAAAGTGTCTAGTCCACGCCCCTCTTGTTAGGTAAGACAACTGAAGCCCAGAGTGGGAACTTCGGCACCTAAGGTCACACAGCAAGTCAGTGGCAGTACTTGGCCTTGAACCTGGGTCTTTCGTGTCCCAGTCTAGTGCTCCACCCGTGGTGCCACCATGGCCATCTGGGAAGTAGGAGTGACTTTAGAATGGCGTGGAGTGAGGTTCTCCTCTGATGCCCATGCCTTTGGCTGAGCTGGGCAGGCAGGAACCTCTTCCTGGGCTTTGAACTGTACAGGGATGTGTGGGGCCTCTCCTTCCTAGGACGGCCTGTCTCCAAGGGCTGAGGGTGTAGCTCAGTGGTAAAACGCTTGCCTAGCATGCTCAAGGCCCTGGGTTTGATCCCCAGCACTTCGAAAGAAAACAGAAAAGCTCACAGTTCCAAATTTACTTCTCCATGTAAACTGGTGCTTCCTTAAGACAGTTCTTTTAAGAGCAGAAAAGAAATACAGCACAAGACAGCTTTCCCCCCAGGGTGGAGGTCCAGCCCCTAACCTCGCTCACTTTCTCTTTCAAGCTCTACATGGTGCGCACCATGCTTGAATCACTCATCGCAGACAAAAGTGGCTCCAAGAAGACCCTGAGAAGCAGCCTGGATGGACCCATCGTCCTTGCCATCGAGGACTTCCACAAGCAATCTTTCTTCTTCACGCATCTGCTCAACATCAGTGGTAAGCTGCAGGGCCTGGTCTGGAGGGGAGACTACGGTGATGCTGTCAGGTTAGAAGTTGCAGAGGGACCCAATCATGAATCCAAAGGGGCATATTTGGGCCGGGGATTTAGCTCAGTGGTTCCGCCGCCTGTCTTGCAAGCGAAAGGACCAGAGTTCGATTTCCAGTACCAAAAAAAACAAAACAAGCAAACAAAGGGGTATATTTTGCCACCAAGTGGGGACAAAAACATAAATACTTTTTGGTGGACTTTGGGAGCTAGGGAAGGCCAGGCCCCATGCAGCCATTCCGAAAGCTCCATTTGTCTGGTAGATATTTGTGGTTAATTTGTCGTGAAGTCCATAGGAAAGGGGAATCAAAACCAGGAATCCATACTACTGTCACAGTGGACAGGGCAAGGATTGTGCCACTAAGTGACCCCCAGCCCTCTGAATCAGTTTTGCTGCTCAGCAACAACCGTGAGCTCACTGGTATTGTTTCTAGTCCAAGAGGCTCCCAGGCTGCACCCCAATTCTGTGTTCTCTATGCCTGTTCCGCCTTGCGTGGGGTACGTGTCATACTAAAGGGTTAGATAAGGAGAGTAGGAAAAGAGTGGGGATATGAGAATCTTAATATTCCTGTTGGGCTGGAAAGAATGAGTTTTAACAAAAATCCATGATTCTCCATTAGAAAGTGGCCTGGGTAGGGCTTTCAAGGCCTCTGAATGGTAAAGGATCCAGAATTGCCACATGGAGAGGGTCATGGAGCCTCGATTTGGGTATGCTCTTACAGCAGTATTGGTGTAATAAGCCTCCTTTTTAACATGGGGTGTGTTTTCAGGATGGCCCTGTAGGAGGCTGATGGAAATGATGGGGTACCCAAAGTTCTAAAATATCACCATCCCTCTCCCCATGCACTGCCCCTATCTGTGAGGTACAACAAATGCCATTTTCCAATAGACACTAAGCTAGCCTGCGAGCTCCAGACAGCAGGATTTATTGATGCAGGATCTACTGATGCAGTACCTGCCATGTGCCTAGCACAGTGATGATAAAAGTGATAACAGTTAGTAAAAACAGCAGGAACTAAAGAGCTTGGGGCTTTTCCGGGTAATGCAAGGCTCTTTCCCTCTGTTTTCAGAAGCCCTGCAGCAGTGTTGCGATCTCTCTCAGCTCTGGTTCCGAGAATTCTTCCTGGAGTTAACTATGGGCCGTCGAATCCAGTTTCCCATTGAGATGTCCATGCCCTGGATTCTAACAGACCATATCCTGGAAACCAAAGAGCCTTCCATGATGGAGTAAGAGGCAGGACTGGGCCAACGAGGAGGTTCTTTGGGGCACAGGGCAGGGGGATAGTTTTCCAGCAGGCTCCATTCTTTCCAGAAGAAAGCACCAAGTGGACTAGAGATGAGGCAGGGTGCCCCGCCCAGCGGAGAGCTCAGGCCAAGGACCAGGCCACACATGAGCCTCAGCCTTCCAGATGGACCTCGAAGTTCCCCAGCCCAGCTGCCCTCCCTCGACTCTGTCAGGCTCATACAAGCTAGGCTCATAACTATCTCTGGAGATCAGGAAGCTAATATCCTTAGCTGCCCCCTGATTTCTTTTCGTCCCAAGCTGATGTTTTCAGGCCTTGACTTCATTAGCATCTGGACTTGTGATTTCCGTGGGTGGATGTAGAGTAAGTCCTTCCTGTGTAGAGGCACTGGGGACATCAGGGAGTGCAGAAGGCTCCTCCCTCCTAACTCTGTTTATCCTCTCATCCAAGCCTTCATGTTCCCCAGGCTATGTAAACCTGCCATAAGTGAGATCATTAGCAAGCTGTTAGCCCTGGCTTTTCCTCTTCAGGTACGTCCTCTACCCCTTGGATCTGTACAACGACAGCGCCTACTACGCTCTCACCAAGTTTAAGAAGCAGTTCCTGTATGATGAGATCGAAGCTGAGGCAAGTGACATGCTTCTTTTGTTCGTGCAGTCCTGAGATGCTGGATTTCACAGACCTTTAGCTGTTAGCATAAAGTAGGGGAATCATTGACTTATTCAGGGGAGTTTCTTCCTGATCACCATGGTTACCAAATGTGATCTTGTACAAATTGAGACCCCCAAGTATGTGGCCCACTCCCTTTCTCTGCTCGTCTGCAAACTGTTCCTGTAGCATGAAGGGCTTCATGTGTGTGCATATAGATACCCAAGCTTTGTCCACCATCTCTGGTCACAAACCCTGACCCTTGGCCAAGCCTAAGACCTCAGGGCTCACACCCTTCAGTGCAGTCTAACCTCAGAGGTGAACCCTGAGAAGAGACCGTGTAGCCCAGAAGGGGCCCAGGTCATCTGGGCAAAGCTGCTCAGAGCAGGTTCTAGAAGGGAAGCCTGCTGGGGCCTGGGTGGAATCCGCCTTGACTTTGTAGCTGCTTTGCCTGGAGGAGAATCTGCTGGGGACCTTGAAGCTCAAAGTCCAGGCAGAGGCCTCAGTTACCTGGGTGTGAAGACAGCGCTGTGTACCACATGGTGTTCTGCATAATAGGAATATCCAATAAAAGATATTGAAAGCCCTTAAAGAGTTGACCTTACTGAGCTGAGAACTGAATAGGAATCAGAGATTAATCACCTAAGTAAGATGTCTCCTTTGAAGCTATCCTTGTACATTGCTGCCGGCAGAGCCCTGTCCCTTTCCAGTCCCACTTTGGCCATTTCCTGCCGTGGCTGCTGTTGAAAGATGTGGTTTAAAAAACAAAACAAAAAGATGTGGTTTTGATTCTCTGTGCCTGGTATGAACTTGTCTTCCCACCAAGCTTCACAGTGTGCCTTGGTTGTGATGAAACACTGGAATGCATTAAGAGCCAGAAGTCTGAAAAAAAGAGCTTTTACTTTTCTAATGAATCTTCATAATCAAATTTGCCAAGCAAAATAAAATCAAATGAAAGGAAAAGACGAAGACTGTCAGCAAAGAAATAGATGAGGTGGGCAGTGCTGCTGCTGCTGGGTTAGCAGACTGCTCGGAGTAACCAAGGATACCATGGGTGTCTTGCTGCTTCGCTCCTGTGCAGGCTGCTATGTGACAGCCCAGGACTTTTCGTTACCTGCTGTCTGACGACCTTGGGAACAAGGGACCAAACCTACTGAGCCGTAGCCTCTCCCTTTTTGTTTTCCTTCAAACCCGTGACATGCTGTAGGCCACTTCGCAGTCTTGCCCACTGCCCACTGAGTTGCATATGTTTCTGTGATAAAACTGGACAGACATCGCTGACGTTTCCTCTTCCTCTTCCCCAGGTGAACCTGTGTTTTGATCAGTTTGTCTACAAGCTGGCGGACCAGATCTTCGCTTACTACAAAGCTATGGCCGGCAGGTAGGAGAGCCCACGGGCTATGATCTAAGACTAGTTCCTGGAAAACATAGTTCTCAAGGAAAACTGAGCAATCCCATGGCCCGGTCTAGGTGCTAGAATACACTGAAAAGGAGAAATGAGGCAAATGCAGTACTAACCTTGCGGAGCCTGCAGTCCTGCGGGAAGACAGACCCTGATAAAAACGGATGAATACAGAGTTACAAGGGAGGTTCTGTGCTGTCAGTGAAGGAAAAGCTCATGGACTGGAGGCCCATATAGCAGTTAAACCTGGACTAGGGTTTGGGGAGGGGAAGTAAAAGGTCATCTTAAAAGAAGCAACATCTTAGCAGTTAAGAAAGACAAGGTGAAGAGTGAGACAGGAAATTACAAGCAAAAGGAACATCTTGTGCAGCCCCTGTGGTGAAACGATTCACCCAAGAGCGCCTCATCCGTCCCTCCGTTGGGAGGTTCGGTGTGACTTGGTACTGTCAGTGTCCACACAAGGCCACAAGGGGGTGCAGCTGTGCAATGAAGCCGAGGAGGGGCAGGGCCGGTCCTGGGGCTGTGTGGTTCCAGGCAGAGTGGGGTCAGAGGCGCGCGAGGGTGACTTGATAGGACTTTGAGCTGTAAAATTTCACTCTTTAAGATTATGAAAGTGTGGAGAATGGCATGGAAGTAAGGCCTCCCATGTGTGAGAGCCACATGGGAGGCCAGCAAAGAAGTCTGAGGCAGACTTTACAGGCTCATTGCTGTTGCCAAAATGTGTGGATTTAAAAACCCTGTGAGTCCCGGCTTTAAGAATTCATAGCAGGACTCGCCTAGAAAAGCCCCACATTATCTTATAAGTAATCTTCTTCTTGGAAATCCAGATGGACTAACCAGTAAGTCCAGGTATCGTCCTTACCATAATTGTTTTTCTTTCATGGAAAGAATTGGGTTCGTTTTGCTTTCAACGATTGAAGTTGCTCAGAGACATTTCAAATAGTCCATGCACAGTTGATAAAGTTGCTGTAGCGCAGGACGTGTGCTAGAGTGAGTGGCTCTTGCGTTGGACAGATCCTTAGGAGCTGGAGGAAGCGCAGTGACACCGCCTGTCACACACAGGGTGGTTTCTCAGTGAGTGCAGGTGGATTGGAGAGGATGTGGCCCTGACTGTGAGCTGGGCTGCTAGCTTCTCGGAGACAGATCGGATTCCAAATATTGAGCCAGTTGTAACAAACTCAGGCTCGCTACAGGCCTAGGCCTCTGTAGATTTAGTTTATAAAGTTCCCTCAGCCAGAAATACAACCTTCAGTCAACACCACTTCCTGTGAGATCAGGGGGACGTTAGGGGAAGTTGGGAAACTGGGGGAAAGCACAGGAGGGGAAAGTAACCTAGATCAGTGCCATCCGTCAAGAAATAAAATGCAGCCACAAATGGTAGGCACACATGTCATTTTAAAAATTTTAGTGCAGTAAGTCCTCTGACTTACGGACTTAACAAGTTCCATTCCACGAGAGCGTTTATAAGTCAGGTTTGTTCATAATCTGACAAAGTGAATCTTACACAGTACACCTGTGAAAGTTTGCAACTCGATTGTTCCCAGTTTGGGGACTTAACTATAGCTATATTTTAAACGGAAATGGAAGTATGTAAAATTAATTGAGTAAGATATTTTATTAAACTCAATATATAAAAACCTTAATTTTAACATGGAACTAAGAATTATTAAAGAATCTCCTTCATTCTTTTTTTTGTTTTTCTGTACGCCTTCAAAATCGAGTGTGTTTTACAGCACACCTCAGTTTGGACCAATGTCATTTCAGGTGTTCAGTGGGCACCCATGGCTATGTGTGTGGGTATACATCTGCAATCCCAGCTACTTGGGAAGCTGAGTCAGGAGGATCGCACACTTGAGCCTAGCCTAGGCATCTGAGCAAGACCCTGTCTTAAAATAAAAAATCAAACATCCTGGGGATATAGCTCAGTGGTGGAGTGCTCCTGGGATTGGTCCTCAGCCCCACGCACCCTGCCCCTGGCCCAGTCAGTGTGATAAGGTCATCCCTTCCGGTGTAGCCTGTCACTGCGCCATCAGCTCTCCTTTTCTCAGACTCACCAAGCGCATGGTGTCTGTGATCCATCGCCTTCGACTAGGCCAGTGGTGGCAGACCTGTGGCACATGTGTATACTGTGTTTTTCTTTTAAGACAAAAGAGGTTAATGTATGAGTTGTCGGTATTGCGGTGTAATTGCAGTGTTGGCCCTTGGCAATAAGCAAGTGGGTTTTGGGATGCAGTTTGACACTCGGTCTCTGTCACTGCCCTAGACCTTTGGACTTTCATCATTCAGGTCTCTGACAACAAGACTTTAGAGTCTTTCGTTGACATCCCAACCCCAGATGATCCTAACCTAACAGTTCTCAGAGCACTTGTTACTTAGCAGGCTGTGCCTTGGCTTGGAAGATAATAGTACACCTAACTCAGGGTTGTGGAGAGGTTGAAAATGACTGTGTGTGTGAGTGCGCATGTGCGTGTGTGCTCACACCTGGTAAAGCGTACAAACTATGCACATGCACACTGTTGTCAGAAATCACTTTGGCTGGGCCTTGTGGGACTTGCCTTTAATTTTGGCATTCTGGGAAGCTGAGGCAGGAGGATCCCAAATTTAAGCCTGGCCTAGGCAATTTAGCGAGACCTTGTCCTAGAATGAGAAAAAGAGCTGCGGAATGTGTGTAGCTCCGTGCAAAGGCCATGGGTTCAATCCATTTTATTCCTCTGCTTCCTTAAGCAGCACCAGTCTCTCTTCACTAGGATGTAAGGAGAGGACAGGAACAAGGTATCTGCAGTACCCAGACTGTTCCCTAGGATGTACTAAGCATGCACTGAATTGCTTTCTTGGGGTAAATGAATAAAAAAGGAAAGCAACTCGACCCTGTTTTTCTTATCTTTAACTTAGAAACTTTCTTTCACATACTGAGCTTCCCTGGGTGAAAAGTACTTTGGGAAACCTTGCTGTAGGGCAGATAGCAGCTGTATCTGAGATGTGTAAGACGGACCTCCCTGGGTAGATTCTGTGGTCTGGAATCAATGTGGCTGGGCACTGAGAGCCATTCACTGTCGTGCTTACTGAACCTCTTTAACTCGGATCCTTTCCAGTGTCCTGTTGGATAAACGTTTTCGAGCCGAATGTAAGAATTACGGAGTCATCATTCCATACCCACCATCCAACCGCTATGAAACACTGCTGAAGCAGAGGCATGTCCAGGTGTGGTGGGGAAGCCATGGTGGGCAGGGAACGGGAAGGACTGGGATCTGTGAAGTTAGTGTGGAGCTCACAAGTCAGGACTCCATAGTGTCTGCCTGGGAATAGCCTAGTGCAGATTTCCAAGAACAGGTGTAACACAGCCTCAGAATCTCCCAGTCAGGAGCTTCCTTTGGTGCAAGGTTTCTTGACTCCCCTCCGGCTCATCTCTGGCAGCTGTGGCCCCAGAGCCTTTGCCCTGTGGTCATTAGCTGGAGCCTGCTTCTTTTGATTAGTACTGCCGTGCAGAGATGGGTCCATCAGTCCCTGATGCTTACACAGGTGAAAGAAGGCTGCAGCATCTTTGAAGTGCAGCACGTTGGATTAAACCCAGGGCACAAACTGTGGTCCATTTTCATATTAATATTTGATCCCAGAGGAGTCACTGCTGGTGGCCTAGGAAACTTAGCCCTGCAGATGCCCTGCAGGATTCTGTGCCCTACCTGCTCTGCTCAAGCTGGTGGCCTTTGTGCATGCTTTGTGGCCCCTGCTGTCTGTGAAGGGCCAGAGCTGAGGCCAAGAAGGTGAGCACAGTGGAAGCAGAGGACTCTACATTGGGAAGGAGCCCTGGACATTCTCACTGCCATGAGACAGTCAACGGAAATGGGTAATCAGAAGAGGAATCGAAAAGTTTTCTCCTCTGCCAACACAGGCTGGGTGGAGCTTTCTCTCGAGCCTTTCGAAAGATTACTGCTGTCAGTTACAGTGCAGCCAGAATTAGCCACCCACCGGATATTAAATATTGTGGGTTTCATGTGCATATGAGATCACAACATAGGGCCCTAGTCAGCAGTAGGAAATTTATCCTAAGAGGAAAGCAAGAAAAAAATACTTAAGAACAATCACTTGGCACCCAGCGGATCATAATGCACCCAGCAGGTGCTGACTAAATGATTATCGGTATCTGCGTAGCATGTGGATCCCCATGGAAATTCAGGAGGCTGTATTTTCATTCTTTAAGCAGCCCTTCATGCTCGTACTTTTAAATTTGCCCCCAGGAAGGCACAAAGTAGGACATTGCTGAGGTGGCTGCTGTTGCCTTGGGACTGATTGGAGCACAGGATAAGGTCCAGAAGGAGTCTCAAGCCTAAAGATAGGATGTCAGCAGAAACACTTATGGGAGAGTAGGGTCTGCCCCAGGCCTCTTCCAAGTCTGATAAATTGTATTTTATATTTTAAGCCTACAAGGAGCTTGAAAGAATAATACAATAAACATTGTCTACCCTATAGCCAGCTTCGTAGTGATTAATGTTCGACTATATTTAGTTGACTTTTCTTTCATATATAAGCTCAGATATACACAGTGTGAGTTTGTGTGTACATGTGCATATGTTAGTATAAGGACATTTTTCTTAACCATTGGAGCATAAATTGCAGATACCATGACATTTCATCACTGCATGGCTCAGCCTGTATTTCCTAAGAACAAGAAAATCCTCTTACGAAATTGAAATAAAATCACCTTTCTTGGGAAATGTAACAATGCTGTTTTCTACATACAGTCCCCATTTGTCCCAGTGTTTCTAATTTTAACCCATATCCTTTCAGTGCATTGGATTTAGTTGTCTGGTGTTAGTCTGAATCCTAAGTATCTGCCTCCTCTTTCTGCCATCTAGCTGCTGGGTAGATCCATTGACTTGAACAGACTCATTACCCAGCGCATCTCGGCTGCCATGTATAAATCCCTGGACCAGGCCATCAGCCGCTTTGAGAGTGAAGACCTGACTTCCATTGTGGTAAGAGATGGAGTGCTGGTGAGGTTTCTGCTCTGGAATGGTCAGACTGGAAACCTAGCTGGGATTGTTGTTAGCTGATACTGGGTCAGTGCAAGAGAAGCAGTGGATCTCTTTCCTGTCTGAACAGGGCAGGGGAAAAAAGACTTAAATTAATGAGAGTAATTGTATCCTCCTGAACAACGGGACAAGGGCCAGGGAGTGGAGGGCGATCTCCCTGAGATCTCTAGAGATGACCAGTCCTCGGGCACAGCTGTGTATCCACAGGATCTGAAGGGCTGGACAAAGGGGTCCCAAGAAGCTAGAGGAGACGGCACAGCAGGCTTCATGGGGCCATAGGAGGGAACACAGCCGGCTCTGACCTTGGTGTAGTGCTCTGTTGTCACATGAAAGTCTGAATAATTTTTTAACATGGGACCCCACGTTGGCATTTTGCACTGTGCCCTGTGCGTTATGTAGCCCACTCCGATGTGCAGCTTAGAACAGGGCTCTTCCCTTCTTCTAGAAAACTGCAATTGGAACTGGTTTCTCTTTATTTTCTCACTTCACAATTAGAATAAACTTTACTAATGAACTTAAAGTTAATCAAAGGAAAATGTTAACACTTCCAAAGCAGATGAATAGAAGGAAAGAAGGAAACTAGAAAATCACTTATTAGAATATCATAGTAATAACTGTTGCAGACAAAATCCATCAGTGCTAAGATCAGTGGGAAGAAACCTTGAGAAGAGTATTATGTCGTTCCTTGTATCCGAGGTTCCTAGAGTAGGCACATTCATAGAGACAGAAAGTCGAACTGTGGTTGCCAAGGAAAAAGGAGGAATTCATGTTTAATGGCTAGAGATTCAGTTACGGAGGATTCATCTCAAGAGATGGATGGCTGCACGGTAATGTGAAATGTACTGCTTGCCACAGTGGATAAAACAGTAAAGTGTGTGTGTGTGTGTAATTTTATATGATATAAAAAATTACTCAAAAAGAACTTTGAGAAGAAACAAGACATAGCATAGTCTCAAAAGTGTCTCCGTCAGACATTTATTAACTCCAAAGGGAGCAGAGCAACTTTACAGTGGAGAACGCTGACCAGAACCATCTAACCATGTATCAAGGTTTAAGTTCTAAGGTACATTATTGTTTCTATCATGTGTTCTCGGCAAAATACATAATCTCAGTCTTATTGGGAGAAAATATCAAACCATATCGAGTGTCATTATTTTAAAAAAGTGAATATTTTCTAAAAATGCTACATTATGAAAAACAAGGAAAAGTCTGAAAACTGTAGAAATTAGACATGAATGACAACTAAAACATCAGGTTTCACAACTAAATGCCATGTGGGATTCTGAATTGATTCCTAGAGTGGGAAAAGGATGTTATTGGGAAAGCTGATGAAATCTAAGTAAAGTCTGTATTCAGTTAATAGTATGGACCTAAGTTAATTTTCTCTTTGGGTAATTGGACAGCGGTTATGCAAGGTGTTAAGGTTGAGGAAGTGGGATAAAGGATATGCAGGTTATGCTATTTTAACAACTTTTCTGTACTCTACATTTACTTAAAAATAAGGGCCTTATTCTTTTTAAGTGAATAAAGTGCCAAAAATAAAGTGACCCAGAACTGGGACTCCAGAGTTGGACCAACCTGAGGTGCCATCCCGGCCCTGCCACTTGCTAGCGGGGCAGTCTTGGGAGGTGGCTTGTCTTCTCCAAGCCTGTTTCCTTGACTATAGTATTGTTAGAAAGATACACTAAGATAATATCTGGAAAGAACTTAGCATAGTTTCTTGTATTTAATAAGTAAGAGCTTATATATAAAAAAAAAAAGAAATCTGGGATTGCTCTCACAGAGGATTTTCAGCCCTGTTTCTTAGGAGAACTCACACCAAGATCCTGAGTCCTGGGTCTCTTAGATCAAGAATTGCACGCATCCTTCGGGAAACAATTCATCCACCTGTATTTTAAGAAATACAGTTTTCCTTGGTTTATGCAAGAATGTTGGCAGTGATTATCTCCCAAGTAGGGGGAATTTGGATCTTCTTCATCTTCTTCTTCCTCTTCCTCTTCCTCACTCTCCAACAGAGAGTGTGTCTTACGGGAAAAAGGGATTAGTGTGTGTACATGTGTGTAGTCTGCCCATGTGTGCCTTTTCCCACCCTGTGCAAGGCACTAACTGTTCTCTTAGCTGGGAACAAAATCAAAACAAACAGTGAAAACCCTTTTTTAAGGGAGGCAGCAGCCCCCTCCAGAGCACCCCCTTCCCGTGAGGCCCCAGGGAGCTCTCTCCATGCAGGTCAGGGTGACCCTCTCGTGCCTTGAAAGCTCCTGCCTCCTTGCAAACCAAGTACTGTGCCCTCCCTCCCCTTCAAAACCCCATTCTGAGGTGGGGAAACTGCTGCTTCTGAGCCAGGAGAGGTTGCAGAGAGGTGGCGGGGAATTGGTTGCCTTGTTTTGCACAGCTCAACAAGTGGAGTCAGGTGAGATGTGATGCTGTGGTTGAAAACCGGCAGCCTGCAGCCTATGTTCTGTCTAGGCTGCGTGGCTTATTTGAAATTGGAGCCAACATATAACATTTGGAAGAATTCAAATAAAACTTCAGAAACCCTGACAATGCCAGCCTAGCATTCCTGGATGGCAGCACTTGCCTGGAAATGGCTACCTGTTCCCTTAGATGGGCTGAGCTCCCTTCAGCCTGCTGCAAGCCCCATGAGCATGTGTGAGTCCTAGGTGGCCTCCCAGGCCTTGCTACGCCTTTCTGCTCATCTGCCCAAGGTTATGGAGCTGGCAGCACGTGGCCGTGGCTGACACTCAGGTCTCCTGGTTCCTCCCACCCAATCTCTGACGTTGCGTTTGCCTGTTCTGTTTTCCCGTTTTGCTTCTCTGTGTTGCCCTTCGATAAACTGGCTTGACTGATGGAAGCTCAGATGCTCTCAAAGCACCTAAACTGCCCCCGTGGCCTTTTCTCCTGTTCTCTGCACCTTGTGTCTACCAAGCACATGGTTTCTTTTCACTTAAAGGCCACAGCAAACCCCAAAAGTGATGCCAAACAGAGTCTGGATCACCTGCTGGGCCAGCTGTCCCATATCAGCAGAGTTGAGAACACTCCTCAACTCCTCAGCTCCCTCCTAAATGCTGACATCCACTCATGAAGCTTACAGTCACCAAGCGATAGGGTGGAAGTTGTTCCCCAGTTTCTCATCTGTGAGTATCTCCCCCCAAACAGGGCACCACCACGTGCCAGGCGACTCAGTGACCTTAGGAATAAAGCCATTCACAGTGGCCTATTTATGATTTACCTGCTTATTACCCATTCTGAGCAAGGGGGGACACAGGCAGCGTCCAGCCAGCCAGGCCCCAAGAGACCAAGGCAGACAGCTGACCGTATTTCTGTCCTTTGTTTACTTCATGGTGCACGGGGACTGGAGATTTACTCTTCTGGCTAGGTGTTTACTTTCTCTGGAAAATGCAGGATTTGCTGTCCCTGGCCCATTCTGACTTGGCAGCCATCAGATGAGTATGAGAAGGGGCAGCTTCGCCTCCGTGTGGTGGGGCCTCCCCAGTCAGCTGTAGACAGCCCACCCCCAGGGCTCCAGCCTCACCCTGGCTTATCTCCCTCCCTTGGCCTGTCTGGTCCCTGTAGCCATTGATGTTTGTTAGCTTTCTGCAAGTTCTGCACCCTAGATGGACAGCCGGGAGTTGAGTCCGAGTTCCAGAGTGGCGGAGCCCATTCCCCTGCGTGGACTCTCACCAGGGGCCACGAATGCAAGATTTGGAACCAGAAGAGCTGGTTTCACATTCCAGGCCCTGTTACATATTCCATGTGTGACCTTGGGCAATTCCTTGACTTTACAACCCCCCCCCCCATGAAACAGGAACAGTCACACATATCTCAAACGATGTCCTCAAACAATGTCAGTGTGGCCTCAAGTACCGCAGCACTAGGTCTGCCTTCTCTTTCCCTCAGTCTGTCATGGGCTTCGGTGCTTTCCAGTAGCAGTGACTGGGAAGTTATAGACAACAAGAAACCAGGGCAAGCCAGAAGGACTCACTGTACCTGTTTCCCAACAAATGCAGGGTCCTCCTGTGTGTGGACACCCTCTCTGATCGCACAGTCACCTTGAAGGTGGATTCCGAATGGCCCAGGCCTGCAGCACCCATAAGTCCCTGGTCATCGAAGGCCGACCACAGACTGCTTGTCCATGCCTTGTCGCCACACCTTTGCTGTCCCCTGTGTGACTGAGGGGCCTGTAGTCCAAAGCAGGAGCCATTCTGTTCCATTTCCTTTAAAACTTCTCATGGAAATTATATAGTGGTTGAGAATGTATACTTTGGGACTCAGTTTCCTGGACTGCAGCCAAGTTACTTAATTTCTCAAAGCCTAAATTTCTGTATGCATAAAGACAATAGCAGTACCGACCTCACAGAGGTTTGGTGAGAATTCTGTGCATTAACACATGTAAAATTGGTCCATGTTAATTAATTTGAACCAGATGAAGTTACCAATATTTGACACCATTTGACCTAAAACAACAAGCTTCATATGCTTCACCCTAATAATAAGCACAAAAAAGGTGTTAGCTCTTATTATTGCTTTCCGCAGGGCACAGAAATTGCCTCTAGTGAGGTAGAGTCACAGCTTTCCTTTACATTACTTGTGACACTGAGGGACAGGCTTTCCTCTCACCAGTATAGGAAGTGGAAAGCAAGCGAATGCGCTTTCTGCCATAAAGATTACAAACAGGATTACTACATGGTTGGTGGCCTTCCAGGTGTCAGGCATGCAGCCCCTCTCTCCCGCTGTTGTCCCCAGCATACCCCACCATAACCCCAGCATAGTTCCTTCTGCTTCTCAGAACAAGAGAACATTGCTTGTTGCCACTGTAGGAGGATCCTCGTCCTCATGTGCAAGGTCAAGACATTGAAGGCTCTTACCTTCCCGAAAGGAGTCCACAGATAAAGTGCACCTGTGTGTGCCTTACATGCAAGGCCTCAGCAGTCTCCATTCTCTGTAGGAGCTTGAGTGGCTGCTGGAGATCAACCGGCTCACACACCGGCTGCTCTGTAAGCACATGACACTGGACAGCTTCGACGCCATGTTCCGGGAAGCCAATCACAATGTGTCAGCCCCCTATGGCCGCATCACCCTGCATGTCTTCTGGGAGCTGAACTTTGACTTCCTCCCCAACTACTGCTACAATGGCTCCACAAACCGGTGAGGGAGACCTTGTGCAGAGGGGACCAGGGCTGGGTGGGGGTCAGAGTTTTGCCCAGCTGCCTCCTCCAGACTGGGTCCGGCAATGTGACAGGCGTCTCTCGGAGCCCTTCTTGGGAACAGGCTCTCTGTGCTGGAGGCAAGGATGTCATGGTGAGCAAGAAAGCACCATCCTGCCTCTTGGAGCCTGGAGGTTAGAGGAGGCTTAGGTGATCGAGCAATCATGGGACAGAAAGCAGCATAGCAGTAAGTAAGGAGATAAAGAAAAGCCACCGTCTGGTCCAGTCCAGGAAGTGCTGGAGTTGAGGTGCAAAGAAAAAATGGGAAGAAAAAGGTGAAGTGGCAGGAGAAGGGAATCCCAGGCAGCATTTGTAAAGAACTGCGAGGTTGGTGAGGGTCATACCAGTGCAGTGGGCAGTGGTGCCATGAAAGATCAAGCAGGGAGAGACCTTACCCTACCCCGGAGGCCACCTCAGATGCACTTTTGAACCCTGGAAAAGTTGGGGGGGGCATGATCACATTGGACATCTGTCAGGACGCCCACATATCTGAACATGTGTGTACAAAATAGGCCTGAACTTGCAGAGCATGCATACATGCTCATACACAACAGAGTGGAACTTTACTCCTACAATGGGCACACAGCCTGGGGTCAGGCACTGAGGCAGCAAAAGGGCCTAATCCGTTTGTCCCCATGGAGCTTCACAGCTGGGTGGAAGGGTTAAGGCCTGTATTCACAGATTGTGCCAAGATGCATGTGTCTGCAGATCCTCTCAGTACCTCCGGGGCCTGGGTCAAGGTTTATTAAGTAAGAAAGAATGGAAGGGGATGGGAAGAATCTACAGACGCACCCCATTCCACACACTGAGCAAGACAGACTTCCAGCTGTATAAAGATTTAAGATTTTTGGCACATTTTTGAGCAGAGAGCATCTATGGCCCAAGCCACAAACTACAGACACATTGAGTTGCCAGTTGTTTTGGTACCGCCTGTGAATGAGAAATAGATTTTTGAGTGATTGGGAGAAGAATATTTAGAATAATGTTTGATGACATGTGAAAATTATTTGAAATGCATCATGTTTTATTGGAACTCAGCCATGCTCATTCATTTACTGCTGCCTGCTGCGTGGTTTCATGCTCAACCACAGAGTAGAGTTCTTGTAGCAGAGACTATCTGGTTTGCAAAGCTGAAAATATTTGCTTGTTGTCCATTTACAGAAAGAATTTGCTGAACCTAGCTCATGAAATGCAGCAGGCGGTGGGGGACAGGACCCCACAGAAAGCCCTTTGCAGTCCCAGGGCAGACTCACTTTCCTGCCCATTGTCCTCTGAACACCCACAAGCCCTGAGCTAATCCTGGAAATCTGAGCTGCAGCTTTGCCCATTGGTGGGAAGGATGGGGAAGGAGACAGTAGTTGAAAGGGAGATGTCAGAAGAGTCTAGTGCCTTTGCAGGCAACCAGCTAGGAGGGTGCAGTTGTACATTGTGAACTTGCCCTGGTTGAGGGGGACTCTTGCTGTCTCCTGCACAGAACTGAGCAGGATAATGCTAGGACCCAGTTAACTCCTTCCCCATCTCTTTTCTTTTACTAGTTTTGTCCGAACTGCCATTCCTTTCACCCAAGAACCACAACGAGATAAACCTGCCAACGTCCAGCCTTATTATCTGTATGGCTCCAAGGTAAGTAGCCTTGCCTTGTCCTGCCTATGAGGGTGCTAGTGAGAAAAAGCAAACAGAAAAGTGTTCCCAGAATCGGGAAAGCTGGGAGGCGTGGAGATGGAGAGGTGGCAGTGAGGTCCAGGCATCAACAACCACGAGTGTACTCTGTGCATCTTTATTTGTTCACAGCTAGCAGGGGTGGGGCGGACATGGGCCTGGGGGGCTGGATGCTGGGTAGAAACTGAGGTGAGCACTACGCTGGGGTGCGGGGAACTAGGTCTGTGGGGCTTCTCGTCGTCTTGGCTCCCCAGCTCCTCCTGTTTCTCAGTTTATTCACGGCATGTCGGTCAGTGACTCTTGGGATTTGGTGCTCAGTGAATACAAAGGATTTACAGAGGAAGAAGTTGGGCAGCAGAACCCTAAGGAAATTGCAGATGGTTGTTGCTAGAGCTGAAGGCCATCCATGTCTTTTCCCATCTCAGTGCTGCTTTTGTTGACACATTGCACAGCCTGACGCTGACGCTCTCAAGCGGTGCCCTGTCCTAAGCCTTCTTTCCACCCCTTAGATGATGAATATGCACCCACTGTAGGCCAGGCACGGGCTAGATTCAAAGTTCTGGAGACACATGAGGGATCAAACAGTCTACCCCCCGGACTTTGTTCTTCCACACCACTGGCAGGGACGGGAGCAGTGTTTACAGAGCCACACCGCATGTAAGATTCATTTCTGCCCACAGGATTTGTGCGAGAGGACTAAAGGATGCCACTCAGAGGGTGAAATATGTCACCCAGCAAAACAGAGGACAGCATTTTTCTTTCTGCTGCAATCAATAAAAATAGCCACATTTGACCTTATTTTCAAAAAGTAAGCAGAGATGGACTTAGGAGAGGAACTGACTAGGTGAATACAACAATGTGGAGAAGCTTTTCTCCATTGGGTCGGCAGCTCCTGATTTGGAAGTGCGATTAAGCCAGATTAGTTCTTGGGCCTCACAGGAATAATATATGGCTATCTTTTAAAATATATTTGAAGTTTTAAAATGAGCAAACTTAAAGTACTATTATTATTATTATTATTAATAATAAATGCCCGTGGTTTAAACAAATGAAAATGGAATGTGGGGTGAAATGTGATTGCCTGAAAATTGGAAAACACTCCACTGTAACGCTCCTCACATTCTCCAAAGAATGACAGAAGGCAAATCTCAGAGACTGTTTGATTCCTTATCCCAGATCTACAACCCACACATTTCCTTCAAATATTGTACTTTATTTAAGTTATGCAAACTTCTACTTTCTACTCTATAATATGTCCATGCGCGATTGAGTGTTAGAATAGTGCCTGCAGTTCTTAACTGGGCCCCTGGAATGGACACTGGTGAAGCGAAGCCATGCTTGTCCCACAGCAGCCCTGGGACATTTGCTTTCTAGTTTGAGAAGCTTCACAATGAGACTTTTATCCAACACCAGGGATCCACAATAGCGCTAACATTGAAGGGGAGAGAAATGGGCAGTCTATAGATTTTTACAGATCTGTATGGGGGGCTCTGGTCACATGATGGGGGCTGTCTTCTCTCTTCTTCTCACTCCTTGCAATAAGGCAGGATGGCAGGTTGCTCGCCACCCTCCCTGGGTAAGGCTCCTACATCCGGTGCATCCTGCTGGGCTTCAGCTTCCGGTTCAGGGGCAGCCCCAGAGTCCTTGCGTGGTAACTCCATCAGGGGGAGCCCGTGCAGGTCTTCCTCTCTCTGACCAAGAGCGGGGGCCTCCTCCGGCCATCTCACCAGCCCGTTAGCTTCCTCCATGTGGCCAGCTCTGTATGACCATCGAGGCTCATGACAACGGATGCACCAGAACTGCAGGCAGATAAAGGCCAGGACAGCTGTGAAGCAGGCCAGCAGAATGGCCATCAGCACCCAAAGAGAGATTTGGGGGTCTACCAGGGAACTTCCTGCCAGTGGACTCTTATCCAGCGTGTGGAACATGGTGCAGTAGTGCCTATAGGGGAAGGCACCCTTCTTACAGCTGATGCAGAGGAAGTAGAGCGTGGAAGGGGCAAGGTGTTCCAGTACCACGGAGCTGATGGTTCGAGGCACCTTCTCCTCGTGGTGGAAGCTGTAGTGAAGATAGCCAGAGAATATGCTGTTCCAGTTGGGCCTGTACATAATATGGTAATAGTCCTCCAGGCAGGGCTCCGAGGACGACCAGGAGATGATGGCTCCTGTGTAAGAAACGTTCCCAACCTCGATGTTCATCCCGATTCTGAAACCAGAATCAAAGTGAAGAGTGACATCCCCCTACCTACATAGGTATTATCACAATCATTGCCACCATGTACTGAGCTTAGGAATCAAGCACTATTAGTGAACATCCACTTTGCAGACAAAGAAACGGAAGCACAGAGATACATGACTTAGGCTAGAAAAGAAGTGGCAGAACAAAATTGCACACTGGGGCTGCCTCATGCCAGAGTAGTATCCTTCAGCTCCTGTAACTCACCCATATCCCACGCTGGCTGAAATCCTTTAACTACAACACCAGTCTCCTTTAAAGGAGGAAGGGAGGGAGGGAGGAAGGGAGGAGGAAGGAAGGAGGAAGGAAAATGAAGGAAAGGCAAAGAAAGGAAGGGAGGGAGGGAGACAGACCCTCATACAGACCCTTAGTCATCCTAGGCCTGTGACCTCTTTCCCCTCAGGCGATTCTTTCACCTGAAGTTTCCCTTCCCGAGCTCCTGACTTTGTTGTAAGTACTGTGAGCCCAGGGATGTAGAATGTTCTGCCCAGTGCATTTCTTTAGACTCCCAGTTATGTTGTCCGTGTCTATGAAGAGTCGAGATGCACCTCATCCCTTGTTGCCAACTGATTTTTCATTTTTACCTATGTTCTATTTATTTGTTTTTTCAGGACAGTAGTTTCATAGGTCAAGGTAATCAGCTCCTAATACGTGTGACTGCTACCATTCGGTATTCCTGGTACTACCAGGTACCGTGACTGTTAGTGATGGTAATAACCACTCACAGCAGTGAGAGGTTGCTGTGTCCAGGTCACATTAGATGCTTCACATGCAATACAAAGTTTCCTTCCTTCTTCATCACCTCCTCCCAGCTAGATTTCCATTTTACAGATGAGTAGCCTAAGGCCATTCAACTAATAAACAGAAAGAGGACTCAAAGCTCCTTAACCACTGCACTTCCCAAGTGTAGCCACTGGGCTTGATTTACTAATAGAACATTATTGCAAGATGAGGCACCAACACTAAGTCCCAGTTGTAATTTTCCCAGACAGTTCACATGAGGCCTCTTCAGATTGCCAGCCTCCCTGCTTTGGTAAGAGACAGCCATCTTCGGGTTTCGTGTTTCTCATTAATTCTACCTGAAAGATAACAGTTCCCCTCCACTCAGTTTCCCCTGATCAGAAATCTAGAGGAAGCTGTAGTCAACCTGTGTGTGCTCTGGAAAACATTTCACCCTGCGGTGTGCTCCACCCCTTCTCTCCCACACGAAACACAGGTTTCGTTTTGGGTTGCAGTGACATAGTAAAAAGCAGTCAGTCACTGTAAAATCCAAAAGGGATATTAAGCCAAATTGATTTCTATTACAACCTGCATTCCTCTCTGCCCTGCCTCCCCCCAACCTCCTGTTTACTGCTCACATTCCTAGGAGAGTTGAGCTGCAGAAAGATACACAGCATTGAGTAAATTTTCAATCCTTATTTTTCTTCTCTAAAGATGGTAGTGAACTAACATGACCAGGAAGGGAAAGAGTTCCTTTTAGTTGGCTGGAAATTCCTTGGTAGTGGATGGAAAATGGAAAGGGATGAGACAGGTGTGCTCACATCTTTCCAGGGAAGGTTCTCTGGAAGGAGACAATGTTCGCACCGGCCCCTGGTCTCCTCGTACACACTTGTCCTCCCCACACATCCTACAAACACGCTTCCCACCTCACTGAATCAAGCACGCTTCCCTCCTGTGACACGCAGGGAACGACTCCGTAAAACCCTAGCATCCGGAGTGATCAGGAATCCTATTCTTGTCATGCACAAATCCTTCTTGTTTGCCTCGTATCTGCAGCGGCTGTTTTCACAGCCCGGATTCCCCACAGCAGACATTTTTAAGAGCTTTCTCTCAGGATGCTGGCATCATCCTCAGCTTTCAGAAGCAAATCTGTGTCCCTTATTTAGTTTTCATTATCTGCTCTGTTTCTGAATTCTCCCTGTTTTTGGCTATTCATTTACCATCGCCTGGCCTTTCTCCAAGCAGAGTGTGAAAGGAAAAGCCATTTCCATTTCCAAGACTAGGCAGCTACATCTCTTACCTGATGCTTGAAGTGTATCTGGTTAGAGCTCTACCCTCCGGGGCAGAGTGGACCAAAGCTGAAAGAATGGTGGCTTCCTCCGCTCTGGGCTCTCGTTGATGCCTCTGTCACCACTGAGTAATCCCACTGTCGCCCCCAATGCTCACATTATTCATTTCTTCAGATCAGCATCATTCACCATGGCAACCAGCAGGCATCTACGCACGATGCTTTCAGGGATCAGTCTGGAAATGCTTTTGCCCAGGGAGAGGAACTCTCATTCCTTTAGCCAAAAAAGCACAAATCATCCCCAGCAGAATGATCCCCAGGATGCTACTGATTCTTCCAGTGCACTGACATTTTCTCTCTAGTTGGCTAGTGATCATTTTATTGCCCCTTCTAGACCCTTTCTTGGACAATAGTTTCAAAAGCAAAGATACCCTTCTTTGTTATTCCACAACTAACAGTAAATTCATCCTCATCTTCTCCACCCCAACCCCTCCTCCTACTCCACCTGTATAACTTCTTTCTTTATTCTTTCCTGTGGCTTGTTCTAGTTTATATGGGCTTCATGTTATCGTCCTCATCAAGACCCTGTTATTTTCTGAATCCGAGTTCTGTCATCTATAAAGCCACATCTGGGCCAGATTGGGATGGCAGATAGGAGGCAGAAGTGCTACCCCTGCTCAGTCCTGAACCCATAATAAGTTTGCTCAGCTATCACAGCACTTATAGTGGGTTGACTAATGCCCTCCCCGTGCATATATACCCAGAACCTCAGAATGTGACCTTATTTAGAAATAGAATCTTTTAAAATGTAATTAGCTAAAGATCTCAAGATGAAATCATCCTAGATTTAGGGTGAGCCCTAAATCCAGTGACTGGAGTATATGAGAGAAAGGAGAGGGAGATTTACTCCCGGAGACACACAAAACCAAAAGCCACATGAAGACATAGGCAGCAATTAGAATGGTGCTGGCATAGGCCAGGGAATACCAGGAACCACCAGAAGCTGGAAGAGGCGAGGAAGGATTCTCCCCTGGGGCCTTCAGAGAAAGTGGGGCCTAGCCAGCACCTTAATTAGACTTCTGGTCTGTAGAATTATGAGGAAATAAATTTCTGTCATTTGGGGCCACCACGTTTACAGTAGTTGGTCACAGTAACCCTAAGAATTTAATGCAGCACTCCTTCTAATTAGGCCAGAAAGAGCCTCAGAGTCCTCAGCATAGGCATCCTGAGCGGGACTTACCCACCAGTCAACTGGAGTTGACACCCAAAATGGAACTATCTGTTCCTGGATTGGATGGTCCCACTCCTCCCCGTCCTTTCAAGGCTCCTGACTGGCCTTTTGCATTTTTCCAAAAGGTGTATCTATCTCCCTGAGATTCAGTCCTTTCCTGTTCTCCCAGCCTTGTAAGAATACATTGCCCTCATTCTGTGGAGGAGACCACATAGCATGCCTGAAACAGGATGGAGGGGAGATCAACTAGATTTAGACCAAACGATTTTACACAAATCATGTGTTTTTAAAACTCAGCTTTTTTGTGGCCAGGGATTTAGCTCAGTGGTTCTGTCGCCTGCTTTGCAAGCAAGCGCAAGGTTCCAAGTTCGATCCCTGGTACCAAAAAACAAAAAACACCAAAAAACCCCAGCTTTTTAATCTTTCTATGCTTTGGCGAGGTGCATGCGTGCGTGGTTCTATAATGTGGAAGCTAAAAAGTTGATCTCGAAGAAACAGGAATAGTAATTACCAGACCCTGAGAATAGTGTCGGGGAGAGAGGGACAGAGAGGGGATTTTTAATGGGTACAGTGGTGCTGTTCAACGTGAGTAACTGCTGTCAGTGTAAGTGTGGTTTGAAACAGTTAATTATTACAGAGTAGCTAGTAGGGAGGATCTTGAATGTCCCCCACACAAAGAATGTTGACGTATATCTGAGGGTGATAGATAAGCCAGTTATCCTGATCTGCTCAATACACATTGTATGCATGTATTGAAATGTCACACTCTACCCCATAAGTATGTACAACGACTATATGTCAGTTAAAACTAAAAATACATTGTTAAAAAGTCAGCTTCCTCCTTCTTGGTTCTTGACCAAAGTATCCAAGTTGAACCCATGTATGTCTCCAAAGAAGCCATGTCAGTGATAATCACGGTCAGGAAGAGAGCTGCCTGGTGAGTCCAGACACAGCCCTGGCCAAGGTCTTTGGGCGGTGTGGAGACTCGAGGTGTCAGTGTCCTTGATCCGACAGTTGCTCCATGACCTTCCCTGGGATTCAGTTTTCCCAGGGGTCTGCCTTAAATCCACTGCAGCGCATATAGCATGTCTCTTCCCAAAGGCTAATGGTGGTGCCCTGCTGGGCATAAAAGCATCCTCTCCACAGAAAGGCCAGCGCTCCAGTTTACAGGTGCCTTTTGAAAAGGTTATTTTGAGGGGAATAAAAATACCAGATTATAAAGGGCCTGAGGAGAGCCAAGGTAGAACGCAGTCCTTATTCTACACAAAGTGAGAATCTATTTTTAATGTTCCTAGAGGACATTTTTAACCATGAGCTTCTTGAGAAATTAAGAGGCTCAGAGAAATGGCCCAGCAGCCATTTTCTTTCCCAGTCCTGAGTGAAGATGGCGCCTTTCCTCAGCTGCATAACTGATTCTTGACAGAACTAGAAATCTGGTCCCTGACTCGTCATGCTCCCCTGCCAGCAGCACCCACAGGAGCCAGTGCAGCTTTTGGTGAATGAGATAAATTACACTGTTCCTTCTTCCTCACTGGGACAGCCCTTCCATGGTACAGCCAGATTGTAGCCCCGTGAGCTGCCCAGCCAGGTCATCCCCATTTGGCTTGTATTAAGTTACTGCCAGAGAAGTCAGGCTTGAGCACCGTCCCTGCACCCTCCCTGAAGGTGGCAGTCAGGGTTGGTGTGAGGGACTGACTCAATCCCACAGCTGGAAATTGAGGTGCTGGAATCACCAAGCCAGATGCCAATCCTGAATATGTGGCCTTGGACAAATACCCTCACTTTCCTGTGCCTTGCTTTACTTATCTATGAAATAGAAATAGTAATACCTACTGAGTAGTGTTATTATAATGGTGAGAGGAACCGTGTTCTCATTACAGTGCCAGGCTTAGGAACAGTAGCTGTGTTACTAACAAAGGTCAGTGGATCAGAGCTATGACCTGAGGTGGTCATAACGTTACTGTAAATTGTACTTCCCTGCTTTGTCCCCTTTTTAAATCAGCCTTATTGGTTGAATTTTTTTTTTAGCATATATGCTCATTGCACATATTGAAGGATATAGAAAAGGGGGAAACGACAGTAAAACTTCTACCATACAACACAGAAATAACCACTGTGAACATTTTGGTGCACTTTACATGTTTTGTCATTTTACTCATGTGAGGTTTTTGAGGTGTGCCATGTCCCCTCTGCGCAGGAGAAGCGGAAGCTCAGAGGGGCTCACTCAAGTGCTATCGCAAGCCTGGGTGGCAGCATAGCAGTGCTTTACACCCAGGCCAGTGCTTTACACCTCACAAAGCCAGAGTTCCTGGTGACCATTTGGTTGCCCTCCCGGGGAGCTCATGTCCCTCTGCAATCTGTGTCCACAGTGGCCCCCTGCCTTGAAGTAATTGATTCTTGAGAGATAGACACAGGACTTTGGAGCATAATGGACTCCAGAATGATGGCAACAGACAGGACCTAGAGACCCTGCAGACAAGATGCAGGTGCAGTGGATAGAGCCAAAGAAAGCATCCGCTCATAGGGAGAAACGTGGGCAGCAGGTATTTCCTCTTCGGAACATTCTGTGCTCTGGAGTTCAAGTACACCAGCCTAAGAGTGCCGTCACTTAGGGGTGATGTTATAAAAAGGGGACTTTTAGCACAAGTCCAGTAATAAAAATATATGAACTGAAACTTTAAAAATGTATTTTTTTTAATATTTTATTTTATTTTATTTTGTACTGGGGATCAAACTCAGGACCTTGAGCTTGCGAGGTAGGCGGCAGAACCACTGAGCTAAATCCCCAGCTAAAAATGTATTCTTTAAATAAGTGTTATGGAGTATCATAAAACTGCCTTCCAAGAGACACAGGTTATGGCACAATTCAGTTATTCAATTATTTTAGTCATTTCCCAAGAATTTTTTGGCTTTTGGAAACTGTTGATGTGATTTTTTTGTTCAGCATGGTCGTCGTGTTCGGCATGGTCATGTCCATCACATGGACATCACATGGACATCACGTGGTCATCAGCATGGTCAGCTCATTGGTGCCCCGTCACAGCCATACCTTCACCTCAAGGAGACTCATGCTCCTCTTAGGACTGACCCCAGGAGTCATAGCCCTTAGGCCCCTAGGGCCAGGGCTTTGCTGCAGCGAGCCAAGGTCTTCTCAGCAGGGTGCCCACCAGGATGCCACCTTCCCACCTGGGCTACTGGGTCTCTCCGCTGCTCCAGCCCCTTCATGCCCCTCACCCCTCCCGTGTCTGCATGGTACCACTCTTGGGCTCCATGACATTTCACGCTCACCAGTCCAGAAGGCTGCTGTTATTGTACATGTGGCAGAATGTCACCTTGTGTTTCAGATCGGGCGAGTCACGTCATTTCACTTGGGCTTCAGGTTCCACCTCCGCTAAGTGGGGAAGACTGTCTTCTTTAATGTTCTTTGATTAAAAAAAAAAAAAAGGGGACTTTGCCGATGCAATGAAGTGAAGAATCTTGAGATGGGAATATGATCCTGACTTACTAGGATGAGCCCTACATACCATCACACATCTTTCTCTCAGAAGTGCACACATTAAGTACTGATCGTGCCACTGGAGCTCCAGGCACACCCAAAGAGGAGAAGGGGATGTGATGACTTGGCAGACCTGTGACGATCAGGGTGGTGTGGTGACAAGCCTGACGAGCCGGGAGTGATGGCAGCCACCAGCAGCCAGAAGAGACAAAGGCCAGATTCTGCCCTGGAGCCCTCAGGAAGGAGTGTGGCCTTGCCAACCCTTGACTGACTGAGTCTGATGATACTGATTTACGGCTTCCAGAAGGACTGTAGAAGAGAATAAGTTTTGTCGTTTCAAGACACCAGGTTTGTGATCACTTGCTACAGTCTGGAAAGTCATGAAGGAATTGCTTTGCGAAGACACTCACAGAGGAGCATTCCATACTAGGGTGCATCACATGGGTACGGAGGATAGAGAAAAGGGCTTGCATTGGTTTCCTCTAAGTGCTAGTGTCTAAGCAGGGTAGGGTGGATATGACAGCTCGGAATGGGAAGGCTCAGTTTCTACTCTTCCTCCTGCCTTTTCCAAAGCTGTGTACTCTGGCTCAAGAAAGAAAGGAGCATATTTCCTGAGATTTCTATAGCAACTCCCTTAGATCTTTCAGCTTGTGAGCTGAGAATACCAAGGAGAAACCCAGATGTTTGAGACCCAGCTCTACAGCTCACCAAATATTGAGCAAGGGCAGGCAGGCGCTTAGCAGTTTTACCCACGCTCTAGCAATGGGCCTAAACAATAACAGCATCTGTCAGTCCTCTGAACCAGCTTCCCAAAAAGGATGGTGTTCCTTTGTCGACCGTTCACCTTGTCTGCATTCACCTGTAGTGATTTCAGGGAGTTAAGCTGCAGCTCTCGAACCTGAATTAGAGGCTATGTTTGTGTCTGTGTGTTTGTGTTAATGGCATTCATTAGAGAAATTGTAATGAAAACAGGAAATTAGAAGCAGTTTTGATTCCTCTTGGGATTCCTGAAAACAGCAGTTGTGATTCCAGAGAGAAGAGATGCAAATTGCTTACAAATTTAGTTTGCCAAATAAATAGGCCTCATTATTCTCAGCCTCTTCTCCATCTGGTGACAGAGGGAGGGAGGCCTTGTGGGTAAAGGTCCATCTACCACAGTGAAAAGTGGGGCAAGTGGTAAATGTTTATGTATCACAATTTTTTAAAAGTCCTCCTCCAGGTGCTACAGTGCCCACTGTCCCACAGATCAAATTCACCATTTTTTTCTCTCAAAATATTATTTGCTTTTTCAGAAAACATAATCAGTGTTACAAAGTACCAGTGTGGCTCTGCTGCCTCCATTGGGATTGTGGATTTCTTACGAGGCCTCAAAAAGTTATCTATTTGTGTAGCGTGGATCTAGTCAAGTTGATTTTCAGTGTGCAATTGATATAAACAAATAAGGAGATAATTTCCTACTGGGCCCGTTGGTTGTAACCTTAGTCAGTAAAGCGTTGGTTCGTTGTGATGGATGAGTGGCCAGTATCTCAAGTCACACTGAATTCCTGTTTTTCCTTTGTCAAACCTCAGAAAATGCCCAGGCTCCCCTATTCCCACATTTTCTCAATAGGGCCCAGCCTCCTATTGAGCCAGCAGGTCAGATGCGTGCCCTCCGGGGGTGTGCGTGTGCATGTACCTTCCAGCATGTGTGTGCCTCTCCTCTTACATGTGTGCGGTGTGCTTCAGGGCACAGGGGTGCCGGGAGCTTGTTCACTTAGGAGGAAGACTGGAACTCTGCACCTTTCACACTGGTTCTTCCTGCATGAAATATATGCTGAGCCATGAACCAAGGCCTAAACTTCCCATCTAGACCAGAATCCAAGATGGGCTCAGGAATGCATCCAGAAACCTCCTAAGTGCACCGAGTTGGTCTGGGTGGAGGAGCATTTTTAAGCCCTTGTGTGGCAAAACAATTCCAAAATTTTTGTCCTCCACCTAGGACTTGGAAGATCTGCCAAACAGTATCTGAGAATGTATTGATTTGTGCTTGCCTGGAAGTGTTAAGGAAACTAGGTCTAGAAGCCCCTTGGGTAGAGAATGGGGGTACAGGGGGATAGGGAAACTGCTGGGAAGGGTGAGAGCATTCAGGAGGAAGGGAATGACAGAGCACAGCTGTTCCAGCCTCAGGTAGGGGAGGGACTCTGCCCAGCATGCTGTTGTTGGGCAGCTCTCACTGTTCTCTTGCTCTAAAAACAGCAAATCTGCGGCTCGGCATGTTTCATCAGCCAGTCCCCGTTCTGACTTCCATCACATTCCCTCGTGGGATACACACTATTGTATTAAGTGCCACCCCCATATGCACTCGCTTCTCCACCTTCAGAGATTCATAGCTGCAGCCAAGTCTGCGGGGAGGAAATTGGAGCAGGAAGCTGTACTTTCTCAGCTTTTACTTTCCAGGTGAAGTCATGTGATGGCTGTTATTTCTGTGAGTGCTTCCAGCATGCCGCTCACAGCACTGTGCTGACTGCTGTGTGTATCAGGCAAACCTCCAGCCATCTTGGTGCGTTTGGTATTGTCATCATCTTAGGGGAAACCAGGGCTTCAGGGTTTCAGTTACTTGCCCAAGAACGATAAATGGGGAGCTGGGCTTTGAACTCAGCTGTAGCTATGCCCTCTTTAGGGCCCATCTTCTAGACTCAGACCAACGAGGAAAAGTTAGCGAATCAGAAAAGAATACAGTAAGTAGCTGATTGCTCCGTGCCCACCAGGGTTATTCATCTGAGCTCTCTGCTATTCCAAAGTCCCGTTTATAGGACATTTGAAAAGGAGATGAAGGAGAATGTGCTTTCCTGGATTCAGAGGAGAAGCCCAGAGTCCCTGGTGTGAGTGGGAATGATGAGCTATTTGGGCAGGAGCCCTGCTGCTTGCCCCAGGGCCAAGAGCATGCCAGGCACTGTCCCCTGGTGCTGTGCAGGGTTGAGCTGCACAGGGTTGAGAAAACTCGAGGCGTGGCTCTGTATTTTGATCTTGGAACATCCACAAGTGGGTTTTTAAAAACTTTTATATCGGGGTATAATCATTTCCGGTAAAATGCACAGTTGTTGACAGGTCAGGCTGTTATTAACAAGAATACTGTAGACTGGGTGATTTAAGCAACAGACATCTGGAGGTTGAGAAGTCTAAGATTTATGTGTTGGCAGATCTGGAGTCTGTTTTCAGATGGCCATCTGCCCATTATAGCCTCAGTTGGCAGAGGGGGAGTAGTCTCTCTCCTTACGAGGACTCTAATCCCATTCCTGAGGTCTCCTCCCTCTTGAGACTGACTCACCTCCCAAGGCTTCTCCCCCTAATCCCATCCCTTCGGGGTTAGGATTTCAGTGTATGAGTTTGGGAGGGGCACAGACATAAGGTCTACCCATGCACAGATTTATCCAGTCAACACGAAGAGCCTTTCCATCACCCTGGAGCATCCTCTCTCACCCCTTCCCAATACTTAGCCCCAGTGGAAAAAGGTGTGTTAGCTGTTTGCTAGGTACTCCTCACCACTGAAGGGGGAAATGGGACAATACAGAATAGGACTTCAGTGGCACAGCCAGAGCTAAGAGCAAGCACCTCCTAGCATTCTGTGCTCTGTGTGCTTCACAGCCTCACCCTGGTCCCCAGTCTCCTTGGGTGGGGTGGCCGATTACAGAGGCACTAAATAAAATAGGTTTGCCTGCCACCAGGGTTGGCTCAGTCAGGCACAATAATTTATGTGGCTCCAGGACTAACGAAATATCAACTTTAGTGAATCTCAAACTTTAAAGTTAACTGTATTTCCTTCTCTGCATAAACTACCTCTGGCCCATCCTTTTAGAAACCACATAAACTGTGTCCCTCTCCAGGTTCAGGCAGAGTTTACCGTGACAGCTCCACAGTATGCAGAGCCCTGTTCTTTCTCACTTTCCAAGCCTCCCAATATGGAGGCCTGAGCTTAGCAAGTGTGCTGTTACTCACCTCAGTGAGTGAGTGGGTGTTCCAGTTCATCACGAATCCTTGTTATTAGTGAGAACTCTAAGTTTATTCTTCATATATCCTTATTATTAGAAAGGTAGTAGAACTGCGATGTTTGGTAAAGTTTAGGGTAATTCATGTACTGCAAAAGATACTTAAAACTTAGACTGCACATAGTTAAATATTCCCTCAGAGGCTCCAGAGGGAATGGAATCTTGCAATCCTTCAAAACCATCATAGTTTTTGTTTGATTCACGTAGAATTTCTAATTAGCCAACTAACAGAAAATTTCAGCCAACAGCATCAGGTATGACCTCCCTATGTCTGTGTGTTCATGCACCAAACTTTTCATAATTTCATGTAGGAAAACTATACTCAGAGCTGAGTTCCGAGATAAAATCTTACCTAAATAACCAAGTATGGTTTATAGAAGAATTTAAATCTATAGTATACTATTACAGGTAAGTGTAAGAGCACAGACTCTGATATCAGCCATACCTAGCTGAGATCAGGGCTATCAATGAACTATGACCTTGAGCTGTGACAACCCTGAGCCTCAGTTCCCTCATCTGTGAAATGGGGCTGTGGATGTTACATATTGCATATACTTGTGTGGATTCAATGAAAATGTACATGAAGTACCTCACAAAGCCTGGAATGAAGTGCCCCATATGTAGCATTTCAAATACAGAGTGTTAGAGTCAGTGCTGATTTTTACAGCCTCACCAGACACATGGGACCAGTCAAGAGGCCTGCATTTTGAGCATATTTTCTCAGGCAGAAAGAGATCCTAAAGACATCTTGCTAATGCAGTTAGGATGTCTCATGGGACCCAGAGGATGGCAACAGTGACCAGCTCCACTCTGCCTGTTTCAAACAGTGGTTTACATGACCTCTTTCCTTTGGACTGCTGCTCCAAGTGTTACAAAAGCACTGATTTGATTGAGTCCACGTCACTTCACAGAATAAGAAACGGAGGTTCAGAAAGCCTGCATGATTTTCCCAGACATTTAGAAGTCCTGTCCTGACTTCTGACCTGTTCATTCCCAGGACCCCATGATGGAAACAAACATCAGTAGATGTTGAAGCATGTGTGCACGTGGTTCTTCCAGCCACTTCCTAGTACCACTTTGCTTCTAGAGGGAGAAAAGCAGCCGTTTTACCCCCCGTCCCATGGCTCCATGGGGAAAGTCCCCATAAAAGAGATTTTTGCCTGGAAGACCTCCCCCTCTTCCATGGGGAACAGCTCCTCTTTCTAGTGACCTTTGCTCCACCCACTGCTCACTGACCATACTTCTCTCCATGGCCAACATTGTGCAGATACATTCCCGGGGAGCCCCCCAGTGCAAGAGCTCTGATAACATCAAGTTCTCATCCCTGCTGTCAGCAGGACACCTCCTGCCAGGACTCTCACCAACACCCATTCAGTACTGTCGCTCACTTTGTCACCACCTCTGTTTTCCAGCCTCTCAACATCGCCTACAGTCACATCTACAGCTCCTACAGGAACTTCGTGGGACCCCCACACTTCAAGACTATCTGCAGACTTCTGGGTTATCAGGGCATTGCTGTGGTCATGGAGGAACTACTGAAAATTGTCAAGAGCTTGGTAAGGAGTGGCCTCAGTACAGTCTGGAAGTGCCCGGGTCGGGTGGATATGAACAAGATTTGCTTTCATTTGTATGTGTGCCGTAAAAACAAAAATCCCAAGCACTCTGGCTCTTCCTTTGGAAATTACCCAGGGAGTCCTTGGGTCTTATCTCTGGGTGGTTTCCACTTATTGTTCAGGTGCATGTCTGGGCACCTTTTGAGCTGTGGGTTTGCCTCCTTTTTTGTGGCCCTGAAGTCTTTCTTTTTGATGATTTATTTTGATCTTCAGACCCTAATGGCTGTTCATACATCCCAGCTGTGCTGCATTATCATTACATAATTTGAATATGGCAAGTCCATGATGAATGTGTTGACATTTTCTACTCCCATGCCTATGACAGACATCTCTAATGAATCTCCACACTTCCTCCCTTTGGGAGTTCTTGCTGACTATTGTAATCAACACTGCACTAGCTTCGAGGGAATTCTGTATCCCTACCAGCATTCTGTATCAGCACCATGTATGGTCATCTGAACCTTCACTTAATTCCTTGCTGCTGCAAGGCCAAAACACATAGATTTTTCTTGAAAATATGAGAAGATATAAGAGAAATAGTAAGCAGGGTTCACCTGCTGACCTCAGTTTGTAGCTATACGAAGCCATGAATGGTTGAGGATTGTGAAGCTAAATTAATAAGATAGGAAAACATGGTAATGGATTGAAGATGTCTGCCTTGGACCCAGGAGGAATGAATGTGCCATGAATTTTTCATGCATAAATTAGATAATGTATCTTACTCTCCATAGTCCCCTGACCACATTTCCTTTTAGTTCTTAGTCCAACCCCAGGAAGACCTCATGACTAGAAATGTATCCTCCTCAAAGTCCACAAGCCCAAGAGACCAGAGAACCCCCTTGTTTGGCTTCTAAAAGACAGCTGGGGAGTGGATCACTTTCAAGTGAGAACCTGCCCCTCCTCTCAGGGAACTCAACAGACACCCCCGCCCCTAGACCCACCCACCCCCAGCACCCCGTCCTCAGCCCCGAGTGGCACAGCAGTGTGCAGCAGCAGTGGGCCTTCTCATGCACCTGTGCTCTTCTTTTGTAGCTCCAGGGAACCATTCTGCAGTACGTGAAAACACTGATAGAGGTGATGCCCAAGATCTGTCGCTTGCCCCGGCATGAGTACGGCTCCCCAGGTTGGTGACAGGAAAAATGCAAACCCATCTCAGTGAGGTGGGGCTCTGGCCATCCACCTTGGACCCTTGGCTTCTCTACCCTGCCAGTGAGCTCGCAGAGCACTGACTTTGCACCCTGGCCAGAGTCTTGAACCCTTCCCGCCCTCCCTGAACAGTAGCATCACGCATTGGAGAAGGTAAGGAATGTGTGCGTGCAGGGTTGCCACACGGTACTCAAGAGGACAGCAAAGGAACAGCAGGGCTTCCTGTGAAGGTCTTCACGACCTCAGCACCTCTCCACCTTCTTCCCAGCCAAGATGTGTGTGCCAAGTCGGTGCGAGTCAGAGTAGGGAAGAGATGCAGCTGGAAGTCTGGTGTCCACTTCCAGCCACACCACTTACCCTCTCTGAACAACCTCTGAGAAGAGTAGCTAATTTATGGCAATTCGTATTTGTAAATGTTGCAGATAGAGTGTGAAGTGCAGTTTTTAACACCTGTAGATTAATAATCTCGTCATAGAGAATTCAGGCAACTAATATAAAAACTTTTTGGAGGGACAGATGGACCAGGGCTGCTCCATTTGTGAGCCTGTGTTATTTTGTTCCAAATAATCTCTGCCAGCTTCTGGAGCTTTTTCTAGTATTGAGCCCTGCAAGAAATCCCACCCTTGCGGACACATACAGCAAGAAATGTTGTTTGCTATCCATGAGTCAGATCTGGGGCTGCTCCTCAAGTGGAACATCGCACTGACCATTCTCCATCTCCCAGGGATCCTGGAATTCTTCCACCACCAGCTGAAGGACATCATCGAATACGCAGAACTCAAAACAGATGTGTTCCAGAGCCTGCGGGAGGTGGGCAATGCCATCCTCTTCTGCCTCCTCATAGAGCAAGCTTTGGTGAGTCCTGACCCCAAAGGGATCCGAGGTCTCTGGACAGGGCGGGGCCTCAGTGTGGAGGCGGGCCCTTCTGAGCAGCAGTCCTGCAGTCAGACAGACCTGACTCCATCACTCACTAGCTGCACTAGACCTCAGTGCAGTCACACAGACCTTGGTTTCCATTTAGTCGTTAAACAGTTATCCCTCGGCTCTCCTGGGCCAGGCACCTTTAGGAGTGGCCAAAGCAAGCGGTCCCTGCCTGGTGTCCTCTGTGTGACTTAGAAATGACAGTGCTGTGAGGAGTGGGCACATACAGAATTGGATAGTTTTGGGGCTGAGGGAAGACTTCTTTGAGAATGAGCAGGAATTCACCTGAGGAAGATTTTCCAGGCTGAGGGAGGCTCATACAGTGTTAATTTTGAAAAGTGTGAAACAATGGCTTTACCCCGCATGGGGAGTTTAAAGGTGGAGAAGAGATAATCCATGTAAAATACATGGAGTAAAATGTAATGAGGAAAAGCCTCCTTCCTGGCAGAGCCTCCTGGGATCCCGCAGAACCAGCCTGCTCACCCTGTGGGATCTGTGGTCTGCAATCCTGTGAATGCAGCATGTTCAGAGGCCATGTTCTCTATGTGTGCTTCCGGTCGTCTCTCTGTGGTGGGCACAGGCTTCGAGGTTAGGGGCGGGGATGGTGTTAACTGGCACAGCCAGGAGCATGCCTTCTGGGCAGGGCTTAACTCTCTGAATGTCCCTTCCTCCACTCATTCCACATAAGGCTTTGAGGGTTGTGCCCTACTAGCAGTGATTTAGGGTCTGGGTACTGACAAAGTCAGATATTCTGGAGGAGACAAGCAAAGACTGTACAATCTGGTGCCTGAAGACAGTGATGTGTGCTGTGAGGGATCACACAGGGCTCCAGGATCAGTGAGGTGGCAGGATCCAGGAAGGATGTGCTCTCTTTGGAGATGATGGTGCTTGATGTCAGTCAAGAGAAAGGACTCCAGAGTGAGCAGGAATGAAAACGGAAGAGGAAGGAATTAGGGGAGGCATCCTGGGCAGGGCCCTCGGGCTCATCTCCTGAGCTACCATGGGTTGCCATGGGGGCCTGTGAGTGAGGAGATCGGACTTTTCCAAAGGCCCTGCCAGGTGCTGGGGGAAGAACTGGCTGGGAAGGTCGTGGAAGACAGCCATTTGCAGCCCTGGGATCACAGAGAAGCAGCAAGTACAAGAAGAAGAGAGGGGAGGGAGGAAGAGACAGAACAAAAGGAGAGAGATGAGGCGGCGGCCATCTTGGAGCTTTAGCCAGAACCACAGAGGATGCCTGCCCCTGCTGTGAGGCCTGGTGAGCCAGGGCACTCCTGCCCTGGTGTCCTCAACCAGCTGCTCTGTCAGACCCTCACCCACTCCAGAGGCCCTGAAATGAGGCCTGTGGCTTTTCCTCTGAGAAATAATTGCTCCTCTGTTGCCCCTCTAAGAGGACTCTGGAGACAGCTAATGACTCCTCTTGATAACAGGTTAATACAGTTCAGTGGGCCTGTGTTACTATAGCAACGCCTTCAGCTATCTCAGATGAAGGGCGGGGGAACAGCCCAAGGCCTCAGGGTGACCAGAAAAAGGTGGAGGTGAGAAGGGCGGGTCTCCTCCTCATATCTCCTTTGAGGCAGGGGGGGGGGGGGGGGCATCCGTTTAGACCAGGAGGCAGGCCATTAACAGGCCTGCAAGGAAATGAAAAAGTGGTTCTCAGCACCCTCGCCTTCTGCCTGGTCACTTGCATATCGTATCGCTGAGGACAGCAGACACTCAGGATCAAAGACTTCCAGGCTGAGAAAGACCCCAGCTATTTTCTCTGGGTACCAAACAGAAGACCAGGATTAGAGGTCAACAGAGGCTTTAGCCTTTTCTGGAAGGTGCCGGTTTCCAAGAGGAAAGTATATTCATGTGTTATTGACCTAAACAGTAATGTTAAAGTAGTTATAGAATACACTAACTAGCTTTAGAAAAACTAGAATTCTGAAAAATGCAAAGAAGTCTTTCGGCCATTTTCTATTTTGCCATCTGCCTTTTTCTTAGTTTCAGAGTTCTCTCATGCTATATCTCCCTTAAATTCTCAATTTAATCATTGCCTTTAAGAGATTATAAATATATCTCTTAATTTAGAGACAAGGAAATTATTAAAGGGTTGATCACTTGGATGAAAGTATATTTTCTTCATTAAGTTGTGGACTTACAAACATTTCTCAAAATTCAGAGTGCAGTATTAGTACAGAAACTCATATACCTTTGGTGTTTTGGGGGAGGGTTAGTGTCTTAAAGTATAACACATAGCTAAATGTACATCTGGAACAAGACACATGGCCCTGTAACTCTCCAGGATACAAATAGAACACTTACAATATTGTAAATAGTTATTCACGTTACCTTCCATACTCCAAAAGTAACCATGATTCTGACTTCTACTCCTAGGAATTAGTTTTGTTTATCCCTAAAATTCATATAAATGGAATTGTTCAGTATATTTCCCCTTATCTGGCCTCTGTCATTTAACACTATGTCTCTGTGGTTCATCCATGTTATGTATAATTCACTTTTCATTGCTGCAGGAATAGACTCATTGAGTCATCCATTGATCAGGGATGGACATTTAGGTTGTTTACAGTTGGGCACTATTAGGACAAGGAGGTAATGAATACTCTCGTATATGTCTTTTGGAGAATATATGCTCTCCTTTTCTTTTAGGGAAACGTACGTAGTACTTTAGCTTCAGTTGATATTGCCAAGCAATTTTACAAATTATTTGTATCAGTTTAAATGCCCATTAAACAAAGTGTGAGAGTTTTAATTGCCTTACTTTGTCACAAACAATTCAATCAGTTCATTTTTTAAAATCAAAGCCCTTCTAGGGGTCTTGCTATATCATTTTGTATTTAATTTCCCTAATGATGCTGAGTCTCTTTCCATGTGGAATTGGCCATCTGGACAGCCTCTTTTGTAAAGTGCTGTTCAATTTTTTAAATCCACTTCTTATAGTGGGGGTTATTGATTTGTGGCATTATTTATATAGTATTGATGTACGTATTACAAATACATTAATGTAGCTCATCTTTTGAAGAGCAGTAGTTCTTAAGGTTAGTGTAGGCTGTTTTTCTTTTGTCTATGATTCCTCTTGTGACTTGCTTATAAATCTTCCCTTATCTAAATTCCTGAAGACAATTATTTTCTAAGAGTTTTAAAGTTTAGCCTTTTGAGGCTAACACATCTTGCTATTATGTACTCCAGGAATTGATGCTTATATTTAATGGGAGACAGAAATCCAATTCCATTTCTTTTCATGTTTAAAATAACTCCTCCCGCCATCTGTGGAGTGAGTGCTATGTTGATTGTTCATGAAACATCCATAAATGGTCTGGTCATACTGGGCTTGAATTTAGTCATTTAAGAAATGGGTCAGTATTTGTTAAGTATCTGTTTTTTAAAATCAAATTCTTATGAGCCTCTTGTGTTTTCTTGACACCTCCTAACTTGGGAAATCATGACAAGGTTATTAGAGATACAGGAATCAGGATTTTGGTTGTGTGTATGGTTTCTAGAATCACCTCGTTGTGGTTATGCATGCACACACCAGGAGAGGGCGCTGTCCACACATGTGAGCCATGAGGGCCTGACCTCTAAGAGAGCCATTCCTGCCTTTCCTGAGGCTCCACTTCCGTCCGTTACTTATTTTTTCCCCTCCATATAGTGGAATGGGGCACAATAACACTCCAGTCAGACATTTGAGAATATTACTTCCCTTTCAGGAGGTGAGGAGAGTCTGAACCCAAACTCAGTGATTCATGTTCTAGTCAGATGGGGAAAGGATGCAGAACGCAGCCAAATTGAGCATCATTTCTAGACTCTACCACTGGAGGCCAGTAGAGTCCCCTCCTCTGATGTGATGACGGACAATGCTCTGTTGAGATCCACTTATCTAGTGCAACTTCACGGACTGCAGATGCAAAACCGAGGCCCTGGGAAGGCACTGATTTTTTTGAGGGTTACAGCTCATGCAGGAGTTAGGACAAGGCCCAAATAGATCACCAAGGTGACGTAGATATGGAAGGACATACTTGCTGTTGAATAGGTCCAGCCCCATGTCACCCCTTCTCTCTCATTTGTTTATAGAATTGAAATAAATGCACTGAGAGAAAACAGAGAGAAAACATTGTCACACTAAGATAACCACTGCTAACTTTCCACAGGATATTCTTCCAGATGTTTTTATGCTCTGGCATAAATATTAACTTTTCTCATAAACTATAACTTTTCTAAATGAGTTGGTTATAAAAGTCATTCACCAATAGGGGCAGGAGAAACGGGTCATTCCCTTTTTACTGAGTTACTGCCTGAATGTATTGCAACATTAGTTTTTCCTTATAAGGAAATACTTGCACCCTTAAATGCACATGATCTGGGTGCATGGGAAGTAAAACCCTAAAGCCCACCCTCCACTGCCCGCCTCAGACCCTCATTCCATACTCCCCTTGATCCCAAATATTTTGCCCATCACCCTGAGAAAAGCCCCTCCGCTTACCAAAGAACCACAAGCCTTGATGCAGACGTGCTCAGGTGTGGCCTTGCCTTTCTGTATGAGTGAGCACCCAGGACCAGAGCTAGGTTGGAAACCAACCAGCCTGTGCAAGTGGAGGCACCGGCCTCCAGTACCCTTGGCTGCACGGTTCCAAGCATATTTTCATCTTTTCTGACCTAGCCTAATCTGGAAAACAAACCGGTGGTCATCAACATGTCAGGACCTGACAGAATGGGCTGAGGAGAGATGGTATTGGCTCTTCACATACACCGAGTCCCCATGGGCCAAGCAGGCCGTGGGGCTCAGAGCTGATTGCACAGCAGCACTGGCCACTGGCTACCACCTGACTGTAGATGAGAGCGCTGGCCCTCCCAGTGATCTGGGCAGGATGATCACAGGGCTTTTAATGATTTCTTTACTAAAAGGAAAAATCAGAAATTAAGCCCTACTGGTTATTAACACATTGTTTGACCGTGACACCTATATAGAGTTGATAAAATGAATGTGTGTCAGTGTTTGCTCAGAGTTCTACTGACGAACACTTGAGATCAAAATAATTTGGGGTCTGGCATCCTTGGTACCTACACAAAGTGAAACATAGGGTGAAGGAGGAGTAATCTGTGGAAACGGAGGAGGGCTGGGAAAGATTTCCCAGGTGAGGGCCCTGACTGTCCCTTCCGCACCTAACACAGGCTCCTTAATTATGAATGAGGGGAAGGACATTTCCGCCAGGTCCTAGATAAATAGAAACGTACCTGTTTGTCCCCCGAAATCGTCAGAGATCACCATTCAGATTGAGATCGGGTTGATCCATCACCTTCATCCAAAGCCAGCTCAGACCTTGGTATTTCTCTCGCTTCCCAAGAGCTGCCAAGAAAGCGAGAGCCTTGGTTATGTGATTTTGTACTGATGCCTTTTCTCAGGCCCCCCAGTGGACAGAGGGCCTGGGGCTGAGGGCTTGGGATTGTCGTACAGCTGGCCGGGTGGAGTGTGGATGTCGCCAAACGCCAGGCAGCACAGGGTGGTGCAGTGGCCTCACTTTGGGCTGCTGGTTAAAGTCACTTGGAAAGCTTCTGAAAATACCCTGTCATCCAGGTCTTACCCCACTCTAAGGAAATAATATCTTTGGAAATGGACCCGGGAATTCTAAAAGCTGCACTAGTCCTGATCCTAATGTGCAGCCAGAGTAGGAGACTCCTAATCCGAAAGCAATCTTCTAATGTTGCCAAAGGTTAGGCACGAAGCTTATTTGTCACAGTTTTCGCCATCTCTACAGACCACTGATTCTATTACCTACACGATAGGAAACTACAGCTTCCAATTAGAAAAGCATCACCTCTTGCCATTTTTAGAAAGCAACCAGAATAAATTCAATACAAGGAAAGGTTAGGGGTGCATGCAGCTCAGTGATAGGGCACCTGACTAGCATGCATAAGCCCCAGCCTTGATCCCCAGCCCCACAAAAAAAAATGAAGAAAAACAGTTCCAGTGCTGCCTACCCAGATCTTTAAACAGAGGGCACAGCCCCTTTCTTTTAAAAGCAGTATTAGCAAACACTAGGAAGGTGTCAACACCTGCAGGTTCCAGATGGAAACTTTTCATTAGGGTTATGAGAAAGAGTTGGTAGCAAATTCAAAAAGGAAAAGGGCTGTTAATAAATATCCCCAATTCCCACGTTGGTAAATGGCACCCTTGGAAGACATTGAGATATAGTTGGGTGGGTGGGTGGGGGGCGAAAGCCACTCTCTAGGCCGTAGTTTCTTGGTTATAGATGTTTTCCAGTTGACAGACATGATTCTGATAATAATCGTGTTCTCCTTTTGGCAGTCTGGGGCACTGAGGAAGGGGTACAGGTGAGACAGAGTAATATACTGCATTATCCAGGTGAGGCACAGATGGATGACCACACACACAGCCCACACAGAGGAGGATAAGGTTACCTGACTTATTCAACTACAGCTAGAGACTACTGGAGAGGAGGGGCCTAGGGAGCAGGCAGAAGTAGCATACATCTCTCAGCTGAGCTTCCACTGCAACCGGAGTCTCAAAGTAGGGACTGGAAGCTGCATCTGGCCTTTTCCCTGCGCAGGAGAATGTGGGAGGCTTAATTTCTTGCCTGTCTCATAGGCCCTGTCTCCTTGGGGCTTAACATCAGAATGCAGGAAACACGCTAGCAATGTGAGCATCCATATAAGGGAATGTTTAGAACACTGTGCTCTGGTTAGGCCCAGCACCCCCATTCCCCCTAAGCCAGAAAACCAGAGCGGGGAGGGGAGGGGTGGCCTCCAGTTCTGCAGCTCATTGCTCTTCAGTTATTTGACAAAGACAGAAACATAACACGTACCTTAGTGTACTGGGTCTTGTTGATGCTTTGGAACTTAGAGATAAGTTATTTAAAATATTCCTTTGAGATTGGTTTGTTGATTCCTTTTAATAATTGGGTTTTTTTTTACCCAGGCGCAGAGACTAAAGGTAGAATCTAATGCTGTTCCACACAAATCTAACATCCTTAGAATCACAGTGGAATCTTTATGTATGTATGACTGTGATGTCCTTTAGCCAAGCAAAATCAAATCCGCTTAGGCTCTGAGAAGCTTGTGAGCTTTTTAGTATTTGGTGGAAATCCTCACAGTCCATCAGTTTTAAACTCCAGTACAAAAGGAAAATTTTAAGACTGAAAGCAATGCAAAAATAAAATACACATCGCATGAAGAAGATGCACATGGGTTGCTTACAATCAATTATTTTTGTATCCTGACTCCAAAATTCTGTTCACTTTCACTTGATAGACAGTGAGTTTGCAGTGCGCTTCGGTTATTACTGTCTGTGGTTACTTCTCTCATAGTTGTAATATGCTGGTGGTTGTCACATTCTGAGAATAACCACCACCGTGGCACCCTGTGTAGGCAGACAAAACCAAGTGGCAGCTTTGCACCTGCTCCACCGAGAGCTCACCCCAGCTCCCCGAGGCAGCAAGCCTTGAAGCTTTTTGGTTTTGGCAGTGCAGTTGCATATCATTCACACCTTAGAACCCTTAGGTCCAGTAAAAGTTTTTAAAACTGTAAGGGAAACAATTTAGTGAAGTTGAGGAATTTTTGTGTTGATTTGAAATTGAGGTGTTTTTTAAATTTAGGTGATCTCAACAGGTGATAGAATCAGGCTGTGTAGGAGGATGCCCTTGTGTTTAGGGGATGCTTAGGTAGTCAAGGCTAAAGCGGTTCAGTGTCTTCAGTGTGCTTTCACATGATTCACTATGATAGAGTTACAGCAAATAGGACAAAACGTTCACCGTGGCCCCATGGAGGGTGAGGGGACATTGGTTGTCCTTTCACATATTTTCTATAATTAGTTTTTTTCATGATGCAAAATTGAATGGGAAAAAACACCTATTCAAAAGATCAAAAGAAAGAAAAAGGTTGGTAACCTGATGGTCATGATGCATGAGGAGGAAGACAAGTTATGAGGTTCTTTGTTTCTTCCATCTACTTTTGCTAGCTGGTGAGATTTATTTTTGGTACCATATGCCCTGGAGCTACTTCTGACCTCATTTTTTTAAATTTATAAAAGGCATCTGCTTGCACTGATCTTAGCCATGAATCTCACACCAAACATTTATTTGATTTACCACCCAGGAAATACCAGTTCAGGGTCATAGTAAAGACAAACACCACTGGGAAAGCTGGCTGGGCCAAGTTAAAAAGAGGCCACATGGAATCTGAGTGGCCCTAAGAGATGGGCCGTCTTCTCCCTCTTGATCATGGTGGGGAGCTGCCTTCTGCCTGGAGGGGCTCAGTGTTAGAGAGGTGTTAAAGCCAGCTTGTATGACATCCCCAGGGCTTAGTAATCAAGTCCTTCCCTCCTCTTCCCATGAGGTAGGAGACTGAATCGGCCTTTCTGAACTGGCAGCCAGAGCACTGCTTGTCCACAGCCCTGAGCCCCACCCCCCTCACTCCAGCGGTCACGACCTCCCTCTGTCTGCAACTGCACCTTTCCTGTGCTGTGAAGCTCATCAGCCTGGTACCTGTAGCTCTAGTTTCTCCATCAGATCCCAGAGCAAGCACTCAGTAGATATTTGGGGACCTGGAAAAAGGAGGAAAGAGGTAGCACACAGTGTGTAAGGCTGGCATTCTGCCCTGCACCTGGCTTGAAAGTGGATTTCCATCACCGTCAAGGTTGTGCGCTAAGAGAAAGTGAAGTAACCAGAATTTATCAGTCTCCCCCTTTAGTCCCCTCTTTAGTCTCTTAGAGTCAGAGGAATCAAAGTGCCTGGAAGGTGGCGGCCCTGAGAAGCACCCAGCTGCACATACCCAACCGCTGGCATTTCCTGTCCTCTGGGGCCAGTTTCCTTCAGGTGTTGCTGATTCCTAAAGGTCAGATCTCACCCCCAGATGCCTTTTCTTGGCTTTCCACTGACCTGGGATTTCCTTTGCCCACGTCTGACCTCAGCTCCCTCCCGTGGCCTCTACCCCTGCGGACAGACGCTCAGTGCGGGAGTCCTTTTGCTCCCTCTGTTCTCATGTCATCAGGTCTGCGGCACCTGCTCCTTCCTCTCTGTCCTCTTTGGTCCCACTCCTAGCCCAGCTCTCTTGCCTGGATTATTCCGACGTCCCTTTTCGTCTCTCACTTCTCTCCCCCTTGCAGCTAGAGGGTAAAACTGCAAGTTTGATCATGCCATTTCCTTGATTTAAGCCACCAGGACCACGTGCCAGCACTTAAGGGAGTCTTGCAGGAGTCTTTCCAGTCTGCCCTCTGTGGCTCGCATCCCTTCCTCTTCCCGGGCGAGAGTCAGTCAGCCTTGGAAGTCGGCTCCTGCCCCACTATGGCCTTTAATGCTTTGGAGCCTTCACAGGTGCTGTTCCCCTCACCTGTCCAACACTCATCCCTGCTCCAGACCTCCGTTTAGCATCCCTTCTCCAGAAAGCCTTCCCTGTCCTTCCCCTCCGAAGCATGGCTTGGTTGCCCACAGCCCTCCTGAGCACCTCAAGTGTAGCTCTTCTAGAATTGCCCATTTCGTCACTTTTCTTGTCCCCTGAATCATGCCTGCCACACTTGCTGTTCTTTATCCAGCACCTTGCAGAGGGCTTTGAGTGTAGTACTTATTACTTGAAGTGTAAATAAAAGAAAATCTCCGTTCAAGCACTTAGAATAAAAATGTCCAGAATTTGGCCCCTTGTTTGTCCTATTATCCCATGTTCTCTACATTCTTCTCCGTGGTGGCTTCTTGTCAGATGAAATGTGGTCCATCGAAGAAGACTCAGCCTGGGTTTAGCAAGAATTGTGAGTCACTTCCCTAGTTCTCATCAGAAGCACGGACTGCAGTGAGACACTTCCTTCTGCAGACAGCTTAGTCGGGGCTCTGACTGGATGAGGGCTCTGATGGGATTCAGTGGCTGAAAGGAAAGGCACTGTGGCCTGGAGGGGGACTCCAAGAAGGTGAAATTTCTGTAGGGCTCTGGGATGGAAAAGATTGGGAGGTATAAGTTGACCACATAAATGGTCTAAGTACCTTAGAATCATACCAGCAGATATAATAATCAGCTGCCTGCAAAGAAGTTATTTACACAAATTCAAGATAGAGGTTACCTCTGGGAACAGAGCTATCGGTAATTCTCTGTCATTCTTCTCCAGGCCGCATACACAGGTCACAATTAAGTTTGAACACTCTTAGTTCCTGTGACCAAAATGATACAGCCCTATCAGATACGAGTAAGGTTAAAAAGTTTTTTCTTTTGTTCCTTTTTTAAATAATTGTTCATGTTTTCTTAATGTGTATAATGAGGGGAAAAATATTTCAAGCTTTCTGTCTTAACATCTCTCTTCTGTTCCTTTGAGTCTGGGTAGTTTATAAAGAAAATAAGTTTGTTTCTTACTGTTCTGGAGGCTGGGGAGGCCAAGGTTGAAGGCTGCATCTGATGAGACCCTTCTTACTGATGGAAACTCCCAAGATGGCACAGGGCATCTTGTGGTAAAGGGCTTCTTACTGTGGACAAAGCCAAAGTGTTTTTATAACAGATGCACTCTGCAAGTAGCCCATTAATCACTGAGTGGGTTCATCTATTCATGAGGGCTCTGCCACCTTGCAGATGTCCTCCCAAAGGTCCCACTTCCAAAAACCATTATCATATAACTTTAAGGATTTTGTTTCTACATGAGTTTTGTTGGAGACATTTAAGCCATGGCATTTCCCTAGGTGCATGTGCTGCCATCAGAAAAGATGGATATTGAATGAGGTAGCCATGAACCTCAATGTCAGCTTGACTATATACTTAATAGCTCTGTGGAGCTGGTTTCTGCCAAGTGGAGCAGTGAGCCCTCACTCTAAAGCATAAAGCAGAGAACAGATTCAGAGCACCTGACATAGTTAATGCCCGTGAGTGCTCACTGTCAGCTTCCCTGAACAACAAAGCAATTACGTATAAACTGCTCTAGGGAAAGACCCTTAGAGACTAAGGTATCTAATGCAGCCTCTTTATTGTGTTCCATTTAAATCGCGCTTAATTACACACGATAACAAATCAAGTAATACAGATGAGCTTATGACAGAAAACCCTATTCTTGGGTTTTGGTGCACATCCCCCCGCCTGTGTCCCACTTCCCAAGGCAGCCTGTCTTAATCCTTTCTACTTCCAGTTCCTTTAGTTGTTGTCTCCGTAACACATAATCCGAGGCTAACTTCCATTGCATAATTATCAATTTTAGATGATATTTATTGACTCCCTAGTTGGAAAGCTGAGAATTTAGCTCATTTCTCTCTCTCCTCTCTCTTCCACTCAGTATATGATTATTCTACTTTACTGTTTCCCTTGTCTTCCCTTGTAATCACAGATAATGTACTTACTCCTCTCCTGCTTCTTTTGTTAATAGGATTTAGTATCTTGACTCTTCCCATGAAAGACCAAAAGGCCATGGAAATTAACACTCCCGGTACTTCCACTTCCTCACTCTTGTCAGTTACACTTTTACTTTTATATAATCACCAACTGTATTTTACAATAATATTTGTATTTTGTTCCACATCTGTGATTCATCCTTAAGTGTAGCCTAAAAGCAAAAACAAATACTGTTCACATTAAGCCTGTGCAAATATTATTCCTTGTGGACCAAGTGGCATGCTAGGATTTCACTTCCTACTCTGTGATTACTACAGCTGACTTCAAAAGCTTTTAAATTTGAAATGAAGAATCAGCTGCTTTGGGGTTTTTCAAATTAAGTTTTTGAAGTTAAACATATTCAATGGAGTAAATACCTACCTACGCATAGGAAAAAAAACAGGAAGAGAGAGTGGGTTCGATAATTTAAAACAACAGAAAACCTCACTTCATGGAGTGTTTGTTAAAAATATTTCACATAGTTCATATAGACTAATCAAGAAAATTAAAGAGAAAATAGCTCCCTCGTTAATGAGGAAGAATATCCAGGCCTATTTAGGAAAGGTTCTAAGTCTTAGTGCCCTTACATACCACATATTCAACTTTTCCTCCATGTGATTACTGAGCTGTTACTGTACACTAGGCACAGTACTCACTTAGGGTAATAAAATAGAGTAAAAAATGGGTGTTGTCCTTGCCATCATGGAAGGTAAATTCCAGTGGGGGCAGTGGGATATTAATCCAATAGTCACACGTGGGAATATGTAGTCTAGACCAGTGGTGGCGAACCTACGGCACGTGTGTTGCAGCGGCTGTTACCACTGAAAGGCCTAAAAGGTCACTGTATACTGTCACTGGTATACACTGAACTCAGATTGAGCTAAAAGGGAAGATTCTTTGAGGACAGCGAGCAAAGAAACCTACATGGGGAGCAAGGCACCGAGGGGTCAGGTTGGTGTATCTCAAGGAATGGTGTTTACCAAGCAGAGGAGCAAAGATTAAGAGATGGATTAGGGAGCAGTCCAGAGAGAGGAAGATCCTGTGCTGGCTACAGAGCCCATTCCAAGGCCGGAAAGCTGCTGTGGCTGGACCTTCAGAGCCAGCATGAGTGGGAGAGGACCCAGGCCGGGGGCTTTGCAGGCCAGGTAAGGACCCTGTCCAGCAGGTGTCACAGAGGGTGTGGCCACCTCGAATGTAAGCAGATGTGTAAGCTCACCCTCGGGCAGCTCCCAGGGAAAAGCCTTCCCACTTTTAGGACGCCACAGCAGGCTACGGAGGAAGCTCCCCTAAGACTCTCTAGGCCTGAAGTTTGCAACCTGATGGGGAGAGGGTTTTTGCAGGGGGTAAGTGATACATTCTCATCTCCTCCCAAGAAACCAGAAGTAGGAGATTATCCCGTCAGATGAACACAGCAGCAGGACTGCTCTGGCAGAGACCTGGATCTGTCTTCTGCTTCCTCTGTCCTCTAACGTGGCCCATGATCAAGTCGGCCACAGTGACAGAACGGAAAGTTGGTAATCACGCAATGGGCAGCCTTCTAGACATTTCTAGGAGCAACTGACATTTTTCAAAGAGAAAGATGAGCACTTGGCAATGGGCTGTGGACCAGACCTCTTCTTGAAACAACTTAAACTTCAGTAGCCCTTCATTATATTTAAAATATAATCCAAACTTAGTACCACGTTCATAAGGCCCCAGTGATCTGCCTGCTCACTATGTTTTTTAAAATCTCATGCTGTATATACTGTAATTCCCTCCATCACTATTCTCCAGCTTATTCTCTGCCCCAGGGCCTTTGCACTGGAATGCCCTTACCTCATATCTAAATGACAAACTTTCTCACTTCATTCCATTCTCTAATCAGCTAATTCATTCCCTCAAGGATTTTTTCCTAATCATCCTTCCTCATTCCCTGTCACTCCCTGGCCTATTAGCATCTCTGAAACCTCATTTGTTTACTTTTTTTGTCTGTATTAACTAGTAGTTAAATTCCATGAAGGCAAAGATGTAGGCTAACTCCTTCAGCATCATATCTGGAAAGCCTAGAACATTGCTGGTCCTTAATATTTGTTGGATAAATAAGTGATGGATGCTGTAAGCCTTCTCATACTTGGAGGACTGTTGTGTGGGCTAATGAATTCATTTATTCATCCAAGAAACATTTACAGGGTGTCAGATATTCATTGAATAATTATTGAGAAACTATTAGCTGCTATGCTTACAATAACAAGTTATTACTGGGAGTGAGACACAAAAATAGAGATACCATCCCTACCTTAAGGAGCTCAGTGTTGTAATTAATGTGCAAAGAATCAAGAGATGAAAACCAACTGGACACAGACTGCATGGTCTTGCAGGGACCCCCCCCCCAGGTGACGGGTAAAATCAAGTCCAACTCGCATTCTTGAAAAGAAACTCTTCCTGAGCCATATTACCCTAATACCAGTACCAAAGATATTCGAAATGAACACTACAAATCAGTATCCCCCGTGAGAATAATGATCCTTAAAAAAAGTTAAAATTAAAAATACGTAAAGAGGATAATACATCACCATCAGATGGGGTTTATTCCAGCAATAGAAGGCTGGGTACAGCATTTGAAGTCACTCAGTATAACTCACAATATGTGTATGAAAGAAAAATCTGCGTGAACCCTAAGGCAGTTTTCAAGTTACCTGATGAATCTAAGCCTGGACATAGCAGTGAAGATGGGGTTTGTGCAGTTCCCTGGTGCTGAGAGACATAGTTTCAGTGAGGGAGTGGGAAATGTTTCCCCTCTGACAAACAGAACAGTATCCTCCCGCTGGTGTCATGTCAAGGACTTGTCTGCAGTTTTCACAGAGGAAAACAGGGGTTCACCTAGGGGTTCCCCCCTTGAGTACCCAGTCTTCCAGAGTCCCAGGATGGTAGGGTACCCTCCAAGTGGTGAAGAAGCCAACAGCACTTACAGCCCTGAGGTTTTCAAGTGCTTAGAATCCCAGACTGTCAGGATTTGCATGGAGCCTGGGCTGGTCTTACTGTGCGTGCACACAATTTAAAGACAAGAAAGCCAGCCCCCGAGGAGGGCGACCTACAGGGCCCTTCCTTCTGAGATCCAGCTGTGGTCAGCTGGTTCCAGGAAAATAAGCCCATTAGACCTTATCTTCCATTTTGCCCCACCCCTTTTCCTTCAGCCAGTGTTGTTTATGATTCCTCAGAAGCTAACTTTTGTTCATCAGCAGTCCCTATCAAATCCTGTCTGATTTGGGGTCTAGTGTGTCTGCTCTCACTAGTTAGTGTCTGGTGTGGAGAAAACTGAACCAACTGGACACAGGCTTTTGCATAGTTACCCTGATTAATGGACTGGAAGATTGGGCAGCCACCTCCTCTCATCCTATAGACCTCACGACCAACCAGAGTCCGGGGCTCAGTGTCTGTTGATCCTCTGTCATTCACCCCAATTCAACAAATTCCTTATAAGATTATAGTAAAACTGTACTGAGCTCTCACGGGCCTGGCACTATGCGCTGAGGTTATACATTCTCTCATTTGATGTTGCAACAACTGGTTAAAAGAGGTCCTGTTCTCGTCATCATTTTGCAGATAAATAGACCCAGAGGCTCAGTAATTGGCTAAGGCCACACAGTCTTTGAACCCAGGTCTGGCTAACTCTAGTGTTCAAGTTTGTAGGAAGGAAAATTCTTCCTGGTTTGAAATGAAAATTGTTTTCTCTTTCTCTCCCTGCAGTCTCAGGAGGAAGTGTGTGATCTGCTCCATGCTGCACCCTTCCAAAACATCCTGCCTCGAGTCTACATCAAAGGTAAGAAAGGCTATCAGCGGCTGAATTTAAACTTCATGGGGTTTTATTGTTTTGTTTTGGCTTGTCTTTTTTTTTTCCTGCTTGTTTTGCAGTACTGGAGATTGAACCCAGAGCCTTTGCTATACTCCAGCTCCCCCCCGCCCCCGCCACTCCTTTTTTAAAAATTTTGAAACAGGTTCTTGCTCAGTTGCCCAGGCTGGGCTCAGACCTGCAGTCCTCTTTCTTCAGCCTCTCAGAATGCTGGGATTCCAAGTGTGGGCCTCCATGCCGACTCACACGCACTGCCGAATCACACTGAACCCAGACCTGCAGTCAGCAAGGGAGAAGGCCTTTTCCTTCTAGAGAGTCCCAAGCATGGCTATGTAACCTTGGTTTAATTTCCTCATGTGGTGGAAAACTCACCACTTCACCATGGCCGGTAGAGCTCACAGAAAATGTTTCCCTGTGTTGAGTCCTCATCACGTTTTCCAGAACCAGGGAGGAAGCTCTGCCTGTTCCAATCTAGAGATACAGCTCCATCACCCAGTGCGCCCAGGTCTCATTTCTGCTCCTTTACAGAGGGGGAGCGCCTGGAAGTCCGGATGAAGCGCCTTGAAGCCAAGTACGCCCCGCTGCACCTGGTGCCCCTGATAGAGCGACTGGGAACCCCTCAGGTATGAACCTTCTATCACAGGCCCCGAGGACCCCAAGGAACCCTCGGGGAGGAAAATATGGCCCAACCTGCTCATTTTACAATAGGGAACCCAAGGCCCAGAAAAGGGAAGAGAGTGTCCAATACCACAAAGCTGCTTCGTGGCAGGAGCAGGTCTGGATGAGATCCCGACTCTCAGCCCTGAGTTCTGTCTTCTGCACACCCTGTATCCTGCTAAGAAAGGAGTCAGCCAGATCATTTAAACAAGAGCTGTTATACCCTTGCTGGACATCGAGAAATCTGCTGTGCTGTCTCTGAAAATTAAAACCCCACCCCACTCAGGCAACTGCAGCCCTCTGAGTATTTTCCCAAGAGAAACACAGGAGCAGGAGGTGGGCATGGTCACTGAGCTTGCGAATGCAAAAACTGAAAACCACGTAGTGTCAGTCAGTGAGATGTTAATGAAATGTGGTATAATCATCTGAATTATGATGCAGTAATGAAGGAAATAATGAGAAGGAAAAATTAGATCTAGATGCATTGATCAGTGTGCATAGATCTTTTTTTTCTTTTTGGTACCGGGGATGGAACTCGGGTCCTTGCGCTTGCGCAGCAGCCAGTGAAACCACTGAGCTAAATCCCCAGCCAGTGTGCATAGATCTTAAACACACAGTTCCATGTATAAAGCAAATTGTGCTATATAATGATCCCATTGTTTTTAAATACATACACTCAAAACCTAAGTAAAACTTTCCCTGAAAATATCTGGGGTGATAGACACCTCAGTGGCAACTCCTGATGAGAGACAGAGTGAATGGTAACTGGGAAGAAAGGGAATTCAAGTGAACTCAGCTTAATCTGTAATATGAGAGTATTTTCAGGGGTACATGGATTCAGAACCCATACCAGTTGCTGTGAACACCAAGATGAATAAACAGGGCCCCTGTGTTCATAGAAGTCACAGGCCCTGCAGGAAGGAGCAAGAAAGAAATAAGTAGGGGGAGAGAGGCGGCAGAATGTGCTGTTGCCCTTCCAGTTGATGTCAGTGAGCTTTGCATTCTGGGGGTGAGCTGGAGAGCTCATTCAGGAAGGGGAGAGGAAGGGAACACCATGGTGAGACAAGGCTGTTGAGAAGCATTAGGAGTCAAGTCCTCTGGAATTGGCGTTCCTCTCTGGGGCGGTCACATCCTCAGCAGAGGGCGGAAAGTGGCCTCCATTCAGGCACAGCTGGGAAGGGATTTGGAGCACAATGCCAAGCCCTATCTGCACGCCTGTCATGCTGAGGAAGCCCCGTTTGCTACCAATCTGCTCCTGAGAGCGAAGCTACATTTACGTGGTTTGGCCCACTGAGAGAGCCCTGAGGTGCCATGAAGTGTATGTTTTTTGGCCTTCTGGAGTTGAACAGAAGAGATCTTCTCAAATAATTTCCTTTTAGGGAGAAATCCCCCAAGCCAGCGACATGTCAGTGTGCCCGCTCCTCAGTTGGTGTCATCCTACAAGAATCCAGCTCCTTGAGCCCAAGGCTTAGCATGTGTTTCCACTTAAGAGGACTGTGAATTCCTTCCCTGTTCTGGTGAACACCACTTCCTCAGAGCTAATAGAAATCTCAATGTGTCAAATGCTGAGTGTTGAACAAACACAACCCTAGACATTCCATGAGAGAGGAAATGCCAGTTTTATAAGTCCCCCATTTCTCAAGAAATAGTTTTAAAACTAAAAAGCAGCCAAGCTGAGATGAGTGATTCCTAGGGCCTGGGGAAGGGGCAGGGATCAGTGCATGCTGTGTGCATCCATGGAAATACCAGACTGAATCCCATTAATATATACAAGGGGTGCGTATTAATTAAAAACGTTTAAATGAGACAGCCAGCCCATAGACAGACAAACAAAAAACAGCACTTCCCAGCTAGCCAAGGTCTCACTTCTGCTCAGAGATCTAAATGTCAGGTCAGTCTGTGTAGATACCTAATCTAATATCTAGGTCAGTAATAGAAGAATGTGTGGCATATTTAAAGCAAAGAAGTTTGAGCAGCACTGCATTGTTTGCATTTATTTCTGAGACAAATTGAGGTGACCTGGCTCGTTGCCCAGGACTATTGTGAAAGGGCAGTGGGCCTTGTCCCTAGCTCTACCCTCAAATTACTGCTTAGTATGGTAAGAATAATTAAATATCTGTCTTTGTTTTCCCATCTGTGGAATGGAATAATTGCTGTTTTTCCTTCTTAGTTGAGCTTCTCTTGTTATAAGGAACAAATAGTACAAAGGACCCTTGACTTACAAACTCAATTTGTTCCTGAGGGCTGGTGGTAACCCAAGTTGGTCAGCTAGGCTCAGGATCCTCTACACAGCCTTCAAAGTCTCTCTCCTGTATACAGGCAGATCTCAGTGTCCTTAGAGAGACATCAACCGAGGATTTCTCAACCCCACACAGGAAAGGGTGCTGTGATGTTCCTCCCAGAGCTCTTTAAGGGTTAAATCTGTATCTGAGACCATCTGGGAGCACAAGTGGCCAGTATTCGGGTTGTAACACAAGACTTTGTTCATAAGTTAAAACAAAAATTCCAGTCGTAACTCAAGTCGTTTGTATGTCAGGCTGGTCGTAACTCTAGGGTCCACTGTGTAAGAATCCCAAGAACCATAAAAGATAATATAAAGGAATGTTGAGAACTCATTCTCCTCCAAAGAGCATTAAATGTAATCAAATGGCTCCATGCAGAAACTACTTCAGAGAGAACCCCCATAGAGAATAGATAAAATACCCAGCCACAAATTGCCAGTGTTTGCAGCAAACAATCTATAAAACACTTTTTCAACACAAAAACAAAGTGATATACCCTAAAAATGAAAGCATGAAAGAAAACTCAAAACATAAAAAACATAATGCCAACAAACACAGAAATAGTACTGAGCATTACCTGTAATCATCGGGCTGCAGATCCAATCGCACAAGATAAAGTCTCATTTCTCAAGTTGGCAGAGGACTTTTCTCCATGATAACTGCATGGATAGGGGACAAGGAACAGAGTTTCAAGCAGACACACTGTGGTTCAGCTATTCCACTCCCTATGGAAAAAAAAAGCCTTTTGACCCATCTATAACTAGGAATTTATCCTAACAAAATGAACACAGATTAACAGGATTTTACCTATAGAAGGATGGCAGCTTTAGAATTGTCCACAACAGTAAAAATTTGTAAACAATTTAAATTAACCAGAGGGCTAAATAAATGGATATATCAAAGGTTATTTATGTTACTGTTAAAAAATCATGATACTGGAAATATTGAAGGAAGTGGATTTTTAAATTACTGATATATTGAGAAAAAAGCCATAGACAGTGTGGTCCAAATTTTGTTAAATATACATATATAGGCATACCCACATAACCACAAACAATATTCGTTATACCATTATTTTTCAAAAGCTCATCTCTAGGTGATAAGGATTTTAATTTTCTTTCTTGTACCTTAAAATGTTTTTAATTTACAAATTTTTAAAAATTTTACATGGTTGCAATTTATTACTTATAATTCATAGAATTGTTGACGGCGAACTGTCCCCCAAAAGAAAGGAATCAGGCTCCTTTCACTGGCTGTAGTGGTGGGGGCCAGTAGAATTCAAAGTTGGCCTGCAGATTTATAAATTCTATTGCTCCTTTTCCTACTTCCCCAACCAAGATTATCAGGTCCTGGGGACTCAGGCAGATTAACTAAGAGCCTAAATTATTTAGTAAACCAGTACTCTACATTTATTTGCCAAAAAGAAATGCTTACAACTTGAGAACAAATTTAGGTCCTTTACTTACTGAGCAGCTCCCCGTGCAATCTTTCTCATGAAGAAACCCCTTTTGGGGACCAAAGAGAACAGAATAAAAACAAAGAATAAGAACGGAATCAAGCACAGGGCTCAGGATTATTTTAGAGATCATTCTAGCTAACTGTGGTGACTTGAGAGGTCTCCCCTCGAGAGCTGTGTCTGCCTATAGAATCAGAGAGTCTCCATGAATCAAGGTTCATTTATCTTTCTGTTTAAAATGCACATTGGAAAACTTTTCCAGTTTGTTTTATCCCGAGATTTCTTTTACTTTACAGTTGTCATGACAGCTGCACTCATAGCCCACATTTATAAGTCTCCAGCACTGATATTTCCCCATTTCTTCTATGGGGTCACCTAGAGGCTCTCCTCTTTGAGGGGCTCCAGGGAGCCGTTGGCCCTTGGTGAAACCTTGCACCAGGGAGCTGATACCGTGAATGCCCTGTGGCCCTGTGTCAGACGCGGGCTCCCTTTAGCTTTGTTCCCAGACTAGGAGACCTGACTTTGACCTTAGATTTTAATATTTATCTTGCTTTGCAGATAACTTTCAGCAACTTTACCCTAGGTATTTTTCTCATAATGCATAGGGTAATGTGTTTTGATGTGCCTGCCTAGCCATGAAATCATTAGATACACAGTAACCAGAACCTAAATAAGAAGCCAGTTTAAATTATTAATATAGATCACATGCACTGGTCAAAGAAAGATTTCTAACTAGAGGAAATAACTCTGTGAAGTCAGTAGCAAGTGTTAAAAGATTAACATAAGCTCCTTGTTATGCATTCAGCTGTACAGATATATTTAAATAGCATATCTCACCATTTCCCCAAGCCCATCTGCTCTCACAACTGATTTTAATCTAAAATGTTTCTACAAATAGACACATACCCCATATGTCTGTGTCTATTTTTGTCTGTCTGTGGAATTGTATGTGGATTTAAAAAGAGGATTGTAATATATGTCATTTTTTGCAACTTGCTCTATTAACTTTAGAATTACATCAACAAATCTAGACTACAAGGAATCGGATCCTGGCTTTAGCCCTCACTGGCAGCCTCTGAGCCTCTGTTTTCTTATCTGTGAAATGGGGCTAATCATGATATGGGATTGAACAGTCACTACCCATCAGGTGCTTAGAAAAGGAGATGGTGGTATATTACAGGTTGTAAGCATGAGTTAGTTATAGTAACAGTACAGTAGGACTGATAGTATCATCTCAGACTTTTAATACTGACCTATGGCATGTTAGATCATAATTTTTGAAAATCATTCCTCTACAAATGGCTCCTGGATTTTACATACCCCAAATCAGACTTCCAGGTATCGCACTCAGGTTTATACTGATGTCTGGGGAAGACAGCAGGCCTGTTAGATGAATTCCAGGTACAGCTGGCTTCACTTTTTGGGAACCTCTAGGGGGTGGTGACAGTTGTGACCACAAATGTGGATCAGAGGTTTGCGTATCCTTCCATTCCCAGCAAATCGCCATCGCTCGGGAAGGTGACCTGCTGACCAAGGAGCGGCTGTGCTGTGGCCTGTCCATGTTTGAGGTCATCCTGACCCGCATCCGGAGCTACCTGCAGGACCCCATCTGGCGGGGCCCGCCGCCCACCAACGGCGTCATGCACGTGGACGAGTGTGTGGAGTTCCACCGGCTGTGGAGCGCCATGCAGTTCGTCTACTGCATCCCTGTGGGCACCAACGAGTTCACAGCTGAGTACGTACTTCCAGGGAGGGCGGGGCCCCCCACCAGCCTGCCTGTCCGCGGGGGGCCAGAATTCAGCCAGGAGCATGGGTAGGGACCTGGCCGGCCAACAGCTGTTCTACTGAGAGCATCTGTGGAGTGCCGGGGCTAGACCTACAACAGCACTGAGCAGATGGACAGTTCCTGCTCTCCGGGAGCGTAAGGGGCCAAGGTGAAGACACACAGACAGGAAGGAAGGGGGACCGATGGCAGAGAATAGAGATGAATGGGTTATCAGGCTTCAGATAGAACAGAGCCTCCCCAAGTGCTTGGTATTGGGATCTCAGGGAAGAAGGGGACATGCTGGGGAAGGCAGTTGGCTGCAGGCAGAAAGTTTGAGGCCCATTTGGGGTGAGAGAGTCCGCAGGGGCCCCCACGTTCCAAGACAGGAACGAATGGGCAGGAGCCCAGTGAGGATGTGGCATTAAGAATATCACTGCCCACTTCACTCCCACACAATTCTACTCACGAAAATGTGCACTCTTCAAAGTCCTCCAGTCTTGTCCCCAGAGCTGACAGAAGCAGGGCCCAGTTCTTCCTGCTCTCAACCAGCTCATTATCAAGGTCCAAGTGGTAGAGAAGGTAACCAGGCCTGCCTTCCAGAAGCCAAGAGCAATGGAGAAAAAGTGGGGGCCAGAGAAGGCTCTGCCGAGGGAGCGTGTTCAGAACTGCTGGGCCCAAAATTCCAGCCCAGAGGGACAGTGAGGAGCCTGGCAGGTTTGAGGAGAAGCCGGATGGCAGAGGGACGACCTCCCAGCCATCCACACGTCTCTTGCGACTGGGGGCCTGCAGTCGGAGCTTCGTCATAGCCCAGGGGACTCAGCCTTCACATACCAGGAGCACCTGCTCCCCGCCCACTCAGCACGCCTCATCCCTTCCTGCCAAGCCTACACTGGCCATTTGGCCTCCGGGTTTGACGTCTTTCTTCTCCCCACAGAGCCAGGAGAGCTCCTCCTTTGACTTGGCTAAATCTCAAGGGTTGGTTGCATGTTTTTCCTTGTAAATTCATCTCTTCTTCAGAGATGACTGCTTTTTGTTACCTCAGCAGGATCAGCACCTTTTTGTGGTTTGAAGCGCTAATATATTACAATCACAGTCCTCGGCACAAATGAAGCCACCTCCCAGAGTCCTTCCTACCCATTCTCCAGAATGAGTCTTGGCTCAAAGACGGGCTTCCCCCCACTGTACTGCTGGCTCAGGAGGAAGATCCTCTTCCCTGGCCCCTCACTCCTGCTCGTCTTCTCCCCGCTCTAGGCAGTGTTTCGGCGATGGTTTGAACTGGGCTGGCTGTTCCATCATTGTTCTGTTGGGCCAGCAGCGTCGCTTTGACCTGTTCGACTTCTGTTACCACCTGCTGAAAGTGCAGAGGCAGGACGGGAAGGACGAGATTATCAAGAACGTGGTGAGCAGGCCAGCTGGGGTGTGGAGGTCTGAAGAGGAGGGTGAGCTGCTCGTGGAAGCCGTCTTCCCATGCCATGGGTGGATACAGACACTCGCTGGCTGGGGACTGGAGGCGGCAACAAGTCACCTGCCCACTGCAGTGAATCAGGTCATCCTAAAGGGCGGGAGCAGCTCCTGACCTGAAATACCCATCCCCTGTTGCAGGTAGACCGCTGCAAGCATCTTGTTGGCACATTCACCACACAGTAGAGTTGAACGGGACCCTGGGCTGGGCTAGGTGCCAGCCTGGCTAGGCAAGGCTGTTGTGGGAGACACGCAGGGCAGGAGGAGGTCATCAGAGAAGGCTTCATAAGAGGCAGTGCTGGTACCAAGTTGAGTGGCCACCTGCAGGTGGGGTGCAGGACTTGGGTGGATGCTGCAGACAGGAGGACCAGCTATAGCCAAGGCACAGGGGGGTGGCTAAAGCAGAGGGCAGCGACCAGGCACCATATGAGAGGAGAAAGGGGCAAGAGCCACCTTACAAAGAGTGTTACAAAAATGGTAGTAAAGGGCCGGGGATTTAGCTCAGTAGTTCCGCCCCTTGCCTTGCAAGCACAAGGACTCAAGTTCGATCTCCAGTACCAAAAAAAAAAAAAAAATTATAGTAAAATAAGACTGACCACTCTGACCACAATGGTTCAGTTTAATGAGGTTAAGTACACTGTGAAACTTTCATCACCATCCCCAGAACTTTTTCCCTTTCCCAAACTGAAACTCTGTGCATATAAAATAACTAGTTCCTGGCTACTGCCATTTTACTGTTTCTATGACTCTGACCACTCTAAGTAAGTAGGATCTTAGAATAATGATTTTTAATTTTGGTCTGGTTTATTTCACTTAGAATAACATCCTCAAGATTTACCCATATTCTAGCATATGTCAGAATTCCCTTCAAGGCTGAATAATATTTCATTGTAATTATGTACCATATTTTATCTGAAACAAAATCCACGAACGGACACCTTGGTTGTATCCATCTTTTAGCTATTGTGAATGATGCTGCTATGAATACAGATGCACAGATATCCAAGTTCCAAAAGTAGAATTGCTGGGTCACATGGTAATTCCATTCAACTAGTTGAGGAACTGCCTGTTTTCCATAATAACTGTACCATTCTATATCCCACAGCAATGCTTAAGAGTTCCAGTTTCTCCCCGTCCTCATCAGTACTCGTTACTATGATTTCTTCTAAGAATTGTATAGTTATAACGCTTACATTCAGCCCTTTTTATCCATTTGGAGCTAATTTTTGAGTTAATGGTATAAAGTAAGATTCCAAAACTATTCTTCATGCAGATAACCTGTTTTTTCTAGTAACCATTTGTTGAAAAACCTGACTTCCACCTTTTTGAATGGTCTTGGCAACCTTGTTGAAAATCATTTGCTCATATATGTGAGGGTTGATTTCTAGGTTCTCTATTCTATTCCATTGGCCTCGAGAATGGTCTTTATGCCAGTATCATACTGGTTTGATTATGGTAGCTTAGTAGTAAGTTTTAAAAGTTGCAAAGATTTAATTTGGGGACCCATAGAAGGCCTTTAGCCAAGAGAGTGACACAGTCATTAAAGCACTGGGACCCTGGACTCCAACATTACTGAATCCTTCTTTCTCTCACTTTATTTCTCTACCCCTTCCTTCTCACCTTACCTGAACATCTTTGTTCCCTTGCAGCCCCTGAAGAAGATGGCTGACCGGATCAGGAAATACCAGATCTTGAACAATGAGGTTTTTGCCATTCTGAACAAATACATGAAATCTGTGGAGACAGACAGTTCCACCGTGGAGCATGTGCGCTGCTTCCAGCCACCCATCCACCAGTCCCTGGCCACCACCTGCTAGGAAGAGGTCCCACGGACCCTCAACCTGGAGGTGGAGAACAAGAAAGAAAAAGCAACAGTCAGCCTGCAGCAGGTCCCACCAGACAGTGTGTGGGATGGACCAGGAAGCAAATAAGAACCTCCCCAAACACACCTGCACCACTCCCAAGGGCTGGGCTTGTGCATGCTCTCCCATGCCATCTCCATGGTGGTCTTTCCATAGTGTAAATGAAAACAAAAACAGGGCAGTATGTGCTTCTTTTTTCTGTTTCTCTCAGCCATATTCAAAAGCTCCCAGTTTCACCCTTTCTCATCCCACAGCTCCCCATCCATGGTTGCTTCCCAAGACCTCTTCTCAAGATGCCAACCTCCCATCCAATGCCCACCCATGACCCCAGGGGTGAAGTCCTAGACACTGAGAAAAGAGTGTGGCCATGGCAGAGATGTCAGCCTGGCCTCATCTTGCTGGCTTCCGTTATCTCCTGCTGTGGATGATAGAAATATCACCTCTACCACCAAGAGTATGTGTGGACCAGAAACTGAGAGGCATGGTGAACCAGGAAGCAATTCCTGGTTCAGCATGGCAATAGGTGATGTTGGCTCTGGTCTTCCTTAGGCTTCCCATGAATAACTCCCCATCTCAGAACATTCCTAGAGAAGTCAGAAATGCTTTTACAGCTGTATCCCACTGAATGGAATTGGGTTAGGAAGACAGTCAGGCCAGCTATGTGGAAGCAGCGTCTGTGAACTCAGCCAGGAATTCGACAGCCTCAAATGGAAAGGTGTTGAACAATCTCATCAGCTTAAATGCTTAGCCCTGGGCCACACAGGGCAATGGACATTGAGGGTGCAGCATTGAACAAGGTGGTCATGGAGCTCCCACAGCCTCGGCCAGCTCCCACAGCTTGGCACAGAATCTCTCAAGGAACACTGCCACAGGAAAGAAAGTATGGGGCTATTTCAACAGGGCCGAAAACATCTTGGGGACAAGGAGGTGAGGAGTAAAAATACAGTGACTCAACTTTCATTGTACATTTTGCTCTCCGCTTCCTGTTCTTGTAATGCTCAAGTTAGATTTTGGGGTATAGACTGGCTCACAGAGGTATATTTACTTCCATTTGTTTCACTGAACCAAAATTCCTCTGCAAATCTCAGCTGCCAAATGTGGTGAGATCTTTAGGAAAAGTACCCTTCAAGATGCTCATCAGAGTGTATCGTTTTCAAAGGAGTCTGTGGCCCTGAGCTTCAAAGAACATGTTTGTTTTTTGGGTTTTTTTTTGGTAGCGGGGATCGAACTCGGGTCCTTGCACTTGCACAGCAGGTGGTGAAACCACTGAGCTAAATCCTCGGCCCGAACATACTAAGTAGAATATTTAATGCATCTCGCCCAGGGAGGAAAGGAAAAGAGCAAAAAAATGGAAAGAATAGTAGTGACCACTCCCCTAGGAAAGATGAATTGTAACAGTTACCATTAAACAGTTGGTTCGTACTTAACCATAAGGGATGAACAAAGGAAATGTCCAGAATTTTGTGATACACTCAAGTATGGCCCTAAGGCCACCTAAGTCAGAGCTTCTTGAGATAAGCATATTTGTGTATAGATTTTTGGGCTCTACCTCAAACCTACTAGTTCTAAATCTCTGGGAGTAGGGCTACAAAAATCTGCATTTTCCACAAGCTCTTCAAGTTATTCTATTGTGCATCCAAATTTGAGAACCAATGCTATAGAGAAGTCATTCTGCTAACCTTGGGTCTTGAGCTACCTCTCAGCCATGAAAGAAAATATTTGTATTTTAGGAAGATGGCTCAGAATGGAAGCTGGCGGGTCCTCCTGCCTCACACTGCCACCACTTCTGATTTTTTCTTCTGAATGGCTGTGGATGAATCCCAAAGGTAGCAGAGAGATTATACCACATGGCAAAATGATGCGATAGAACATGCCATCAAAACCCACGTGAGATCTCTAAGCTCCAGGACCTTCTGAATCTCCAGTTCTGTCTGGAAACCATAGCTGGCTCTCTTTCAGGTAGATGACTAGCTTTTAAGTTCTGTATTTCATTCCAAATCTTTGACCACTGCTTTGTAGAGATGGGGACCATCCAGTTAATGAGCTGCTGTTTCAACAGTTCATCCCTCCCACCATGCATTCCTGACCCCGAAGTTGACCCTCTGGGAAAAATCACATTATCCTCAAGTGATTTGAGCCCAGTAAATTGAGGTTTTTCACTTTCAAGGGAGATTTCCATTTCCTCAGCTCATCAGCAGCACTTATTTATGAAAACTGGACGAGTTTAATTCTTCTCTAGTATTGTTACTGACCCACTTTTGATTTTTTATGTCTAAGAAAAAAAGCTTAGATTTTAAAAATTTAAAAATTCTGTTTGAGAAACTGTTAATGTACCATATTTGTATTAAGAGTTGTTGGGGATTTTTGTACAATGAATTTACATTTATTTATGGTGACATATTTACGCTTGTGATCAAATAAGGATGTTAAATTCTGCTATGCAGCTGAAGATATTTTGATTTGTATTTTGGGGGATACCTGTGTTGAGTTAAACATTTTCATCTCCATTAAAACTGCTTCCAAACTAGTTACACCAGCATCTTTGTCTTGTTTCCTGGTCATTTTCCAATCCTTGTTGATCTGTGGAGGCCACCTTAAAATAAATGACTAGGAAATGGCATGTGAGAATTCAAGAAAATAAAAAGATACCAGGTCAGTGCTCCCTGAACCGATGGCTTATTTTGCTTTCTCACTGGGGGAATTATTTCTTTAAAAATTGATTTGAACTGGCAAGATAACAGAAAATAACATCTGATCTTGGGAATTCTGTAGTCCCCTCAATGTAACTACACACTGTATAACCCTAGCTTTAGGCGGAAGAGTGAAAAAAAATTATTTATATATATATATATATATATCATGCTAATCCTTTTAACCAACCACAGTCACTCTGTGATATGTTACTCATTTTACAGATTGGCCATAGTGTGTTTATTTTCACAGTATGACAAAGCTGGAATTTGAACAGAGTTCCAAAGCCTGACCTTTTGCTGTAACACTGCAATGAACTGACTGATAATCCAGGCCAGACCCCAAAGCAAGATTTGAAGGTTTGTTCACTAGACCTTTCAAGGCTTTGGGAAGGAAGAGACAGCCCAGCATGATGGCTGGAAATTCCCAGGCTTAAGGAGGAAGGCTAGTGCTTGGGAATCTGTCACTGTTTTGGTTTGGCTCTGGAATATCCCCAAGAGACCGTGTGCTGGGTTCTGGGTTAGCAGCTGAAGGGATTTTGGAAGTGATTGGTTCATGAGAGCTCTAACTTCATCAGTGGATTAAACCACTCACTGATGGATTCATAAATCTGACGGCATTATCGGGAGATTATTAGGAGGTGGAGCCCAGTGGGATGAAGGAGGCCACGAGGGATGTTGTTCTGAAGACTGTATGTTGTTCCCAGGCCCTTCCTCTTTGTCCCTTTTCCTCTCTGCTTCCTGGCTGCCATGAGGCAAGCAACTTTCCTCCATCATGCCCTTCTGCTGTGGTGTTTCTGCGTTGCCACAGGTCTAAAAGCAATGGAGCCAGCCAGCCTGAGATAACTTATAAGCAGGAAAAGTTAATTTTGGCTCATAGTTTCAGAGGTTTCTATCCATGGTCAGCTGGCTCCATTACCTCTGGGCGTCTGGTGAGGCACAACATCATGGCAGGGAGTACATGGTGAAACAAAGCTTCAACAAGACCCCAAGAAGTTAGAGATGCTCCCACTCTTCTTCAAGCCCAAGCAACAGCTGTGCTCCACTCTTCCAGGGTCCTTGCTGCCACTGCAGCTGGCCTCATATTGTTTAGGATTTGTCATATCATCCCAGGGTCCAGAGTCACCACTATGTAGTGTATCAACCCGTGGGTCAGGAGATGCCACTGTGCCCTAATGGCTCTTCTTCCCAAATTGCAGTCATACTTAACCCCCTGGGCCCAAACTGTGGGAAGTGCCTTAGAACCACAGACCTGAGATTTGTGTGCAGTCTACATTTAACCATGGATTAGAGTCAACCTGCACCCCAAGACCCTGGGGTCACAATTAGCTTCACAAGTCCCTGAGTCAAGGACTGTGGCACCATAACTGCTATGAGCACCTGCATCCTAAAAGTCAGCATTACTACAGATGTTTGTGGGCCATGTTATACTCAAGAGATAAAATTTCATATAAGACCCCTTGTGCAAAAAAAAAAAAAAAAATAGAAAAGGAGAACCATAAAACCCACCAAGGACGCTAAATAACCTATGCTGCCACAATTTCCTACAGCCTAGACCACTGAGGTACCCAAAGTCATTGCCGATGTGCATCACAGCTGGAGTCCATATGGAGGTTACACCAATATATTTACTTGGGACCAGAGCCGACACTTCATTCCTCACTGCCACAGTAGACCCACCTGCAGGTGAAAGTCTTTCCCTACAAAAGTCACTCTTTAAAGACTGGAGGTAGTTATTCTACCAGATGTGCAGGTATCTACACAAGGACAAAAACATGGGAAAATAAAAAAGCAAGGAAGCATGGCACTACCAAAATAACAGCATAATTCAATAACTGACTTGGAAGAAAGGGAAACCAATGAATTGCCTCAAAGGAAACGCAATAATAATTTTAAAGACATTGAAATATAACAATAGACAAACAAGTGAAATCATAAAAACAATTCATGATTTCAAAGAGAAATTCAATAAAGAGACAGGTGTCATTTTAAAAACCAACCAGAGACCCAAGAGAGCTGAGCAGAGGTACCCAGCACTCATCCCCTCCACAAAGAACCAATGGAAATACAGCTGCATTTTCGGATGAGTGCCTGTGGGAGAACCCTGGAAATCAGCAAGACAGAAACTGGAACTTTGTAAAATCTGGAGACCTGGGACCACAGGGTAGTAAGAGAAACAAAGTACCCTGGCATCTAGGGCTGGGGATTTAGCTCAGTGGTTTCACCGCCTGCTGCACAAGTGCAAGGACCTGAGTTCGATCCCCAGTACCAAAAAAAACGTACCCTGGCATCTTTCACCACATCTCCACAGCTGGGGAGTGTGTATCTCCACAGCTGGGGAGTGTGTGTCTCCCCTTTTCGGGGGTAAAGGTGAAAGAGTCTCAGCAAACTATCAGTGTAGATGCTGGCAGTCTTTGCCACTGGAAAGTTTCAAGCTCCTCACAGGCTTGCGGCCCACTTAACCTGAAATCTGCACACAAGCCTCCTTTGGAAAAGGATCTCACGTCATCTCCCCATGAACACCTGGGATGCTCTAGCCTAGATCCATCCTCAGAAGTGAGCTGTCTGAACCTAGACTTCTCTAGGGGTCAGGAATCTCTGCATGTCCCCATCTCTGGGAATCCACAGACATTTCATGGCACTGGTTCATGGGGTAGCTGCCTTGTGCACCCAATTTGACCTAGCGGAGTGATTATCACTTAAATCTGCTGGCTGTTTTACACTGTAGGGGATGGGTCCTCTAATATGGTGGGAAAGGAGGTGCTTCCATGAGTACTAACCAGGGAGCTAGCCATCTGGAACAAAGGCTATAGCAAGTCATGCATGGATTCACCAGTACCTGGACAGAAGGCAGGCACTTGTGCAGTTTCCATAACCCCACCTCAGGTCTTGACACTCAGACATCTGCTACCAACAGGGTGGGGAGGGAACACCAAAGTTCCTGATGCTCTGCCACAAGGGCAGTGAGGTGGCCTTATGCAACTTCATAACTCTGGCTCTTGCCAAACCCCTAAACATACACAGTTAAAGGTGGCTAAGAGAGCATCTACTTGTCTCCATTTATAGTCTGGCTCAAGAGTGTGCACCACCAGCAGCAGGAAGAAGTTTCAGCTACCACACCTCTACATGGTTCCTGCTGCCTGCTGCACTGCATCCTGTTTGCCAAGCATTGTGGTCAGGACTGGTTATGAGCACCACAGAGGGAGTGCTGTGGTTCTTACCTCAGGGAACAACACTCAGACACCTGTTACTTCTACTCATGCAGGCTCTGAGCCTGTACCACTGATTCAGAGGACAAGTGCACCCCCCATGCTATGCATGCCAGATGCACTTGTTAGTAGCAGGGCTAAGACCAACAGGGCCTGAGGAAATGTCCATCACCTGATGGAGACCTTACCAGTTGTGCACAGCACCTACATCTTCTGCTGTCTGCACCACACCTGCCCGAACTGTTACAGTGTCCCACTCTTGTGTGGCTTCCAGAGAAGATGAATCTCTCCAACTCTTCTGGAGTATGCACTGGACCAAAAGTAACTAATCACACAAAGAAAGCTATAAGGAGAGTACACTACAATACCCAACTAGAAATAAAGCCAGCATTGCATAACAAAGCAATTTCCCACAACATATTTTCAGGAGAAAGTTTCTTAGTGAAAGGCTGACCAGTGAAAGCGAAGAGACAGCTGACCTACCAGATGTGTACGTTTCAAACTAGGAGCACAAGAAATATGAAGACCCAAAGTAATATGATGCCTCCAAAGGAACAGAATAACTCTAGCAACAGGTTCCTGCCCCCAAAGAGATTGACATGAATGTCAGGTAAAGAAGACAATGCAGAATATGAATGAAAAATTAATCAAAGAAATACATTTTGAAAAAGAACAAATCAGAAATCTTAGAAATAGCTCAATAAATAAAAAATATAGTTGAAGTCCTTAACAACAGACTAGATCAAGCAGAAGAAACAATAGCTGAATTTGAAACAGGCCTTCTGAATATCCTACTCAGTTTTTTTTTAAGAGAATGAAGAAAACATTCAGTAACTTTCAGACACCATTAAATGAAAAAATTTCCATATTTTTGGAATACTCAAAGGTGAAGGGAACATGCAATGACACAGAAAACATATTCAATGAAACAGCAGAACACTTCCATGGAAGTGTACAAGAGGCTAAAATTACTCCAAAGAGACACAGCCAAAAAAGACCTTTATGGCATATTATAGTCAAATTGTCAAAAGTACAAGACAAAGAAAAATGCTAAAATCTGCAAGAGAAAAGTGCCAAATCATATTTGAGGGCATCCTCATTAGACTGATAGGTTTCTCAGCAGAAACCCTACTGGTCAGAGTGGAATAGAATGATGCATTCCAAGTCCTAAAACAAAATAACTTCCCACCAAGATTACTATACCCAGCAAGGCTTTCCCTCAGAAATGAAGGAGAAATAAAACTCTTCTAAGATAAGCACGAACTAGAAAATTTGTGATCACCAGACCAGTTTTACGAAAGATGTTTAAGGAAATCCTATACCCAGAAGTGAAAGAAAGTTAACTATTATCATGAGAACATGGGAAAGCATAAATCCCACTATAAGAATAGATAAAAGAAAAATAGAAAAGTATCAACCATTATCAATACAGAAAACCATCAAACCACAAAGATGTACAAGAGAGGGGGAAAAGAACAAAAACTATTCAAAACAACTAGAAGACAATTTAAGAAAATAACAGCAAGAATTTTTTTACCTATCAATAACCTTGAATACAGAAAAACAAAAGCCAACAATATCCTGCCTACAAGAAATACACCTTTGGTCAGGGGTGTCAAACCACTGTGTGTT